TAAGATGTTATGTATTTCTTTCCCCCGGTTGTTACTGTTATGCGTCTTGCTTTGGGTGAAGCTGATATCCCACTGTTCCAGAAATTTCTCATTTGCTCCGTCCCATGCTTCATTGTTTTGCAACTTGAACAACAGCTGCAAAAGTCACTCTGTCCCAGTAAATATTACCTGTTGCCACCATTTTTCCTCTCAGCCTGGGAAGAAGAGCACTGTCAAACTGCAGATGACTCAGTAAAGAACCTTATCAGTTCCTAGGGTTTACAGACTCCTTTCATCCTTCCTCCCAACTGAAGATATATGAGCAATTATACTTCTAATTAAGTTAAATTCCAAGTCCTCTAAGCGTTATTCAGTTCACTTCATATACAATAAAGGATGGGGAAGAGTCAGCTCTAAATTTCCATTGTATACCTTTTGCAAAATAGAGCTTCCCTCACTTTTTCCTTTTTTTGTGGTGGAAAGATACATGATTTGAGCTTAATAAATAGAGCAATGATGGGGTAAATGTAACTTATTCTTCGTTTTTGTTGCTTATATTAAACTGATGTTTTATTCACTGGTTTGTTGTTTCTAAAATGACATTTTGCAAGCTAATTTCAGGGCCCTGTTGCTCCAAAAGATACATATATTTCATTCAAGGAAGAACATAAAGAATCTGGGAGAAGCTGGTAAGACAGACCTTCTTCTTAACACCCTAAAGAGCTATCGCCTATCAGTATGGACAATACTAAACCACACACTCAAATAGTCTTGAGCTTCAATAAGACACTTCCTAGGTATTTTTGGGAAGCTCCAAATTACCAACTATGTGTTTAAAAAAATTCATTGACAGTAATGTACAAAAAAATCAACACCTTCTAATACTTAGGAATCTTAAATGGGAAAGAACACTCCTTTCAATAATGTCACTGGCCCCATCTGACTCCTGTGTTCTGTGATAGTTTGAAGGAGGAGCACAAACAAAGTGAATTTCTGAACATGCATAGGTTCCTTGATGGGTTACAGAGTCCTTCAAGATCAGGATTTTCAAATGTAGAAAAGTCTACACACAAAACTATATGTGTATAGATTCCTTAGTCCATATTCTCAGTCCATGTTTAATGTTTTATTATGTTTATTATGTTTGGGTGGCGCTGTGGGTTAAACCACAGAGCCTAGGACTTGCCGATCAGAAGGTCGGCGTTTCGAATCCCCACAACAGGGTGAGCTCCCGTTGCTCGGTCCCTGCTCCTGCCAACCTAGCAGTTCGAAAGCACGTCAAAGTGCAAGTAGATAAATAGGTACCGCTCTGGCGGGAAGGTAAACGGCGCTTCCGTGCGCTGCTCTGGTTCGCCAGAAGCGGCTTAGTCATGCTGGCCACATGACCCGGAAGCTGTACGCTGGCTCCCTCGGCCAATAAACCCCAGAGTCGGTCACGACTGGACCTAATGGTCAGGGGTCCCTTTACCTTTAATATGTGTTGGAAGCCGCCCAGAATGGCTGGGGCAACCCAGCCGGATGGGTGGAGTATAAACAATGAAATGATGTTCTTCTTGTATTCCTTGGCCTTCATTTGAGTATGTTAGCCTACCTAACTTCTGATTGGTGGTGCAATGATATTAAAAGTGTGACGGGTACTGAAAGTACACACACACACACACACACACACACACAAGACCAGAAAGGTCACCAAGATTATCAAATAAGAATTTGCTGAAATCATCCAGCAGCACCCCAAAAGCAGGCCTTCTCCATAGTGAGTCCAGGGTTTGGGAGTCCAGGGTCTTAAATTACCTAAACAGCACCACTGACATTGTGAGAGAGATCAAGTTTTGGCCACGAGGAAAAGGCACTCTGTGCATGCTTGTTGTGACATTTCACAGGAATCTGAGCCAAAGAGAAAAGAAGTGATGCTAAGTGGCTGAGCAACAATGGAGCTACATGAAGCTGTACGCTGGCTCCCTTGGCCAATAAAGACCAGCTGTGGCTGCAAGAGATTTTTTTTTAAAAAAAATAATACACTGCTAATGAGACCATGAGAGTTTTTTTCACCTTTACTTTGGAAAACGTCTCTGATGTAACACAGCATTTTCCATCTGACTTTTTTTCCCATTTAGCAAATGTGTTGTTGTTTAGTCATTTAGTTGTGTCCGACCCTTCGTGACCCCATGGACCAGAGCACGCCAGGCACTCCTGTCTTCCACTGCCTCCCGCAGTTTGGTCAAACTCATGCTGGTAGCTTCGAGAATACTATCCAACTATCTCATCTTCTGTTGTCCCTTTCTCCTTGTGCCCTCCATCTTTCCTAACATCAGGGTCTTTCCAGGGAGTCTTCTCTTCTCATGAGGTGGCCAAAGTATTGGAGCCTCAGCTTCACGATCTGTCCTTCCAGTGAGCACTCAGGGCTGATTTCCTTAAGAATGGATAGGTTTGATCTTCTTGCAGTCCATGGGACTCTCAAGAGAAATACTTGACATCAAATACTTAACAGCCTGTCATTTTAAAACTTAAACACCAGAGGGAGCTAGACACATACAGCTTGTTGCAGAATTGATTTTTATTTTTTAACAAATCTGACTGTACTTCTCAGGAGGCAAGTACTGTCTATATGAAAACACCTGTAACAGTCCAGAATTATTATTTTTTTAAAGCGGGGAGTGGAATTTGGATCAAAACCCAGCACAAAAGAGACTGTAGCTAATCCTTAACCTGCATGCATCCCCTTGGCACAATTTCAAATGTGAAATTGCAGCAACACCGCAATGGCCCATCTCATCCCTCAATTTATAACTTATTCAGTCACTTTTTAAGAAGAGCAAGATTCCTATACCCTCATAGGTGGTCACCTCTGCTCAGGTGATAATAAAATTATTATTATTATTAATAATAATAGATAGTAACGCAGGTGGCACTGTGGTCTAAACCACAGAGCCTAGGGCTTGCCGATCAGAAGGTTGGCGGTTCGAATCCCCGTGACGGGGTGAGCTCCTGTTGCTCCGTCCCAGCTCCTACCAACCTAGCAGTTCGAAAGCACATCAAAGTGCAAGTAGATAAATAAGTACCGCTCTGGCGGGAAGGTAAATGGCATTTCCATGCACTGCTCTGGTTTGCCAGAAGCGGCTTAGTCATGCTGGCCACATGACCCGGAAGCTGTCTGCAGACAAAACGCCACTCCCTTGGCCTATAGAGCGAGATGAGGGCGCAACTTCAGAATCGTCTGCGACTGGACTTAACGGTCAGGAGTCCCTTTACCTTTACCATCACAGAGATTTGAAACTTCCTGGTTCCTTTAGTTAAATCATTTCCTTTTACTGTCCCAGGGGAGAAGTTTTTCTTTTCCAACAGACATTCAATGTTCTGTGGTTACTACCCAGTCTTCACTGGGCTGTTTGTGTTTGTTTCTCGGGGGGGGGGGCTTAATAATAATAAATAATAATAATAATAATAGTTTTCCATACCTTGGGGTTCCCTAAAGCATATCAATACTTCTCTTTTGCCTCTTGATGGCATCATTTAAGCTCCAACCCTGTTAGGACATACTACCTGAGTTTGATATTAGGAGTGATGAAGAAATCCAAGATTTTAGTATAGTCATGATTGCTAAGCACCATGCCCACCCAGAAACAAAAGATAACAGCAAAGACACAAGACTGTGTCTTTCTAACTTAGTTCTTACTTCATGCAAGATGGTAGGCTGTTACCAAGAAGGAACACAGCCCACTATTAATACTGCAAGCCAAACGTGGGGCTGAGGTTGGTTTTGATTTGTAGCCAGGAAACAAACAAACAACCATCAGATTCCCAGCCCAAATCCAGCACTTAAGTTGCCTACAGAAACCTTGCGCTCCTTTAACTTAAATGCAGGCATGCGGTCCTATTCAATGTTTAACAGCTAAACAAACAATTTAAATATAAAAAAGAAATACGAGTTCAGAAAAGAGTTCCTGTCTATGCTGCTATCGTTTGGTGGGGAGGGATGGATGTTTCTGCCCAATCACAGCAAACATCCGAAAGGTCTGTAGATTTTCCCCGAGCATCTAAACCAGGAAATGGACCCTGCGCGTCAGTCTACCCTTCCAAGTCTATGGCGATCTCATGTTCAGCCCCAAGGGCTTGTGGGAAGGTATCTCAGCACCCACCCACCGAAGAAGTTAAAGAGCCTGTGCAGGTTTAAAGGCTCGCAGTAGCTGCAAGGCGCAAGCCACACAAACCCGCTTAAGCAGCTTGCTGAGCCAATAGGAGCAGCTGTGTGTGAAAGAGCACATTCACAAACCACGGGGAGAAGCAATTGGAAGCAGCCAGTTTTGTGAAGGCAGCGTAGCCCCAAGGCACACACTTAGAGCTTTGTTTTTTAGCAAGGAATGCTGCACCAATGTATGAGGATAAAATTCAAAAAAAGTATTTGCACCACCTTTTCTGCACATAGGTTGCTGCACCCGGATAGCTTGCACACTTTGTCCTGCCTGGATTATTTACTCCTTTTCTGGGAAACTAACACAGATGACTGCCAAATTAAAGAAGTCCTAACTTTGTAATGTTCTTTATTTTGCTCACTCACTCTGCTGTCCTGCAGATATTCCTTATCCTTTCCATTACTCCCATTCTACTCTGGGCATTCTTTTGTTTCTAATCTCTTGCGCATATTCACCTATTCCTCAGTTCCAACTACAGTGGTATCTCTAGTTATGAACTTAATTCGTTCTGGAGGTCTGTTCTTAACCTGAAACTGTTCTTAACTAGAGGCGTGCTTTCGCTAATGGTGCCTCTTGCTGCCGCTGCACCACCGGCACACAATTTCTGTTCTCATCCTGAGGCAAAGTTCTCAACTCGAGGTAACTTCCAGGTTAGCGGAGTTTGTAACCTGAAGCGTTTGTAACTCGAGATACCACTGTACCTGCTTTTCTTGTTTGTCCCCCATCACACATGCTGTGTAACCCCATCTACTTCCAAATCTCACAGAAATAAGTTTCCTCCATCCCGACCCCTTAAAGATGGACTCTTGCAAAGATAAAGTTGAACACATTTAATACAGTAATGACAACCAGCTGCCTCTAGGCATATTTGGCTTTAGAGCAAAGTACTTGTTGGCTGGTCTTGAGCAAGTAGCTATTGAAAGCCAGTATGCTGTAGGAACAGTGCTGCATTTCGGCCATGGAGACCTCAGTTCAAAGCTTCACCCTGCCATGAAGGTCTTTGCATGACTTCGGGCCAATCGGGATCCTACAGAGTTGTTTTGAAGATGAGGAACAGAAGGGAAGTCCCATGCATGCTGCCCAAAATATGGGCTAAAAATGCAACATATACATCAACGGCCAACGCTCTATTTTATCTCATGGTTGTTCTGAGGATAAAAATGGGATAATCCTGGAGGAATGGTGCAATATACACATGATAAATAAATAAAACAAAGAAACAATTGAGGAGTTTAAAAAAGGAAGAACTACGTCCCTAGAACTACTGGGAGGCAGCGCCAAACTCAGCTAGGACTTTTTTATCAGCCTCAGGTATGCTGTTTTGGCGAGTGCACCTGTATCAAATTACACTCTGCAACTAGCTCTGGGCCCTTTGTTCTGTGCCAGTCTCTCTACACTCACCGGCATGCATATAAATATTTAGGAAATGGTAATGCTTGACAGCTGTTTAGTAATAAGGAAACAGACACTGCCTGCAGAATTAACCACAATAACACTTAATGGGCAGGTGCCGGGCAGGGTGTATTTACAGCTTTTTTGGCAGGTGATTTTGAAGTATAGGAACGGTGCAGTAAACATTGTTAAGAGCTGGACTGTGCTTGTAATGCATATTCCTGTGCCTCAACAAGTCAAAAAAGAAACTTGTGTATGGTACCAGCACAACTTGCATTGAATGGCGAATAGTGCTGGCAATATCGTGTGTATGTAAATAAAAGGAAATTTTATTAGATTTTATTTATTTCAGTTTTGCAAAACTTCTTAGGAATTGAACAGGTGCTGGAAGTGAGCAGTGAGGTCACCAGGTTTGCTAACAAAGTTATTTAAGGTGGTGAAAATGCAAGGCAAACATGAAAAGCTCCAAACACAGATTTCTCCAAGCTGGGTGAATGGACAATAAAGCCAGATAAATGGCAAATGATGTTCAGTGTAAGTGCTGTGTGATCACACTGGGGCAAAAAGCAAACAGAAAAGCCACCTTCCCCCCTCCCCCCACAATCTTTGTTTCGCATATATTGAACTGGCAGCGACTGATCAGGAAAGAAATCTTGGGACTGTTGTGACAAACAACTCCATGGAAATGGCAGTGTAATGTACAGCAGCCATGAGGATGGTGGATGCCACACTAGGAATTAATAGGAAAGGAACGGCAAAGAACATTGCCAATATCATACCAATCTTTGATGAGGCCACACGTGGAACACTATGTACAGTGCTGGTTGCCTCATCTCAAGAAGGATATTGTAAAAACTTACAGGGGGGAGAAAAGGAGAACCAAAGGGGGGAGAAAAGGAGAACCAAAGTGGGGGCCAGGCTGGAACACCTGCCCTACAAGGAAAGGCAAGAGCTGTGGAAGCTTGACTGGGGGTGGGGGAGTGACAGGGTTCTTGTTGTAGTAAAGGACGGGAAACATGTATTCTCAGAGAGAGAGACTTGGCCCCATCTTTGTCAGTGTTCAGTCACCAGCCCAAGACTTTTCTAATTCATTTTGCCTCATGTGGTGGTGCTCATCTTTTAGTGGGGTGGGTAGGACTTGACTCTTATTCATTTATTATTGGATGAGCATTTCATGTATATTGTTACTAGTGATTAAACCTTCTCTGGTTTTAAATTGTTTTTATATCCTGTATTTTACTGTTTTCAAGTCACTTTGAGACTTCATAGCAAAAAGGAAGTGTTAAATGAAATTAATGTTGATGATGCCCTGAACTACTTGGGAAACAGGGTAGAATATATCATTATTATTACTTTTACAGAGTCTCTGCTTGCAATTCACGGCGCAAAACTGGGATGGCATGTGACAGCAGCACATTATGATAGTGGAAGAACAAACGGAGGGGGGGGTCAGCCTCCCAATTGGTCCATAAATGTTTTATCTTTGAACATGCAAAGAGGATCTTTCTTTCACCCACTGAACAACCACAGTTCTGATCGTTACATATTCTAAGACTTCCAGGTTTCCTAGTCAAACCAGAGTCCTGGCACCAGCAAACCAACTAATGGGCTTTGGCGGTTTTTGTGGCCTTTAACAATCCAACAGGTGATCCCGGCCTGCCCGCCCCCAAAACACATCAAGGAGATGAAACTTTATCTACTGCTAATGTCTGCACAGGAAGTCGCTATGAAAGGCAGAGCTGCATAGAGTCCACTTGAAAAGTTGGCAATTCTACCTGACGCTGCTCCTTTTAAAAAAAAGGCGTGTGGGAAAACAATTCCACTTAAAAGTTAGCTCCCAAACGATAGAATTTGCAGACTTTCTGAACTCGACTTGCACTGTATAAAACTATTGGTGCACGGAAGCAGGACATTCACTTGTTAGGCAGCAAACTTACAAAGCAAGCCCAAACAAGGAGGGTTGTTTCTTTGAGCAACTGCTTTGAGGCTGCGATCCTATTCACATTTACTGGGAATAAGACCCAAGGAGCTTAGAGGAACTTCCAAGTCGATATGCGCAAAACCGGAGCGCAGTTTGTTCCATACTGGTAAAAAAACAAAACAAAAAACCCAGTTGTAGCTTATCTGTTCTGTTTGGCTTTCTTTATCCATCAACACACACACACCGATTGTGTCCCCGTTACAGCCACCCCAACTCACCCTGAAAAGCTCTTGCATTCCCCAGCTGTGCAGCGGGAAAAGGAAGCCCCTACTTCCAAAACAACCGAGGCGGCTCTAGGACCCAGAGAGCTCCGCCCGTTAACCCTTTCTCGTCTTACTTAACAAAAATTTAAGGCTTCGTTTGAAACGGATCTGAGCGCCGAGTGCCTTCTTTTCCAACGCCGGGAAGCTCATCGCCGGGAACAAATGAAAGAGCGAGCGAGAGGAAAGTGCCTCTGAGCACAGACAACGTGCTTTGCCAACGCCACTGCATAACCACGGCCAATTTCCCACACATCTGGGATCACCAGGGGGAAGGACTTCCCAGGTCAGAGGGATGTGGTTTCCGGGCAGCTCTGAGCCCCGGTACCTCTTTTTTTATTATTTGGAAATTAACCGCCGGCAGAAGCTCAAGCAGAACAGCCCGCAGCAGCAGCCGCCCTGGCGAAAGTTGCATTTTCAGAACCACTAGACACAGATGAGCGTTGCACCCTTTAGCCACCCTGCCGTGATTTGTGTTTAGTGCATGCTGCCGGGCAGAACTTAATTTCAGCCAGGGCTCACCAAAGGTATAGTTGCCTCGTCCTGAGCTGCTGCAATGTTCTGGGTACCTGGTTGCACCTGCTCCTCTACCCGGGTTTGCTTTGTGCAGTCGTAGACCGTAGAAGTGAGCAGCGCATCAGCTGCCGGGCGAAGAGTTCTGCATAACCTGGAAACTTACTGGATGGAGAAATGACTTCTCCCGGGAGCGAGGTGGGGGGTGGGGAGGTGGAAACCACCTGTCCCTTATTTACCGGCGTTACTACCTGCCGCTTTTAAAAAGTGCTCCCTTGCTTCTCTTTGACTAGATAGGATAGCGGGGTGGGGAGACAGAGAGAGTCTAGTCCAGACCACTTAAAATCTGGTTAGAATGAGATCTTGCGGGAAGGAACGTTAATTTATTTCGGCTGTCAAGGGAGGGTTTAGAAATGCTCCTTAATAGCCTGTTTTATGACCCTGCGGGAGCAATGGGAGGAGTTAAGGGCGCTCACCAGTAACGCTGGCAAGAAAGCGGCTTCAGTTAAGTCATTAAATAAATATGCCCGCAATCCTATGCACGCTTCTTTGGGACCAAGCCCTACTAAACCGGTCGCCTAGGTCTGTGCAGCCTGATCCTGCGCCCGCTTGCTCGGAAGTAAATCAGATTCGGGTTCATTGAGACTTGCTCCCAGGCAGATATGTTTAGGCTGTAGCCTTAATAAGGTGTGAAGACTAGGTAGCTACATCTATGTGTTCTGTAGAGTGAACACCATGCACTTTTTCTTTGGTTTAGCATTTTGATAAACTGAGGCTGCAATCCTATTCTTACTAGGGAGTAAGGTCCACTGAACACGGTGGGGTTTCCTGCTGAGTCAACGTGCATAGGATTGCTTGTGAGCTTTGGACTGGAAGTTTCTGCAGGGACAGGGTGTTCCAGTGCAATAGTACTGAAGGGGTTGGAAGAATTGCACCTGCCAAAATGTCCTTTTCTACAATTAATACATGTGCAGAGCTCACCTAAAGTGTGGAGAATTATTTATTGATTCACAGCATGGCAATCATTTACTGTATCTTCCGTTTTGAAATCTGGACTGGGCATTGTAAAGCAAGTCATGCTGTTTACTGGCGGGGGGGGGGGCAGGTAGATGTAAGGAAATGAGGTAAGGAGAAAGGGGGTTGGAGATTTTGCACCCTGCCTTGTTATAAACTGCATGCAAAGTGTTTTAGAATTTCGTGTTTCTTTTTGTGATATTAGCTAAAGCTGCAATCTGTAACTGATTAACTAACGGCAGTTTAATCAGCTGCAAAGGCATCCCTGATAAATAGGGGTAAGATATTAAATGGTGGGCTTTCCCCCTTCACACCCATACAGAAGTTAATCCCTCTTCTAAAATGTCACATGCAAACAAAGGAAGAATACTTTCCCCCTCCAAAACTACTGTTTTATTCATATGCAAATCAAACAATCAATTAAAACTCATTCAGCCATAATGCAATGTAACTCAAATATTGTTCCTTTTTTCCAGAGGGAATATATTTCAAACAGTTATAGAAACATAGAATTGTAGAGTTGAAAGGGACCCCGAGGGTCATCTAGTCCAACCCCCTGCAATGCAGGAATCTCAACTAAAGGATCCATGACAGATGACCATTCAACCTCTGCTTCTAAACCTCCAAAACAGGAGTCCACCACCTTCAAATGGAGTCTGTTCCACAGCTGAACAGCTCTTACCATCAGAAAGTTTAAAATGTTACCTATTTGTAAATAAAGCCTCCCTCTTGATGCATCTGATTAACCCACCAGTCATAGTCACATTCAGAGCTTAAACCAGGCTTTAAATTTGGAACCTGGAAATCATACTTATGCTATGCTGAGGTAATTTAGTACTTATTATTACTGAAAAAAATTATAGAGGGTGCCTCTGAACATGTGCAAAGTGCCTTTTCCTGAGCATTAGGGCAGCCACCATCTGGCAGGCATTCGTTGTCTTTCAACAGCTGCATAAGGGGCAGAAACTTGGCAGAATAAACTTTTGCCTATCAGCCTCTTCCCCTGGCTCTGAATTGCTGCACCTGTTCAATTGCTTCCTGTCATGTAGTTGTTAAGAGCACTGGAGCCCAGAGGGAAAAAGGCACAGCTGACTTCAACGAGTGGAGGGAAAGGTTTCTTGGAATCTTGGAAGCTCCAGCACTTTATGCAGCATCCATCATTGAGGAGCTCTCACAAGCCAGTCCAGTGTGCAGCTTCTCAGGTGTTTTGCTGAACTCAATTAGGCTGTCACTAGGACCTGGGTTTCCTCAAGTGGCAGGATGAGCTGGTGGTAGAGTCTAGAGATGGTGGGGTGGGTTACACCACTTCAGACCAAAGGTGGGGACATTTTTGTTGGCTCTCCCACTGCCAAGCTTCCTGCAGATAAAACAAAAAAAAACTTAGCAATTTAAGGAGCCGATCTCGGACCATTTCCTACTGCGTCAACGTCCCTGGTGTCTGTGGGTTGTTGTTGTTTTGACCTTTTAAATTTCTTACTATTTGAGGTGCAAATGTTGCCCATTCCCACAATCACAAATGATACTGCCCTTTCTAATGACCAACGATTCCCCCACCTCATTCTGCTGCATGTGGGGAGTCCCATCTCCTTCCCAGGTGTATTTGGAATGAGCAGCTCTCCCCTGTAAATCCCAAAATGGGTGGTTAAAGCCTGCCATTTCCCTCACCCTTTGATTAGGTGCTTATGTGCAAGGGGGGGAGGGGGAATTGTGTTTTTTTAAAATCTGTGTTAAACCTGTGGAACCAGAGTCTGGTATTAATACTCAGGTTTAATTATGTGAAGGGGAAGGATGCGTTGTTGTGTATGTGGTAACAATACTCCCTCTTTTTAAAAGGGAATGTTTCAGGTATTTCACAGCTGCATGACCAACAGGAGTCAACTGGTAAAGCTTTTACTATCTCAGCCTCTCCCAATAGCAGGAAAGTGCTTCTAATGTGGTTGTTAAAAGGCGCAGAATTTCTCTTTTTCTGTAGTTAAGTGATAATGTTCTTAAGAATGTGCTAATCCCTGCACATAGATGGCTAAAAAAGACCAAAACACTTTAGGCCTGCCTAGAGGCTTAAACAACTTTTAAAAAAGTATAAACTCTGGTATGCATGTGGCCATAGAAACTAAGCACTGTGGGCAGATAACAATGCGCATGTATTTGTGAAGGTGATTATTGTGCATGGGTGGGGGCAGAATCCTGGAAAAGAAAGGAGCCCGGCAGTCCAGCTAAGTTGATGGCCTTCTTTTGTGAAGCCAATGCTCTCTCCTGGGCTGGCCTTTTGTCTGCAATGCTCGGCCAATTGCATACATTCTTAACAGTGCTCTACTGTTTGTGGGAAATACAAAGTGGTCTGTGACCACATGGGTGCAATGAGGCCTAGTCAGTTGCACAGCCCATTTGATCTGAGCATGCTCAGGGTGGGTGGGTAGGGGGAGGGTGAAGAGGAGCGGTGCCATCCATTCCAGAAAGCAATGGGAATTGCAAAGGCAAGAAGTGGGTGTAAGGCATTGACTATCAGAGGCAGCTGTGGAGAACACTTGGGTGGACTTGGAAGGGTGAAAGCTGATGTTCGCTGGACTTCTTGGTTGGCAAGAAGCACCACTGTACGTGAGAAATCAGACCAGTAAGATCTACCCACTCCCCCCTCAAAAAACACCCTGTGTTTAATTTTTCTGTCCTTTCCTGACTTCATCCTGCTTTACTTCTCTTGTTTGATTTTATTGCAGTGGTTTTTGAACAGGGCATAGTAGGATTGCCATATATATATATATATATATATATATATATATACACAGTATATGTTGGTCTAACAAGTGTATCAGTTATCAGTTAATACATTTGCAGGTGAACAAATGTGTGTGGGCAAGGGGAAAGACTACGTGTTCCCAGATTTCTCTGGTGTAAAAAAAGTAATAGGTTTGCCTTTTGCCTTCTCTTGATGGAGTTATGCTCCCCATGAAGGAGCGGGTATGCAGCTTGGGGGTACTTCTGGATTAGGGTTACCAGATGTCCCCGGTTCCTGGGGACAGTCCCCAGATTTGCCAATCTGTCCCCGGGAAATGTGGCAGCAGCAGCCCAGAGCCAACCTGATAGTGCAGTTGGCACTGGCAGGCTTCAGGAGCTGCTTGCTGCCATGGAGCCTGCCATTTTTCCTCGCCAGAAGTCCCCGTATGATGCGTTGCGCACAGACACATCATATGGGGACTTCCAGGAGGCAAACTGGTGGGCGCCACAGAGGCAAACAGCTCCTGAAGCCAGCCAGAGCCAACTGCTCTATCAGGCTGGCTTCAGGCTCCTGACTGCCGCTGCTGCTGCCACTGCTGAAGGGGAACCAGGGACGTCCGGCGGTACAGATCTCCTGCCCCCTTCCCCCTTTGTTTTGACTGATCGGGGAAGGCTTGGGAGTTGCGGGCGGGTGGCCGTTGCCCGGTTTTTTAAAAACTCTGCGCATTTATGTTTCACAGTGTGCAAAAGAAGGGATTTGCACCTTTATACAATATGCATGTGTGCTTGGACCCAGAATCTTTTGCCTCACCATCCCCACTACTGACTTCTTGTTGCTAAAAAAAAAAGTCCCCGGATTTATTGAAAAAAATATGGTAACTATATTCTGGATCCCTTGCTGTTGCTTGAGGCTCAGATGGCCTCAGTGGCACAGTGTGCCTTCCATCAACTTCAGCTGGTAGCCCAGCTGCACCCCTGTCTGGACAAGGATAGCCTAACTAAGGTTGTCTACACTCTGGTAACTCTAGGATAGATTGCTGCAATGCGTTATATGTAGGGCTGCCTCTGAAGACAGTTTTAAATGTAACCAAGCCAGCTTTTTGATTATTATTATTCAGAAGGAGCCAAAATGTGTGCTTGTTTATTTTACAAAACGAATACTGCTTGACTGTAGTAAAGCCTCTAAGAGGTTTATAAGAAATGTGTTGCTTGTTTTCAAATACCACTGTTACACACCCTTTTCAGAAGACAGAATCAGATTGTTTTTGCTTGTTTGTTTTGCCTGAACTTTCTGTGCCTTCATTCTAGCTAATATAGAAATCTCTTTCACAAGACTAGCAAACTGGTAGATTTTTAGAGCCCTTGTTGACCTATGGATTGATTGAAGCCTGCTGCCTTGTTAATAATGTTGCTGAAATTACAATTTAAATGGTTCTAATTCTTATCATTTTTGTGTGATTATCACCCCTCCAGGTTGGCATCAAGACAGCCATAGGAGCTTTCCACAGCTGATAGGCTCTCCCAGTGGCAAATTGGGTGTTGGAAACCCTAGTGAAAGGCCACATAAACTCAGAAACCGATTCAAAAATGAGGAGGAAAATGGCAGCCAAGCGGAATATGGTAGCTCAGTATCTCCAGTGTCCGGCACCACTGGAGCAAAGAGTGCAGCCATCGGTGAAAATGGAGAAGGAGCCAGACCCAATGGGTTCTGACGCACTGGGGATATCAGAGGGTTCAGTAAAAACCTACCGTATTGTGCAGGTTGGGACAGCTGGAGGCGGCCTAAGGCTGATAACACCTCAGCAGACCAGGAGCGAACGGCTGGAAACACCCCAGCGGTGGGAGATTCAGGGGCAACAGGAATTGCCAACCCCAGATCTCACGCCAGTTCAGTCACCGGCATGGAGGAACCTGCAAGTGCCAGAACTCACATTGACAGAAGACGTTGAGACCTACCTGGCTACCTTTGAGGACGTAGCTGAGGCCTGCAAGTGGCCGAAGGAACAGTGGGTGACGCGGCTCATGCCCGCCCTCAATGGAGCCGCGCTGCAGGCCTACAATAACTTGGATCCCAGAGAGAGCGGGGATTATGGGAAAGTGAAGGCCGCCATCTTGCGAGAGGATGCCGTCAGTCTGGAGAGGCAGCGCCAGAACTTCAGGCACTTCCGCTACCAGGAGGCCGAGGGCCCTCGCGAGGTCTGCACCCGCCTGCGGGGGCTCTGCCACCGCTGGCTGGAGCCAGAAAGCCGCACCAAGGAGCAGATTGTGGAGCTGTTGGTCCTGGAGCAGTTCCTGACCATCCTGCCAGAGGAAATGCAGGACTGGGTTCAGGAATATCGCCCCAAGACCTGCGTTCAGGCCGTGACCCTGGCAGAGCATTTCCTGCTGAAGCAGCAGGAAGGCGAGAGGTGGGATCAGCAGGTGAGAACTTTTTGTAGTAGTAACTGGAAGTTTTAGGAAGCTGAGGAAGTTTTAGATCATGTTGCTGAGGTCTACCACAAGATAGAAATGCTTGCACAGAACCCTGGGGAATATCAATTTTATATTTATTAAAAAGCTTTTCTTTGCCATTTGTACACAAGAATGCATATAAAACCCTAAGAGTATGTTCAAAGAGCCAGTGGTTGCTATGTGTGTGCTGATGTGCCATGCTCTGAAGGCTATAAACTCTGCCTTTTCTTTTGAGCTTGTAATATTTCATCCAGTATTGGACAAATCTCGCAAGGCTTAAGCATAGTTTTTTTTTAAAAAACAAAACAAAACACTATAAGCTGATTCATGAGTCTAAATTTTTCACTTGGTATGTACTGCATGCTCACAGTCCCAGAATACACACCAAGATAACAGAATGTACATAACTGAGGTGGTGCAGTCCTCACAGACAGAGGGGCTATACCACTACAAGTTGCACATACAGAGAGATTTGTGTGATAGATGTGGAAATCATGTCCCGTTTGGAAACTATATTCACAGGAAGAGGTGGAGGAGGTTTGTTTCGTTTTAACTTTTCTGTACACTGTGGTTAATAGTGGCTTGCAAACAAAATGGCTAACATCAACGTAGCAACTTCATTTTGTTAAATGTGAAGTCCTTCGCTAAACTGATTCGTTTCTCTGTTGTTAACAATGAGACAGCAGTCCAGGTGAGGAAGCAACAGGAGCCATGCCTTAACTCCTGCACTGTTAATCCAAGCCTCCCCCTTCATTGTGCACATTTGAATGAGCCCTGAATCAGACCTCTGCTCACCTAGTCGAGTACACATGCACATTCTCTCTCTTCCCCAACTGAATGCTGTTTTCCAGACAGAGCTCTTTCCTTGCTTGCCTTCCAATCTGTGCTCCTTTTAAAGTGATGGCTCCGGGGACTGAACCTGTAGCCTTTATCTTTTTTTAACTGACTTCTCCAATTCTACAGTGGTATGATTTTATGAACATACCCCTCTCTGGCTTGAATGGGGTCCTTGCTGTTTTTTCAGGTGCTGGGGCCTTTTGTACTCGAGGAGGCTGTGAGCTTCCCAGAAACTGATCAAGTGCCCTTGGACACCAGGCAGACGATGCTTTGCAGAGATGCCAAGGAGGAGGTGAACGAAAATGCCACTTCATTGGGTAAGGATTTTGCGATAGCATTCTAGTACAGGTGAGAGTATTAACGGGTTGCTCTCCTTTATTGTTTCTCTCTCTCTCTCTCTCTCTCTCTCTCTCTCTCTCCCCACACACACACACACTTGGAGTATTTTTTCCCTTTCTTTCTGGGTTCTCAGCTCTGGGATTATTAACTAGTCCCCTCATATTTAGGAAGAGAGGCGAAGCAATAAGTTTTGGATCAGATTGCATGCCTTCCAGCAGCAACCCTTCAGTTTTTGGCACCCCTCTCTTACACACACCACATTCTTTCCAGCAGCGAAATTATCAAGCGTTTCTACTAGTCTGATAGATTGCTTAAAATGGGAATTTTTCTTTCCATCCAGCAGGTGAAGAGATCCAGACCAAAAACGAGGGGGGTTTTCTAATACAGGAAAGCATAAAGAAGCAGAGAAGCCGGATGCTCCCCACCTTGCAGCCAGCCCAGTTTGCCTGCCAGAACGTCGACGGCCAGCAGCCTGCGAGTAAGCAAGACGCGCTTTTCCCGTGCCCCGAGTGCGGGAAGAACTTCTCTCGCAAATCCACCCTCACTAGGCACCGGAGGGTCCACACTGGGGTCAAGCCCCACCAGTGCACCGAATGCGGGAAAAGGTTCCTGCACAAATTCAACCTGGTGAACCACATGAGAACCCACCTGCGGGAGGAAGCGAGCCGCTGTTCACTTTGCGGGAAGAACGCAAAGTGGAATTCGGGCCAGGGGGGCCACGACAGGAAGGCCGGGTGTTGCGAATGCGCAGAAAGTTTCGGGCTGCAGTTCAGTGCAGAGCAGAGCATGCAGGAGAGAGAAGAGCCCTTCAGCTGACTTGAAGGCAAAGGCGGGAATTGTAGCTGACTTGAATGTAGAGATTTTTTTTTAGGAAATACTCTAAACCTAGGGGATCTTTTTTATTTTTATTTTCGTCCTGGAACTCTTTAGAAGCAGGAACTGCCTTCTGATGACGAGGTGGTTACCTTTAACATAATCGAAGCAAAGAATGCCTTCAGCAGCTCAGATGGGTTGTATGTTTGTTTGTTTTCCTTTGGATGTTTGTCAGTTTATGGAGGGGGAGTGGGGTGGAAGAAGGCAAAGAAGCCACAACCTGCATTTACAGTGGGAAATCTTTGCTCCTCCTAATGCCATTGTGAAAGAGAGTGAAAGATGGACAAGGATCCCTGTTGTGTCAGTTGCACAGGACCTACATGCAGAACTAGTAAAAACTACACACAAACGCAATGTGATTGAACAGCATCTTATCCACACACACACTTTTCAGCTGACAGAATAGCTGTCTGAATATTGAAATCTGAGCAGTGAAAAGATAAGCTTCACGCTCAAAACTTATTATCATAAATAGGAATGCAAGCTCAAAGTATCTGTATTGGATGACCTGGAAAGCCATGTGGATGGGTGCCAACCAATCATATTTTGGCTAAGAAATGACATAGTCAGAATTCTGTTAGTTTGGAGCAAACTCCTGGTAATGTGTCACCTCAAAGGCCTTCAAACCACTTCCTCCTTCATGGTGGTCTTTAACAAAACATGCTCACTATTGCAATATGGAGGAGATCTGTTCTACTGACATTCAACTTTTCTTTGTGTTTCTTTTTTCATAGCCTCTCAATTTAGAAGTGGAGCAATTCATAAAGAATATTTGTTGTCCATTCAAACTTCTCCTTTTACAGTTTGTGGCAGGAGATCTCCCTCTTAAACTAGTTTTCTCCCCACCCAATTAATTTACTTTTACTTCTTCTTTTCTACTTTTAAGAATTAAGAGAGTCTCCATAGTTTCACATGCCCAAGGGGGACCTTGGACTCGTGTTTTTTTCCTCAAATAACAGCTTTCCATACCACTAAAGCATTTCAAAAGTAGTTTGTGATAAGAAATGGGAGGTCTGGTATTCAAAAGGGTGGGGGGAGTTTTTAAAAATCCTACTGCGTATGGCTAACGTAGCTTTTGGAACTCTGCCTCTGTTTATTTGTACAAGCCTGTCAAAACACGTTTCAGTATTTCAAGCCTTTCTAACACTACCAGTTTTAACCCCTGTAACACTGTTGATACACCAAAATTGCATGTTTGGAAACCTGCAATGGTTATAGCTGCATATGTAAATTTTAGGGTTTTTTAAAAAAAAGAGAAAGAAAAAAAGGAATTGTTTTCGTAAAAAATTTTTATTAAAGCTTTATTTTTGTGTAGTTTGCACATTAAAAAAAGTTTAATGTTGTAATAACGATGTTTAATTCTACATATCCTGCTTAACATAGATACAACCATCCTTCAGTTGTTATCTCTTAGTTTATAACCCATGGACAATGAATAGAACCTGTGTTACATAACTGTTGTCGTGAAAAGAGCTCACAAAGCAGAATTAAGACTCCCAGTTCCGTATACGCTTACCTTACCTAGAAATAAGTTCCACTCAACTTACTGAGCATGGACTTCTGTCTGAGTTGGCATGCATATAGAATTGCACTGTACGGGGCCCAGCTGCCAAAGTGTTTTAAGAATAGAAATATTGAGATGATTACCAAATCCTCCTCCTTAAAAATGCTCTGTTTTATTTTAAAGTCTCCTGTCAGCGTTAGAGAAGGAATTGTTTTAACGAATAACAAACGCCTTTCCCAAAGGACTCTGCACGTTTGATGGCTGTGGTCCTGCCCATACATACACTCAGCCTCTCCTTTACACACCCCTATAACCCCTCTGCACAAATACTACATTTCCCCCCATCAACCACAGCTCTCTCTTCTCCGGCACAAAAGGGGGCATCTTGTCTGTCCGCCCAGGCACCCAACTTTGCGCAGATTGAGCCCTGGCAGCCCATTCAGGAATCTCTCCACGCGCCCACCTTCCAGAGCTGCTCGAGTAGTAATGAAGCCAAGGTGAGCTGCGCCCCGGCCACAGCAGAATTGCGCATCTTTCTCCCAAATGCACCCTCGCGAGTGGCCGAGATGCTTGTCAATCGGCTGGGGTGGGTGGGAGGGAGGAGAGGCTCATCCTTCGCTCCCTTTCGCTGGCTCTGGCGCGCTGTTTTTTCCATCGGCAGCTCCAGCTCCATTCATTTCAGCTGCAGTCCGGACTCTTCTCCCTGGCTCTTCGGGTGCGCCCCGGTGCCGTGGGGTCCGAGCTGCCGTGCGGCAACGCGTCAGGACGACAGCGCTTCTGCACCAGGAGCAAAGTGAAGGCACTTCCTAAATGCGCTAGGCGGCCACTTAACGATTCAGAAAGGAAGGAAACAGATTTGGATATACTCATTTATACTGGCGTACATTTAGAAATGGTTTCTATAATGGAAATAAAATTCATCTCAAGGGAGGGGCTTGAGTACCCGCTCAGTCGGCTGGCCCTGCGCTGATGAGCAATTTTTAAACTAGGCGAGGGCAAGAGAGCCTTTCAAACAAGAGGACCAGCCTCAGTAAAGTCGGGCCACACAATAACACGCCCATGCCATCTTTTCTCTTGTGCCTTTTAGCAGCTGACCCTCAGGCGGAAGTTCAACAAGTGCAGCTTTCCCCCTAGTTTGTTTGTAGAGAAGACTACAGCTACAAAACTTGTTTCGCGCCACGGTAATAAAGAGGGCCTCGTGAGCACGTGCAAAGTAAGGGAACATCAGCCAGCCTCCCTTCAAAAATATTTCATTTAAGGACATTACCTCCGGCAAGTAGCCGGGGGGTGTGGATGTGTGTGCGTGTGCGTGTGCGTATGCGTTGCTAATTCGTGACATGTTTGCCCTGCTCTTCCTCTGAGGAGCGCAGGGGGGCGCAGCAGTTTCCTTCTTTATCTGAGGTCTGTAAGGCTGTGAGAAAGTCACTAGCCTAACTTGAACCCCCATCGCTAAGTCGGGGTTCGAACCCAGCTCTTCCCCGGTCATCACCTGGCGCGCTGGGATTGCCGAGCTACTGCGACTTCCCAGTTCGAAGCCAAGTTCAGCTCCTAATCTCGAGTGCGCGACTTGGCGTTGGCCAGGTAAGCGACGGGAACGCACTCTGCACACGCTCAGAGGCACCGTCTTCTTCGCGCGCCGTCCTCCCTCGTCAGCCCTCCTCGTGATCCTTTCCGTTCTGCTCCTCCAGCCACCTAGACTTTGCTCTTTCTTGGCAACGCAGTGCTGCCGTCCACGGAGCAGGCTGCGTTGCTGGAAGCTCCAGCAGGCGGAGCTCGCGGCTCGCCTCCGTCGCCCAGCCGGAATCAGCAAGCGGGAGACGGAGCGCCCGGGTTTGTTTCGCTAGGAGCGGGCCTGGCTCTCTGGCCGCATCCCGGACAGGCAGAGATCCAAGGTGGCTGGAGGGGGTAAGGAGACAGCCGGCCAGGTATGGGTCCGATCCGGGGTCCTTTGCCGGGCGGAGGGGGTGCGAAGAGTAACACGGGATTGGGACTCCCAGAGACAGCTGGGGGCGCTCTCTGAAGCTGGAAGGGTGGGAGTCGGGGCCCCAGAGCGCACAGCTCCGAATTGGCCGAGCTTATAAAATGCATGCATAAATACGTGCACTTTCATTTAAGCATGTTCCCCTTCCTCATCATACAGGCATATATATTTTTGCATTTACTGCTGTATGGATTAAATGCACACATTTATGTCTCTTGCAGCATATGTGCCAGCCCAGGAATAACTGTTTTCAGTTTCCTACTAACTTCAGTCCATTTGGGTGAGCCCAAGTGACAGGTGCCATTAACTTTTCCATTCTTGCACCCGTACGCAGACATGCCATACTTCTTGTAGTACATAAACATTGTCACAACTTAGATCTGACAGCTGCAGTTCATCCCCTGCCCTGCCTCAGCTTTGCAATGGGCACCCCCAAAACTGCATCACATCTCTTGCTACTTACAGTCTTAATTCAGAGGCACCAACAACCTCCCATGGGCATGGTAATTACTAGTAGTTCAAAATATTCCCATATTTGGTACTTTTATAAATCTTCATATATATTTTTCTTCAGGTTACTTTTTCTCCAAAGAGTGGCAACAAGTCTTCATGGCATGATTGCCAGTGGATACTGGATCTCTGTAAAGAAAAGACTTTAAGCATATTCACTTTGGCAGGTACTGTACTAGTTTCCTTAATTGTGTACCAAATTTGCAGTCCAGTTCCCTATATGACTTACTCCCAGAGAAGTGTGCATAGGATTACAACTTCAACTACTTAACAAGAACACGTGTCCAGATTTGTGGAATCTAAATAGTGTTTTACATAATGTGTCTAAACAAAATACAAAAGCCTGCATTTTAATATGGAGATATTCATCTTGTAGGAAAGGTTAGATTGCAGAAGGTGTCTTAAGAGACATATGAAGTTTTTTGGGTGGAAATTGCTGGCTACAAATGCCATCACTGGAACTGCCAATCTCACTGCCTCCTCCTTCTGCTTTCTCTTATGATTTGAATGACTGTGCTCCTCTGCTCACAGATGCCATGGGGGACCTCGGCCTGGGCCGGGAGTTTCACACCTGGCACCAGTTCAGCACGTTCTTTGACGACTGGTGCGAAAAGCACAAAGTGCTCTTCATCATCGCCAGCCTGAAGCCACTCATCTCACTGCGCCAGAACCCACCGCACTATCAGCCCAGCCTCGCCGAGACACTCCGCTTCCGTTTTGTGCGTCTCATCTGCAAGCACAGCGGGACCTATGTGGGGCAGAGCACGGTGCAACGCAACCGCCTGTAAGTCCATCGTGTGTTTGATTATATAATGCTGTCTGTGTGCATGCTGCTGCACAGGCCCCATGCTCCGAGATGTTTACATGCTAAAATTCTCTGATTCCCATTCCCCCAGTATCATTGAGACCCTCAAAGAGACACTGATTGTTCCTCTATAGCTTAGCCTCTAGATGCTTTTGGGTTCCACCAGCCCAAGTCAGCATGGCCAGTGGGCAAGGATGATGGGAGCTGTAGTCCAGCAACCTCTGGTGGGGCACAGGTTGCTTATCCCTGCTCTATAGAAAGCAAAACCCTAGGATTTCTTCATAGGGCCTCACCGAACAAGATATTCCTTGAGCTGTAATTACTCCTGAATTAAAAATCCCAAGTGTATAGTGCTGAATTAAGGCGTGCTCTTCTGAATAAAACCTACAGAGTTGGTTGGCCCTCTTTGCCTTTTTTGACATAAGCACTGCAAATAATAGTCATAGTCATAATAATAATATTTATACCCCGCCCATCTGGCTAGGTTGTTGCAGCCACTCTGGGTGGCTAAACTACAATACATTCATTTTTTTAATTTTTAATAAATGAAGCCATGGAAGATTTCTTTTGAAAAATCCACAATATGCTTGAGATATTTTTATTTTCCCCAACTCCATGTGAACTATTTCCTCCATGGGGGGACGGGGACGGGGCCCCAGACAGGGAGGGATTGGCAGTGATAGCAGTTCCTACTGGCATCCATTGGAGTCCAGTGTCAGTAGTGCTATCGCTTCTTACTAAACAAACACCCTTTCTCCCCCCCCCCCCAACCATCTCCTCCTTTGTAGCAGTGAGAAGATCGACTGCCCAGCTTCTATCACTCTGCGCCTGGGCCCCAAGAAGGACCGCTTGGTGGTGATTGAGGCCAACCTGGAGCACAACCACCGCCTGTCGGAGCTGGAGTTTGCCCATCACTTCAAGCGGCACCAGCTGAGGGCCAGCCTAGGGCTGCCCATCCGCATCACCAACAGCATCTCCAAGCGCTTTCTGGCACCTGACCTTATCTGGAACCTGGAGGACTACAGCAAAGCCAAAGACAAGGGCATGTGCGACCTCCTGGCTGTTCTGGACGCTCTCTTCAAGGCAGATCCAGGGGCCAAAGTCAAGCTTGTCTTCCAGGAGGATGTGGCTGTCCTCAACAGCATCTTCCTGGCCACCTCGCACATGCGCAAGCTTGTGCAACATTTCCCGGCTCGCCTCTTCTTGGAACGCGCTGCCTGCCTTGATGCAGACTTTGAGCTCTACACCGTGCTTTGCCAAGATGCCAATGGGCGCGGGCGTGAGGTGGCCTACTGCCTGGCACGCCAGGGCCTGCCCGACCTTCTTATATTCATTGTGGCTTCGCTGGTGCAGAGTGCCCCGGACATCAAGTTGAGGGTGCAGGTGGTCACAGTAGGGGCTGGGGTCACAGGGCTGGACGCGGTGGAGGAGGTCCTGCCATGTGCCCGGGTGCAGATCTGCCGCCTGCAGGTCTTGGAGGCCCTCTACCGCAGAGCTTGCGAGCTGGCTGTGCCGAAGGAGGACCGGATCCGCAACCTGTTGCTCAACCTGGCAAATGCTGACTCACCGCGGGTCTACAGCCAGTACCTGAGCGACCTGGAAGATGTCGCCCCACTCTCCTTTTTGCAGTACTTCCTGGAGCACTGGCACCCTCACAAGGGCATGTGGGTAGAGTGCTGGGCCTTTGAGAAGAACCGGGAATGCTCCTTCCTCGACCACCTTAGCACTCACCGCCGTAAGCTGCTGACAGTACTCACCCCTCCTATGGTGTTGGCCACCTGCGTTCAGGGCCTACTAGATCTCCAAGCCCTGCATGTGGAGACCTCGACGTTCAACGTGGCACCTGTGGCTGAGCTGTACCAAACTGCCTGCCTGCCTGACAGCGCTGACCTTGTGGCCGAGGAACTGGACCTGGTGCCCCATGCGCACTATGAGCTCAAGGACACGCCTGAGGGCTACCTCTTGGAGGAAAGCACCTGCTCTTTCCTGGTGAGCCAGGACCTGGCCACTTGCAGCTGTTCTATTTACATGGCTCACCAGCTGCCCTGCCGGCACATCTTTGCAGCACGCCTTTGGATTGGAGAGCCTCTCTTTGACCCCTGCCTGCTTCCCACCTCACCAGATAGGCATCAAGACTGCACAGGCCAGGAGGAAGGCTAGCTATGTTGCCCAAGTGCCGGTCTAATAAAGTGGCAGAACACAGTCCTGGTGACCACTTATGTAATTGCCACTCTGGCACGAGGAAGATGCTGGCTGCCACACCTCTTTGGGTGGAAGTGATACAGCCTGTAGCAACACAGACTACTGACCAGCCGTCCCTGGACAGAAGTCCAGTACCCAGCCATATGGGTACTACGAAGCGTCACATGAGCACTGCCACATTCTAGGACCAATACTAATGGACCGATCGTCTTATTCAGTAGAAGGCAGCTTCCAGTGTTCCCAGGATGCTAGTTCATTTTGCAAGTCAAAGCACAGCTAAAAAATGCCAAGTTCTGACCATTTTCAGTGAGCAGATCTGTGTACACACTGCCTTTAAAAAATATGTAAAGATTGTGCACCAAGGTAGCTCAATTTTTTTGTGAGGAAAGCTAAATTCTGTATACATTACTTTATGCAATTTGCAGCACAATCCTGTGCAGAGTTCCGTGAACCCATCTACTGAAATCAGTGGACTAAAGGTGTGCCTAGCTCGGCCTAGGATAGGGTGTTAAGCATATTCTAATTTTGTTAGTTATAAGAGGAGGCAGAGAGCGGTGGAAGTCGCCGAAAGGCCATCCTCCAACCAACAGCAGTCCTGCTCAGCTCTCCCCTAGGCTTCTTCATTACCCCACCTCAAATATGTCCACTGACTCCAGAACCTGGATTTTATGCCTCATATTAGTTCTCCTAGTAGCCAAATGCACAGAGCCCTAGGAATAAGCAATGTATCTAAATGGATGGATGTATACCATGCTATCTGACTATCTGATCTAATAAATTCACTCATTTATTTATTCATTCAGAGATTTATATCTTGCCTTTCATAGTGTTGTGTCCTTAGAAGGAAATGTATGTACAGTTTTAAAAAATAAAAATAACAATTAGAAATGAAGCATTGATTTGCTTATAGGCACCAGCAACTAAAAAATTTCAGACCCACAATGGACTGAATTTTTTTCAAGCTTCTTAAAAACCAACAGACACTGAGAAGATCGTGTTTCTGATACCTGGCAATCTAACAGCTCCTACCAACAGTCCGGAGAGCAGGAACTAGACATGTAATGCTCAAGAAATTTCATAACAGGAGCAAGCAATCCTTCCAATAACACAGTTGCAAACCATTAGTGCTTTAAAGGCCAAAGCCAGCAAATAGAATTGCACATGGAAGCAAATAGGCAGCCAATGTAACCAGTACAGAACATGTGGAAAATATATCTGAGCCCCTACGTTCTTGCTGTATTCTGCACCAATTGCAGTTTCCAAGCACCATCAACTATTCTTCAGTGGAATGGATATTTTGTGGCTTCCACAACAGTTTTTTTAGATTTTCAAAGATGCCCCCTGGCCCCAAAAGGTAAGGATGGGTTGATCTAAGTTGAATGGCACGTTGCAAGGCAGGACTATTTAGACATTAGTGGCTAGGCTAGAGTTTTGAACCATTTTGTGTTTCTGTTTTCATATTGTTGGTAAAATGTCTGAAGAAAAATACAGTGGGAATAAAGCCTTCCAGGATTAGAAGATCTTAAGCCATCTCAGTTTTAAGATTGAGCAGAAAAACGGTGGATTTGGTTTGGATCTAAAGTGTTAACGTGGTTACATGCTACTATTTTACATTAATACCAAATGTTCTAACACACCTTCAAATCAGTAGTGGCTGTTTTCTCCCAATAAGAGGAGCAACAGCCACAGTCCTATAAAAAGAGTACTGAAAACTGGAATTAAATCATTTAACGGTGCCTTCACTAACCGCAGCAGCACTTGCCCAAACTCACAAACAGGGACTACATTTCCCAGCACGCACTTCGCTAAGCAGTTCTGAGTGCAGGACATCAAAAAGTGGAATGCGATCTAAAAAAAAATAATAAATCCATTTTCTAGGATGCCGCCGCCCGACCATGAGTCGTACAAAGCGCTTTGGCTGCCTCAGATCGGACTTCATTTCCCAGCATGCCCATGGAATGAAGGATGGAAACGGGGGAAGGGTGATTCCCCACCACCACCACCAGAAAACTACGCTTCCCAGCGTGCTGAGGCTTGTCGAGTGTGTGACGTCGCTCCGCCTGTCAGAGTTGGATTTTCGCGCGAAAAAAAATAGAAAGGTTTGCAAAGCGGCAGAGAGAGAGAGAGAGAGAGACAGCGATATCGACGTTGCAGGGGCTCGTGCAGGTAACTGTCGCGTGCAGGCCGCTGAAGGAACCTTCGCAACGAGGGGGGGAGGGGCGGGGTAAAGTTTTGGCGGGAATTCACTGGGCAGCGCGAGACGGAGAGTGGGCCCCCCCTTTCGCGAGGGGGGGAATGGCGGGAATGTGGCAACCCCTCCCCCCACCCCAGTTCTCCAAGGAGGCGCCCCCTCACCTGCCCCTTTTTTCTTCTTACTCTTCTTCCCAAGGACCCAAGAGGCCGTCGGGTATTATTCTCTTTGGCTCCCATCACCCCCACCATCACCTCCGCTGGAGGTGGCCTCCTCTGCTCCTCTCAGTGGATGGGGTTCTTTAAACGAAAAACGGTTTATTCGTTCGTTGTTTGTCTCATTCGCCGTTATGAGGGCGGCGTTTTTCTATCTCTCCCCCCCCCCGCACGCCTTTCTTCAACAGAAGGTGTGGCGACGTTTTTTCATACAAAATGAAGGGGCGCAGGCAGAGATACTATTGTGCCGACAAGGGCCAACCAGCCTGTTCCTGGTGAAAGAAACAAATCCTGCCACATCCGGAGTTCTGTTTCTTGGTCATTTAAAATGTGGCAGGACACGGGAAACTAGATAAAACTGTGGGGCACTTGAGCGTCACCATGGACGCCTGTTTGGGTGCTGAGGTTCCTGCGCTTTCAAAAGTTAGGAAGCAGAGGAAAGCCTCTCCTGCTGAAGTTTCTCCTTTTCCACAACTTTTAAAGGCACAGGGACCCTGTCCCTGCTTTCTATCAGGCAACATATGTAGCAGCTGCAAGGAATTTTGCCTACTGTGTATTTGTAAGTCGATTAATCTTAAGAGGTCTAGCACTTCTCTGCTATGCAGCTGAAGCACAAGGATGTTCCTCTAGACCCTGAAAAAGACATGGCACCAGATAATGTAGCTTCTCCACTGTACCTTTTGCTTCACAGATCTTTCCTTTTTTTAGGTTGCATGCTCTTGGCTGTGTAGTGCCACAGGAAGCGTTTCAACATAATTTCTTTTTTTAAAAAGAAAGCCTTAATTCCACACACATATATTCAGCAGCTGCCATCCCCTTCTATCCTGTCTTGTGGCACATAGTACTATGAGGGATTTACAGGGGGACTGCACCCACACCCACACCCACACCAAATTGTAGTTGAGGTGTTTTATGCACAGTTGAGTAAAACAGTTCTAATCCATGTTAGTGACGGGGGATATAAAATCATTAGCTAGTACAGTAGTCTTGATTAGTTCACAATATACATGTAAGATTATGTATAGAAGGGTGCACAAGTTAGCTGCATTTTTTTTCCACCACCCTTTCCTATTTAAATTCATTTTAGTCTCAAGGACAACTGGGGCCAAGTGACACTACAGGAAGTGCTCTCCTTCTTTTTCCTAAGGTGCCTCTGTCAGTCCCTCGCCAACTCCATCCTCTTTTTTTGTACCTAGCGAAAGGGTTGTGGAGGCTCACAGCACTGTCTCTCAGCTGACTAGGAGGGAACTGTAACTGTGGAGACACTGTATTGTGAACCAGACAGCTGTGTCTCATAAGACTAGCTATTCATACTACACTTTTGGGTTTCCTCCACAGTACAAGTATGTGCCGTATGTGTGAATGTTTGAGGTGTCGTGTATACTCCGTAGCATGCTCCCACTGTCGTGCCTTTAAATATATATATATATTCATTCATTTCTAATTGTCATATCACAATGACTTGGAATGGATATCAACACTTAAAGCAAGATCATGAAAAATATGAAGTACTGCATCTTGAGATGGATTAATATTTATACTTTATTTGCCTGAGCTTTAAAATCAACCCAGATGAGGTCTTGCCATACTTCTGGGAGTAGTTCAGGCTCGAACTAACGCATGACTTGTTTGTTCATCTGCTTCCTCTTTTCATTTTTATCAGCTATAGCCCATGAGAGGATAGAATCTAACAACCTGTTCCATGAACCCCACTTGTGCTCTCTTTGCCTTGTGGAAGTGGCCAGTCGAGTTGTTATTCTGACAGCAGGTTCAGTACTACCCTTATGCAAAGCTGCACAATGCAAAGCACTATAAGGTAAGCATCACCTTGGAATGTGGGAATGAGGAGAACTTTCCCCCCCCAAATGTTCAAACATAGAAATTGGCAACTTGGGGAAATGTTTCCTTGTCAAATATTTTTTGCTGGGCTGAACAGTGTGATCGTTCTTTGTCAGCCTTTTCAGACCCAGTACCCGCTTTTAACCCAGACATGCATTTGGGGACCCACTTCTTAATCTTTTACCATACATTTGCACGGTGGTAGTTTTCCTGTAGCAACCCACTTTGGATCAGGCCACAACCCACTAGTGGGTTCCAACCCACCAGTACTGTGTGCATGGTTCTCATTCTCCCTATTTTTATCCTCACAACAACCCTGTGCGGTAGGTCAGGCTGAGAGAGACTAGTTGGCCCAAGGTCACTTAGCAAGCTTCATGACTGCATAGGAGGACTTGAACCCTACTCTCCTAGTTCCTAGTCTGCCCCTCTAACCACTCCACCAGCACTGACTTGCCATGTATCATCATGCGTACTATTTCTACCTAAGATACCCGTGTAATAATATGTGACTCTATTGGGTATTGGGGGGAGCTGTTGGCTTTTCGAACAGCCAGAAGTACTGATAACTTCAGTCCTGTTGTTGAAAGAAGTAGGTGAACTCTGCTGCCAGGAGTAGAGGAAGATAACAGACATAACCATATTTATTTGTATCTGGGCAGATCATTCTTCCAGCCCCTGGCACAAACAAAGCCTGGAAAAGAAGCAGCAGAGAAGAATCACCTGGAAGAGGAGCCTGCCCCCAAAAGGTAAGTCACATTGGGGTATGCACTGTATATGGACAAAACTGTACACTACTCCCCCTTTTTAATGCAGTTTGAAACTCTCAGGATGCAAAATTTTCATAGAATAACAGATTCCACACATGCACAATAAAATCTGCTGAAGACCAGTGCTTTTAAGTAAGAGTCTTTTGGTTTTACTCTTACAATGCAGTGGTACTTTGGTTCTCAAACTTAATCCATTCCAGAAGTCTGTTCCAAAACCAAAGCATTCCAAAACCAAGGTGTGCTTTCCCATAGAAAGTAATACAAAACAGATCAATCCGTTCCAGACTTTAAAAAACAACCTCTAAAACAGCAATTTAACATGAATTTTACTATATAACGAGACCATTGATCCATAAAATGAAAGCAATAATCAATATACTGTACTAAAAAATAAATAAGACAGTATTGTAGATGATAAAAATAAAAATTAATTTTTTTCTTACCTGCACTGATGATAGTCATTGTTTGAATGGGGGGCTTTTATCCATTTCCGCAGTCACACAATCCATCAGTAGCTGAACTGGGTTCCACACAGTCACAAAAACAAGTGAACTGAAAAAGCCTCAAAAACAAAAATGCAAAATAAAAAGCAAAAACAAAAGCGCCAAACTTAATCTATTCCGGAAGTCCGTTTGATTTCTGAAATGTTCGAAAACTAAGGCACAGCTTCTGATTGGTGCAGGTGCCCTGGAAACAATAGCTGACAGCCGGGTTTTCGGCGTTTAAGAACCAAGGCACCACTGTATTTTCTCAAAATATTTAAAATGCATTTAATGATATTAGATAAATACACGTGAAGAAGTACAAATTAGGAACAGTGTTAATGTAAAACAATTTTATACTTCCAAGCAGCACTTTTCAATTCTACCACATGTTTCTCTCTCAGAAGCAAAGAAGCTTTAATTACTGTTATTACATTTATATCCCACTTTTTAGGATAACAGATTTCTTGTTGAAGCTAAAAATGAAATTTAAAGGAAAACCAAAAATACTGTTCAGCAATCCAATATGGTCATTATCTGTTTAAATATGAAATATATTTTTATTTTTATTTTTGTTATAATTATGTCATTGGTTGTATTACTATTATTATAGAGTGGGAGCATTTATTATTCCAACACTGAAAAGAGTTGACCCTCTTAGAAGGTTGGTAAGGAACTGTATCATGTGATGGACAAGAGCATTCCAAAGCAGTTAGAATCGGTTAGGAGAAAGCTGCAATCCAATAAACTCTTGCCCATCCATAGGGCTTAATTCTGAGTAGACAAGTGTAGTCCAAGTAGCATGAAACAAAACAGGAGAATATGGAAAGAGAGACTTCACAGGTGTTTTAGTGTCAGGATTTAATGTAACTATTAACATGAACAAGTTCGTTTGATCTTTTACTTATTGTTTGCTTTTTCACTTTTTATGTATAAGTTCCTTGACACTGATATAAGAATCAGAGACCCAGGGTGTACATTTTGATTTAATTATGTTTCAAATACTAATGACATCTAATGTATAGAAAGATAGAATGCATCACTGAATAGTTTTTATGTGTGGTTCCTGTGTGCCTACATTTTATAACCCCTGTTGCTCTCTAGGCCATAAACAAGAAACCCTATCTAACCTTGTAAGTTGCACAAATGGTTATGTTCTAGTTAACATCAGAGTGTAAATCCAAACATCTCCATGAAGCTTCCTGAAATGTCCTAGGGACAAGGGAAGTGAGATAGGGACTGGAATGCAAACAACCCTTCTGAAGGCCTGGTTAACAAGGAAATGGTGATAGAAATGCAACATTTGAGACCAAATAGCCAGGACACTCTTGGGGTATCTCAAGGTGATTGCGGGGGTGAATATATAGAACCAGTGTGAGAACCAGTGTGGTGTAGTGGTTAAGAGTGGTAGTCACGTAATCTGGGGAACCGGGTTCGCGTCTCCACTCCTCCACATGCAGCTGCTGGGTGACCTTGGGCCAGTCACACTTCTTTGAAGTCTCTCAGCCCCACTCACCTCACAGAGTGTTTGTTGTGGGGGAGGAAGGGAAAGGAGAATGTTAGCCGCTTTGAGACTCCTTAAAGGGAGTGAAAGGCAGGATATCAAATCCAAACTCTTCTTCAACCATATATGTTTTACTTGTCGTGTAACCTTTCTTGATGTATGTAGAAGGATGTTTATGTTTTGAGAATGCTTAGGTGTTTTATGACTCTTTGTGTGCTGTGCCTATAAAACCCTTGTTTTAATTCTTCTTAAGTGGTGGTTTGACTAGAATAGCCACATTAAGTTGGTCCTTTTGCAATAGTATCTAATGAACTCCAAGTCCCTAACTGGATCTGCTGAATCTTGCTGTAATTCTCTTGGTTCCGTGTTTTATTTTAAAGCTGTCCCCTCACCTGGGTAACAAGTGGTGTAAAAGTAAATTCTTTCCACACCATCAATTCTTTTTACCTCTTCACAGTGTGCCTGAAGTGTAATTGCTACCTAAACCTCTCAGCTAGAACATTTGCTCCTGCCCTTTGCTGATGGCACATAAACTAGAATGGATTTTGAAATGAATCCAGCTCAAAGAGTCCACATTAGGGATGGATGATGGGCTTGTGCATACATGGGAGAGCCTGTATGGTATAGAGGTTAGAGTTTTGGATTAGGACTGTAGAGATCCAAATTCAGGTGCCCATTCAGCCATAAAGGTCACTTCATGAACTTTGGCCAGTAATTATCTCTCAGCCTAACCTACCTTATAGGGCGGTTGTGAGTATAAAATGATTGAGGAAGACTATGTTTGCCAACTTGTGGTCTTTGGAGGAAAGTTGGGGTTAATAATAATAATAATAAGTCCAGTTGTTCTGTTTCTAAGCATTCTGTCTCTTTTCAGGAAACTTGTAGATTCTGAACCACAGGTAAATGGTACAACACACCATGCAAATTCCTCAGTGAATACTGCAGCCCAAAAAACCACCTCCGTTATTAAAAGTGAAGCGGATTCTGGAAAACCAAAACAAAAGGATACAGAGGCAGATAATAACAAGCAGGTAGGCCCCCTTTCTGACATTCCCTGATCTTTGAATAACTATTCATGCAGAAATCAATCCATCTCTGAAAGCTGTAGTTCAGGTCTTGCAGCCCTGGTCTTTTGGGTGTAATTTCAGTTTCCAGCAACTTAGTGTATTTAGGGTGCCCTGGTTCATCACTATGTATAAAGACTGCTACACACCCCTTTTACCCTCAAAACCACATCCTTTGTAGTGCCTCTTTCATTTCAACATTAAATTGATTCTCAGGTAGTTTTCTTGTCCTGCCCAGCCCCAAGAATGCAACACCTTTATTTGGAGTTATTTCTGCTGCCGACACCTTTTTACTGTGCAGTTCTGCCATTTTAGGTTTCTGACTGTGTTCCTGAGCAAAAGATTCCTGCGCAGAGCACCTCACAAAGCACCAGCCCAGCTACCTCTAATTCGCCCTCACCCACCTACATTCCCCGGCGCAGAACAGGTAGGTACCCAGCCATTTGGTCATCAAGAGCATCCATAAAATCTTAGGTTTTTTCTTCTTCTGTACATGATACCCTGTTTCCCCAAAAATAAGACAGTGTCTTATATTAATTTTTGCTCCCAAAGATGCACTAGGTCTTATTTTCAGGGGATGTCTTATTTTTCCATGAAAAAGAATACGGTACACATTTATTGTTGAACAAAAAAAAGGGAAATTTATTACCTGTATACGGTACAACGCCTTACGGTAGCTTCGGGGGCCTTATATTCCGGAGTGGCCTTATTATCGGGGAGGCCTTATATTTGGGGGAGGCCTTATATTACAGTGAGAGGCAAAACTGGAAGTAGGTCTTATTTTCGGGGGATGTCTTACTTTCGGGGAAACAGGGTAGTATAGTGGAATATTGGCCTGGCTCTTATCTTACAACTTTCACCTCTCTGCTATAAGACTTCTTTAGTGGCATTTGTTTTGAAATTATTCTTTAAACACATAAGAAAGTAAGTTTCTTTGAAGTTAGAGAGGTTTAGTTCTAAGTAAGCATGCACTGTTTAGAATATGGGCTTATTGATAAAAGAACTTCTAGTTCTTTTAGCTGCTTGGAAAGACTGTTACATACATGCACATCACATATTTAAATTCTCTAAGTTTCCCTGTGTTATACGTTTGAAAAAATAAGATAGCAAGGATGGATGGACCCACAACTTGCAATAAAATAGTTCTTCTGATGCAGCAGAGCAGGTTGAAATCACAAATGTGTTGAAAAGTTTTTTGCACACTTTAAAGTAATAGCTTTATCACCAGGCTGTTTCCTCTTAATTGGAGTGACTAGAGAAATTTGGCTCTGAACAGAAGGACAATTTGCAGTTTGAGATACACATAGGGGGTTCATTAGATTCCAGAGCCTGGGAAAGTAGTTTTCAATCATAGCAATCCTAGAAAAATGCAAAGAATCTTCAAATAGTGAATACAGGCAAAGAAAAACTGGAACTAAGGCTTCCAACATGGTGTTCTCTAAGGCTTCCCTTAAAATATTTCACTTCCCTTTCAGCAGCCTACCATCTTAACCCTTTTGGAAAATTCCCTCAGGCTAACACATCAGTGTGTGGTATTATGGCTAGACAAGTGCAGAGACAGAACCCATAGGACCTGAACATCATTAATGTCTGTGAATGTGACATTCCATTGTTGCACCCATAACCTAGGTTTAAGGTGACATTTAGCTCCTAGCTTTCATACCTCAGTTTGGCTGAGGGGCTAGTGAGGTGACAACTAACTCTTATGTTTGTTTGTACCAACAAGAAATTATCTTAATTGTTAAGAAAATTGTAGTGCCAATTTGTCCATCAGCAAGACTTATCTCTGCCTTCAGCACGCAAGCAGCTCCCTAAACGTAAAGCAGAGGAAGAAGTCAGTAACCATGATAGCATCCAGCAGGAACATTGTACCAAAAGATGGAAAGGAGATGATGAGGATGGAGAGGGTGAGTACTTTCTGATGCCTGGTTGGAAGGCTGAAGAAAGGTACAAGGTGATATCCAGATATCCAGACTGAACCTTCTTTGAATTCTGTTAGACCTTGTCTTCTCCTTCTTGTGTAGGCACAAAAGGGGAGCCAGATGAGGAGTCCATCAAGACAGAAGAAATGAAAGATGATAATTCAGAACTGGTGCAGGTAAAAATTGAGGTAGATGCAGAGGAAGAGACAACAGCAGCACCCCCTAAGCCATCCAGCAAGCCCATCTCTAATTTTTTTGGTGAGCATATGGTAGATGCAAATATTCATGCTCAAATGATAGTACTTCTATTAGATCCCCACTGAGAATGTTGTGTGGGAATGTATCCTTCTTGTGTAGGTACAAAAGGGGAGCCAGATGAGGAGTCCATCAAGACAGAAGAAGTGAAAGATGATGATTCAGAACTGGTGCAGGTAAAAATTGAGGTAGATGCAGAGGAAGAGACAACACCAGCACCCCCTAAGCCATCCAGCAAGCCCATCTCTAATTTTTTTGGTGAGTATATGGTAGATGGAAATATTCATGCTCAAATGATAGTACTTCTATTAGATCCCCACTGAGAATGTTGTGTGGGAATATATCCATGGCCCCATTTAGAAACCACTATATGATGAGAGTTTTGGATTCTTGAAAATAAAGGATTTTTTAAAAAAATATAGTCAGAATGGTTGTGAAAGGAAATTTGAAAGGGATTGGCAAAGAGCTTTGTGTGGAAGAAAGAATACCTTCTACACCAGTACTGTACTGCATAACACGGAGATAACAGATGCCAGGAGGTTTGTGGGTCTCCCTCTGAAGACTGTTTGGAAACTTCAGCTGGTGCAGAATTCAGTGGCCAGGTTGCTCACTGGGGCAAGATGGTCTGAGCATGTAACACCAATCCTGGTCCTACTGCACTAGCTGCTATTAGCTTCTGGACCTAATTCAAAATACTACTCAGGACCACAATACCTCAAGGTCTGCCTCCCCATATGAACCAACCCAGACCCTGCACACTTCATCTGAGGCCCTTCTTCATGTGCCGCCTCTGCAAGAAGTCCAGAGGTCAGCAACACAAAAACGGGCATTTTCTGCAGTGGCTCCTCATTTGTGGAATGCTCTATCCAGTGAGGCTCACCTGGCCCTATCATTATACGTCTTTAGGTGACAGGCAAAAACTTCCCTTTATAACCAGGCCTTTTTTACTTTTAACTATTTGTGGTCTTTTTAGAAGTGAATGGGATGTTTTTAATGTATTCCTCTTTCATCTTGATTTTAATGTATCTATGTGGGGTTTATTGTCTGTTTGTTTGATTGATTGGAAGTTGCTTTGGATTGCCCTGGGCAAGATAAAGCAACTGACAAATTTAATAAAATAAAAAAGGAAAATGAAAAATAAGAAGTGATTCTGAAATCTCACTGTTGATAGCCCAAGAAGGGGCTAAGAGTCTGGCCTACTGCAGAATGCTTCCAAAGTCTTAGACTTGGTTCCAGTACCTCCTAAGTTTGTGGTAATTCTCATAGATTAATCAGTACTCCAAAATAGTTGTTCTACCTATGGAGGGAAACTGCCACATTTGTCTCATTTCTGCCTTATAGCCCCTCGGAAAGCCTCTGTGAAGACAGAGAAAAAAGAAGTGCCGGTGATAGGAGGAAGCATGTCTGCACCAAAGAGCCTTAATGGCCATGAATCCAATAGCAAAGCTGACTGGCAAGTGATCAGTGCCATTTGAGGCACTATATTTCTTTTGTGTTACCACCAGGTTAGGACTCTAGAGTAGCATGCAGGAATTCATACAATTGCCAGCCACTCTGAATGGAAGCAAGCTAGTTTTTGCTCACTTGGGAGAGTTGATTGGAGGGAAAACCAAAGGTAATGGTAGCAGCACAGTAAGAGAGACTGTAAAGTGTTTTGTCCACAGAAAAAAAACCACCATAGATGAGAATAAATTCAAATATTTCTGTTTTGGACTGTTCTGGGAGCCCCACAATTGTACATGTTATGTTTGTTATTTCTAACAACAGTAATGATGGTGGTAAGAAGTTAGGGCTGGCAGACAGTGCCTTGACAAACTTTGAACTTTCTCTTTCACTGTTTGTATAGAAGAATTGGTCTATGTTTCTGCTCATTCCCAAGTAAGGAATCCCACCACAATCCCCCTTCATTCTTACCCATCTTCTCTCCTGCATAAACTAGGCATACTTTGAGAATCTCCTTGTCCAAGGAGACACTTGAATTGATGGTTGTGGTCAGTGCTTTCCCCCCCTAGAAAAATAGGTACTGGTACTCGCCATGAAGCTGTTAAAGTAAGTGTCACTTTTTAACAAAAAAAAGAGAGGTGCCGGTAATGTGTACCCTTGAGTACTCCCTGAAAAAAAAGCACTGGTTGTGGTCATTATTGGCCCCATCATTCACTTGATGAGTTGCTAATTTAACTTAGTTGTCTTCTCTGTTCCTTGTCACATTTGTGAAGGCTATCCCTAGAGCTTTGATTAGCTTAGTACTGATTATAAGAAAAAGCTAGTAACTCCAATCCCAGACTGGGTAAAGAATGCCTGGGGAAATAATATGTGTTGATCTGGGTCTTGGCTGGCTTTGTGGGAAGAGTTGAGGTTACTAATATTTCTCAAGGTGCCATTGAATTCCACACCCTCAAGTAGTCTAGTCACATGTGGGGTCTAAAATGGTTTTGACTATATTATTTTTATCTTCTTCTAACTAATGTGTATTGAGTAATGCTAGAAAGTTTCAGCTCTTGTCAGTGCTAGTTTGTCTAAATAAGATGACCAACTTTGAACCATTTTGGATCCTATCAGTCTATCTTTAGGAGAGGTCTATAAATAACCACTTGCTTGTGCTGAGCCAAAAATTAGCATCAGGAGATGGAGAGTTATTGTAAACAAAGTAACAGTGGATTATGCATGTGCAGGTGAACTAATTTATTTTAAGAGAAAAAGGTTAATAGTTTGAAACCTTTGTGGACTTATTTGCTAAGTTGCCTGAACACATACATGACGATCACAGTCAAACTGCATGCCTACTTCCTACTTTTATAGTTCTGCCAAGCCATCTCTTACACTTGAGCCTACAAATTACAACCCAATGAAGGGAAATTATCATCCTGTAAACGATGCTTGTTGGGGCCCTGGCCAGAGGTAAGTGCTGTTGGAGTGGGGGCCTTTTTTGTGTGACAGAAGGCTGTTAGTCTCAACCCTTGTTTCCATAGTCTACCTTCATACACCCCTTATAATCCAAGAACCAGAGAGCATAGATTACAAGTGGCTAACCTGTGACCCCCAGATGTTGTTGGACTCCCAACTCCCATCAACTCCAGGCAGCATGGCCTATAGTCAGAGAAGATGGCAGGCCAGCAACATCAGGAAGGCTAAAGATTAGCCATCCTGTTTGGATTATCTGTTTTCATGTTAGCCACATTCATGCTTGACCATAGAATCATAGTGCTGAAAATTACTGCATTGATCATCTAATCCAATTCCTACCCTGAGGTCAGATTCTAAACGGTCCAAAAAAGCACTCTTGTCATTGGTTTGTCGCTCCATGTTGGGGTGCTTTGCTTTGGTTGGAGGGAGAAAGTGGCTTTCTTCTATGGTGTATCTTGGTTTACTTGTTTCAGTCAATGCAGAAGGCGGATGGACTTTTTGGTATGGCTTAAGGCTTTTTAATACTCACATTCTATGACCACAGCCCTTGCCAGGCAATGTAAAAGGTACAAGAAAGCAGCAACTGACTCTGTTGCCTGGTCCTTATTTAGCTACATGGCTCTGAACCAGTGTCATGTCCTCATTCCTCTGACAGGGTACCATACCTGGCAGTAGCTCGTACCTTTGAGAAGATTGAGGAGGAATCTGCCCGGTAAGGTCACTTTCTAGAATTCATGGGATGAATGGGGCTAGCATTTTATCTGACCACAAGCTGTTCTAACACGCTTCTGATCTATGTTGCCAGGTTGAAAATTATAGAGACCCTGAGCAATCTTTTCCGCTCTGTGATTGCTCTGTCTCCAGAGGACTTGCTGCCCTGTGTCTACCTCTGTCTCAACCGGTTAGGCCCAGCATATGAGGGCCTAGAGTTGGGCATTGGTAAAACCATCCTCATGAAAGCTTTGGCTCAGGCCACAGGTGAGTTTGCCCAGTTACAGTTACTGCTAATCTCCAGGCATTCAGCACCAATGTAGTAATGGCTGCCTCTGTCCTTATCTAAATGATGAGACTGTCAGGAATTCATAAGAAATTGGTGATTGAGCTAGACCATGGTGTTCATGATCATCCTTCCTTCTGTAGGTCGTAATTTGGACCAGATCAAGGCAGAAGCAGCAGAAAAGGGAGACCTGGGTTTGGTTGCTGAGAGTAGCCGCACTACACAGGGTACCATGTTTGCCCCACCCAAGCTTGATGCTGCTTTTGTCTTTGGCAAACTTCAGGCCATTGGGCGCATGACAGGAAGCTCTGTAAGTAATGGATGATTAGGCACGGATGGTCAGGGACAAGCGTCAAGAGAAAGCATTGGGTTATCTGGGGAAGGGGCAAGATTGAGGTCAGGTTAAGCCTAAAGCAGAGACTTAGAACCTCCAGCACATGGGTCTAATTTGGCCTGCTATCCCCTTTTTTGTCAAGCCACACTCATCTGTGGAGCATGTAAAGACCTGGCTTAGCCAAAGGAGGTTTGCTATGGTTTGTGCAATAGGCTTTGCAAGACCTGACCACCAGTGAAACACTTCGAAAGGAGCTTTGCAACCAGTGCACTTGCCTGCACAGTTGGATTTGAAACTGCAGGCAAAAAAGATCAGCTGATGTTATAACACCAGATGATTGACAGGTGGACCATCCTTTCCACCTACCAAATTTGTGTTACACAGTGGAGAGATATAATAATTCTGGCCCACCATCCAAATCTAGTTCACCATCCCCAAAGCGTTTCTCCTCTAATGTGCATTTGGTACAGCATATCTGATGTGATATTTTCCAAGAAAGCACAGATAATGCTGTGCTAAAGGAGTATACATGTGTGGTACGAGGGCTCTCAAATAGTACAAGGATTCTAAAGCAGAGGGTTTTTCTCTGTACTTTTAGATTGGGCTGTTCTTTTACTACAAATCATACAAAGGATAGGCTACAGAGTCCCCAAGGGAACATAGCTATAAGCTAATATCTGGGAGGGGAGTTGTAAAAGCATTAAATTGAACACAATTTTTGTGAGCTTGCTATCTTCATTCATTCATTTAAAAGCATTTCTAAGCTACTTAATATTTAAAAATCTGTAAGCAGTATACAAAAATAGCATAAAAACAATTAAAAGCAGTAAAACAGCATTATAAAAAGAGGAGCAGTTAAACACAGGTATTCAGAAACATCAGGGTCCATTCTTTCAGGTCAGTGAAAGCTGGGCAAAAATACATGTCTTCACATGATGTCTGAAGCAACCAAGATATATGCTTCATGTATGGCAGAGGAATGGGGATTCCACTGTATTTCATTATATAACACTAAAAAGAGTTCCTGAAGTATGTGCCAGGTTGCCCTTCCCTCCAGATGCATCTCAACATTAACTCCTATTTGTGCCCCTTTCAGTCAATGAACAAGAAGATTGACATTATCAAGACTTTGTTTGTTGCTTGCCGCTATTCAGAGGCTCGCTACGTTGCTCGGTGAGTGAGATATATCTTCCTCTAGTGTGCCTCCTCTCATATCCTCACTTTAGCACCTCCATACTGCACCCCTGTAACATTCTGTTCCCTAAAACTATACTGTAAGTTATTTCTTCCACTCCTATCTTACCCGTTGGTTTATTGTTGCCACACACCACCCTATTTCTCAATCCCCACTCCTAATATCCCTGCTTCCAACAAACACAGACCCATTCACACAGAGTTCTCTTAGAGTTCTCCTAGAGCCCTCAATGCCAGCCTTGTAATGTTACAATTGGGGTTTTTTTCTTGTATCACAGGTCACTAGAAGGAAAACTGAGGATTGGGTTAGCAGAGCAGTCTGTCCTGTCTGCTCTGGCCCAGGCAGCATCACTCACTCCTCCAGGACAAAGTGAGTTCAGGATACAGTACAGCAGTGAGGGTTGGAGCTGTGTTGTGTTGCAGCTGGGAATAGTTAGTGTCCAATGTCAAGCATTTGGATGTTGCATGTAGGGAATTTGGTGCCATCCACAGGACAAGAGTATTGTGTATTTTGCAATTGGTCAGAATTAAATGCAAATAAATGGGTATCTTATTTCCAAAGATGAGATTTTGTAAGAATGTGGAATTTGAAGCTTTGAGACATGGAGGAGAAGGAATAGGAGAAAGACAAAAAGTTGGGCTGTGGTAGCCATGAATGATACGGAACGTTGCAATATATTTAAGCACGCTCAGCTTCCCTTTGTTTCCTGATCTGTTTCCAGATACTGTCTATGTATAAAAACTTCCTTGTTATCTCGCAAGCTTAAGGGTTAGGAATTAAAATTGAAAACTGTGTTTAACAGATTCTGTATTTTTCATAGTGAAATCATAAACAAAAAGGCACATCCCAGCTATAGGGACCTTAGCAGTTTATATGTGAGCCACTAGGAATAGATATATTTCTTCCCTCTATAGAATTTCCCCCAGGAGTTTTGGATGCTTCAAAGGGCAAGTCTGCAGAAGTGCGCAAAAACTGGTTGGATGAGAGAGCATTGATTATTAAACAGGCCTTCTGGTAAGTAACATTGTGCTTAATGTTCAGACCCAATTGTTTTTCATCTGTCCCTAGTTCTCTGTCTTCAGAGACTGAATTAGCTAAAGTTTCAAAGAGCAATGGGACCTCAGGGAATATCAGATCTTTTTGCTCTCAGCCACGTGTATGTGGGCCTTTCCAGTCTAAAATAAATAAGTGTATCCATTCTGGGCTGATAAGAATAACCATGTGTGGTAAAATAGTAATCGTGGGCACTGTTAATCTGCTAGTTTGCATTTTATGTGTAAACTCAGCCTACCCCACAAAATGCCTAAATGCACTCCTTGTTCTGGGGAGGGAAGGGGAGAGGGTTGCTCTTATTGTATTGTAATCAGATTGGAGTGCAAATTATCAAATTAGTAATAAAATGTGCGTTTTTCTCACGTTAGCCTTTCTTTCCTACAACCTGGAGCCTGATAGAACTTTCTGCAAGAGCAAATACATGCCAGAGAAGACATACATAGCCATAGGGAGTGCTGCATGAGTAGCGCTGGCTTCTGAATCAGCAGCCTAGCGCTGCAAGCAGTACTACTCTTTTGCAAGACCTTGGCTTGGAACCAAAGCCTTAGCAGAAATCTTAAGTCATTCTGGTTTACTTTGTTTTCAGTGAGCTGCCAAATTATGATACTATTGTGCCTGTCCTTCTGGAACATGGTGTGGAGAGTCTGCCTCATCACTGCAAGATCACACCAGGTACCTAGAACATTTATCTTGTGTGTGGAAGGAAATTTAATGTATTGCTTTCAGCAGAGTGTTTACCTCTTTTCCAGAATTATTTATTCTCCTACAAGGAAGAGGGAATCTTCTGATGGGTTGGTCCTCCCTCTCACACCAATATGCAGGGCTATTCAAATTAGCTGCAATACAAGGGAGAAAGTCCCTCTCAGTTCTAGTCCTGCCTCTGATCAGGGTTCTGGCTAGCTCCACCTTTTTTGCTGATTCTGCCTAGAATTTTTTTGTCCTTCTCTCAGTTTTCTTCTGAAAACTGTTAACCAGTACAAAACAAAAATTTCTAAAAAACATATGCTTTCATTTACAGAAACAAAATAAACCAGTTTCTAATCCTCTTGGTTGTGGGTGTATATTTTAAAACACAGATGTTGTCTATAACAACAGTAAGAAGTGATTCTGTCATGCATGACTTCATGTTTTGGAATCTCTTAAATTGGGAACTCCATACTTAAATTGGGAAGAATTAATAATAATAATAATAATAATAATAATAATAATAATAAATTTATTACTTATACCACGCCCATCCAGCTGGGTGTCCCCAGCCACTCTGGGTGGTTCCCAACAGATTAAAAACAGAATAAAACATCAAACATTAAAAGCTTCCCTAAATAGGGCTGCCTTCAGATGTCTTCTAAAAGTCAGATAATTGTTTATTTCCTTGACATCTGATGGAAGGGCGTTCCACAAGGTGGGTGCCATCACCGAGAAGGCCCTCTGCCTGGTTCCCTACATCTTTCAGTGAGGGAACCACCAGAAGGCCCTTGGAGCTGGACCTCAGTGTCTGGGCAGAACATTGAGGGTGGAGACGCTCCTTCGGGTATACTGGGCTGAGGCTATATTAATAGGGGGGGAAATGTTGAGCTTCCCTTGCCCCTTCTCCATTACCATCATATGTTTCCTGAATCCTGTTCTTTTCCATACAGGGATCTCTGTCACTTTCCCTTCCAATGACTTGCTGATTAAACTGTTGTTGCAAATCTCAGCTTGTGTACTTTCCCCACAGGGATTCCACTGAAGCCCATGCTGGCTCACCCAACAAGGGGAATTGGGGAGATATTAAAGCGATTTGAAGAGGCAGCTTTCACCTGTGAATACAAATACGATGGGGAGCGAGCACAGGTAAGGATGCTAAGGATGCATGGTGTAAGGCCAAAAAGGGGAATCCACCCCCATCCCTTTTCAATTTGTAGCTCAAGCTCAACTGTTTCGTTTCTCACAGATACACATCCTGGAGAATGGAGAAGTGCACGTCTATAGCCGGAACCAAGAGAACAACACAACAAAGTACCCCGACATTGTCAGCCGTATCCCCAAGGTGCAGCAACATTTAGAAGTATGGGATGAAGGGAGTGCATAACTAGGAGGGAACAGAATGTGGTGGAGGCTTGCTAACACAGGGTCATCTCTATAGCTACTGGGTCTCAAAAGGGTAGCCAAGCTAAATCCACTCCCTTGTTCAGGTAAAAAGGAGCACTGTGCAATCATGCATTTTGGATGCAGAAGCTGTTGCCTGGGATCCTGATTCCAAACAGATCCAGCCATTCCAGGTACTCACCACCCGCAAGCGCAAGGTAAGTGGCCTCTGCTGGATTGTTTTACAAAAATATTAATCGGGTATGGTGCACACCATAGTTATAATGAGGTGGATTATGTTTGGATTGGGGAAGGAGGGTATTGCATGTGGGTGTTATGGCTTTGGGAATAAGAGTACCTTCCATGAATAAATTGTGCGGCATATGGAAAGATTTCTCTTCTAGCATCTGTTAGTTGGGGTGTGCAAGAGACGTGAGGAAAAATAAAACCAATAAGCAGAAACATTTCAAAGAAATTTTCCTGTGGAAATTTGTACTTCCCCTTTTCTCTGACTGCACCTTTATTCTCCAGGATGTAGAGGCCACAGAGATCCGAGTGCAGGTTTGTGTGTATGCATTCGACATGCTCTTCCTTAATGGACAGGTAAGTGTATCCAGTATGACCTGGATCTTTGGTGCTTTCAGTCATTTGTTTTCCTGATGCCCTGCTTTAGGCCTTCCTCACCCCACTGGAGTCCCTGTTCTGTATCTGCCTTTCAAAATGCGTAATTGTGCATCTTTCCAGTCTCTAGTCCGGAAACCCCTATCTGAGCGCCGGGCTTTGCTTCATGATTCCTTCAATGAAGTTGAAGGCCAGTTCCTGTTTGCAACCTCCATGGACACTAGTAACACTGATGAGATAGCAGACTTCCTCGAATGCTCCATCAAAGGTATTGTGGGGATAGTGGTGGCTCATTGTTCTCCTTGCCACTGTATTATTTCACATAAGAAGCTCTAGACTCCTGGGGAGCCCCCCAAAATAAGAGCCAGTGTGCAGTCATGGGTAGGAGACCCAGGTTTAATTCTGTGCTTAACATGAAGCTCACTGAGTGACCTTGAGCATGTCCCTCTTTCAGCCTAACCTATTTTATAGTATTGTGAGGATAATGGGGGAACCATGTGGACAGCTTAAAGCTCCTTAACAAAAGGAGCAGGATAAATAAATGTGCCATAGAGGTTGGGATAATAAGGATGGTTTGTCTCCCTCAGACTCATGCGAGGGGCTGATGGTGAAAACGTTGGAAGTGGATGCCACATACGAAATTGCAAAGAGATCTCACAACTGGCTGAAGGTGAGAACAGAATCGCAGTCCAGCTTGTAGTGCCACCTGGCAAAAGAAAGTCTGCTTTAACTCGACTGACCTGAGGCAGAAGTGAAGATTCTGCCCCCTTCCTTTCCCAAATTGGCTGTGCTCTTGTTGGAGGGAGGAGGGCATCTTATTTATTTTCCTCCTTGCTTCTTCATTTGAATAAAATGTCCTTATGGAATGCTGACAATGATATTATAAGCAAAAATTCATAAAAGCAACGTTATATACCTCAAATTCAGAATCAAAATTTGCATCATTTGAAAGTTCTAGACAAAGATACAAGTTCAGCCCATATGCCTGAACAGACAAGTTGCTCCACTTAGTAACTCTGTTTTCCATACCAGCTTAAGAAAGATTATCTGGAGGGTGTTGGCGACACCTTGGACCTTGTGGTGATCGGTGCCTATCTGGGCAAGGGCAAACGTGCAGGCGTATATGGTTGTTTCCTCTTGGCTTGCTATGATGAGTATAGCGAGGAGTTCCAGAGCATCTGCAAGGTAAGGCATTCCCAGGACCACCCAACTGTTAAGGACACTTGGCTTAGTGGTGCCCTGTAGCATCAAGTGCACCTGGCCCGATACTTTAAAAAGTACTTTTGTTTGTTGCCGTTTTATAAGTTAAAAGGCAGGAGGGTAGATGAAAGTAGTCTGAGAAGTAAACTGAATGGGTCTTGCACTTCCCACATCATGTCCAGTGCATGGGTTTGCCAGCTCTGCAAGGCAACACTTCCCTAACAGCCATGTTTCCCCTCTACTCTCAGATAGGCTGTGGATTCACAGATTATGACCTAGAAGAATTCCACACCTCTCTCAAGGTAGGAGCTTTTTTCTGCTCTGACAAACTATCCTCCTGTATGTCCCTCCATGCTTGGATACAGAAGAAATTCTCATTCCCCCCACCCCCACCTTATCGCTTTACAAGGAATTTCTATTTATGTGGAGTTAGGAGTGGCAAAGAAGGGAGCCCATCCTCCTTGGATCTGGCCTTCTGCCCTAGTCAACTATTTCTTGATTTATAGGGGAGAAACGCCAGTGTTCTGGGTCCTATGCCTAGAGAGTCTTAGTGGACACCCAACCCTCAGCTATAAGTAGAGCCCAGAGGAAGATTGTGCAAACTCCTCTGGACTAGTCCATACAAATACTACTTATTCTAGTCTCTATATTGCAGGACTATGTGATTCCACAGCCACGACCCTACTATCGCTGGGGTGGAACAGCTGAGCCTGACCACTGGCTAGAGGCTCAGCATGTCTGGGAGGTGAGGTGTGCTGACTTATCCATTTCTCCAGTCCACAAAGCAGCAGCTGGTTTGGTGAGTGATTGAAGGGCCATTGGTGAGAGATCGTATGTATGATAATTCTACACTAAACCTCTCAAAACTATCCGTAGGACAGGCTTAGATGCATATACTTCACTTACCTGCTTTTTGTTCCTGAACTGTCCCACCCTGGAATAAATTTGTATGAAGGGCAGTACACACATACCTATTTTTTGTTCACATTAATCATTCTGATTAGATACATTGGCTAGAAATTGGCTAGAACTCCAGATAACATATTTTGGGGGAAACTGCCTTGTACAAATAAGGCACTAAACTTCTGACCAGCAAGTCCTTCCACTGCAGGTTGATGAAGAAAAGGGCATCTCCCTCCGCTTTCCCAGATTCGTACGCATCCGTGATGATAAGAAACCAGAGGAAGCCACTGCCAGTACTCAGGTACAGTGATGGGAGGATACATATGTATGGGATTGTAGTCTATGGGTCTATTAGTCATTGTCTGTTTGCAGACTGTGCAGAGCCATCTCTTCCTTTTACTACTCTAGTATTCAATTTCTATAGACCGGCTAAGAAGCGGGTGAGGAGGGAGAAGGGATCATCTTCAGGTTTTCTTGACAGATATGTGACATGCAAGAGATTGGCCTCGTTTTTCTTTGGAAACATATTCAGTGGTACCTCGGGTTAAGAACTTAACCTGAAACTGTTCATAACCTGAGGTACCACTTTAGCTAATGGGGCCTCCTGCTGCTGCTGCACGATTTGGGTTCTCATCCTGAAGCAAAGTTCTTAACCCAAGGTACTATTTCTGGGTTAGCAGAGTCTGTAACCTGAAACGTCTGTAACCCGAGGTACCACTGTACAATTTGGGACAATAAGGAACCAGCTCCCTCCAGAGATCTAAAGGTTTAGGAACACTGGGCAGTATTCGAACACATTCCTTCAGCACAAGGAATTCTGCTTGCACAATAGGACTTCCTCCCTCTCCTCCCCACTATGTGCCCCATGTCCTCCCCAGAGAATTAGGAGAACCCCCTAGAACTGAATTAGGGTGAATGTTCCATTGTGCAAACAGAAATCCTTGCGCTGACAGAATGTTCTCCATAGTGCTATGTTGGATTCCACCCACTGAAACTGTAGATAAGGACTAGGTAGCAGTGTGCAGGGTTACTATGGTGAATGGCAATGGAAAATGGACAGCTTTCCATAATATTTCTCTGGCTGCAGGTGGCTGAGTTGTACCGGAAACAGCAGCAGATTCTGAATCAGCAATCAGTGGAAAAAGGAGATGATGATTTCTACTAATCCTATTCATCTGATTGTGAAAGGGTTTTTGCTGAACCCCTCTTGGAGTCAAGGTAGAACCTTGGTGCCCTCTTCAGACTTTATCTAATGAATGTACCCCACCCAATCTGTGGTGCTGTGGTAGAGATACAATGAGGCATGTTCTGATAAGGCCCTGCTGCTTTCCCTGCGCTTGCCCAAATGCAGGCATATGTTGAGTTGATGATGGTCTGTTAATAAACCCTTGTATTTTTTGGTAACCGCCTGTATCATTTGCTGTGCTATCTTGGACTTTCACTCACATGACTCATGGCAGGTGTTCAAAACAAGTGTTTATTGGTGCATAGTTGAGAAAAGGTGCAAGAAAGTAGTGCTATATAGTGTACATACGAAAAAGCCATCTCACAGCCTTGAGACTGTTGTCTGTTTCCTGATTTGGGGGACAAGTAAGGATGGGGAAGGAGAAAGAGAGAGAAAGAGAGGTACTATCCTGTTACAGCCTACCCCAAAAAACCTGAGACGATTTCCAAAACTAGCTCATCTTGGACCTTTACACATCAGCAATCCTCATTTCCTCCAAATGTAATCCATTCTCCCCCTGATTTGTGCAGAGTTCAGTAGCCCCACAACTCTGAATCTGTCTTGTGTAGTTCGTCTACGTGGCCCTAACCTCTGAAGTGCCCTGCAGGCTCCTAATTCCCAACACATCCCAAACTTTATTCCTACATGCTTGATCTGTTCTTGTCTACTTCCGGTATCCCCATGGTTTCTCCTTGAGGCTATTATTTGGGGAAGTGGAGAGAGAATTGATACACAGCTCCCTGCCTTTAGGGGGAGGTGCGCTGGCGCTGACTTCGTGCCTTGTAGACTTCAATGAGAAGGTCTTTTACATACTGGATTTCTCTCTCAATGGATTCTGCTTTCTCGCGCAGCTCACGATTGCGTGCCTCCAGGGCCTGGCACTCATCCCCCAGTGCCTCATGTTCAGCCCGCTTGCGCTGACGGTACCGCAAGGCTGCTGTCTTGTTCTGGTCTCGCTTCTTCTGGCGCCGGTCCCCCTTGGGTGCTAGGGCAGATGACCGTTGTAATGGGGCAAGGACATCACTGCCCTGCAGGGGGAGCTCAGCAGGCACTTCTCCGCCATAGATCTCCAGCAATTCTAAGCAGCTTGAATCCAAGGTCTGCAGGGGAGCAGGTGCAGGGTGGTGGTCGAGGGGTTGAAAACCATCACCAAAGGGGAAGTGGAAGTTCCCATCAGAGGGAGGGGTGCTGGGTGCTACCTGGTCTGGTGAGAGTGACTCCTCCAAGAAATAATCCTCCATCTGCTCCAACTCTTTCTTGAGCAGTGAGGCCATGGCCTCCAGGTCCGGAGCAGGAGGGGAGGGCAGTGAGAGTGGCGAGGGCTCCCCTGACACACTCAGGAGCGTGGCCAGGTCTGTGCGCTCCGTCATCCAGTCTGAGAAGCCATCGCCTACAAACAAGCAGGAAGAAAGTCAGCTGTAGACAGGAAAGTATGAATCTACAAGACTCTGCTAGAAAGCTGACCCCATCAACTTCTACACATGAGAGTGGACAAACTGGGAGCCAAGAGCTCTTGCACATTAGGCAGTTGGTACATATGGGATGTTCTGGAGACAGCCACACATCAGAATAAGCACAGGAAGGAGTGGGTCAAAATATGGAGCAATCAGAAGCCACATGTGGGAAAGGGTAGGAGGAAAGTGTAAAAGAAATTAAAAGACTCTAATTGAAGCCTTCTCCAGTCCTTTTATTGGTTGTAAAACAGCTATTCACCTTTTAGCTTTCAAGCTGTCCAGTATAATTGTGAGTCTTGAGTCTTTTTTAAAAAATAATGGAATACTGTGTAAGGGATATCAAGAGGATAATATTCAAGAGGAATAATAGGTTCATTGGGGGGGGGCCAATGCTAACCCTTGATGGAGTGGCATAGCCACCACTGCTTTCACAGTCCTCCTTCTTAAGATGGGAAGGGAGTATGGAAGAATACATTTTCACAAGCTGGAGCAGCAAAGAGGCCTGGATCAGGTCTGTTGCTGTCGTACGATAGCAGGCTTCTCTGGCCTATACTCACCCCCTCCATGAAATGCCCCAGTGGTAGCTCCCACACGGCTGCTGTTGGGGCAAGGCCATCACAAATGGGGCTGGAGCCATAGCTCAATGGTAGAGCATTGCTTTGCATGCCCAAGGTCCCAATTTCAATTTGTAGGCATCTCCAGATAGGGCTGAGAATCTCATCTAAAACTCTGGAGAGCTGATGACAACCCCGAGCTACACAGCCAATGATCTGACTCAATATAAGGAAGCTTCCTGTGTTAATGGCAGAGACCATCCAGGCAGACACCTCCACCCATCAAAACCCTCTCCAGCACAGAGGATCATCAGATGGGATTGCTCTGTCCACTCTCAAATGTATCTGATTTGCTGATACTTTGGTGTTTCCCAATGCTGTAGCAGTTTGATGAGCAATGCTTAGAAGAACTACAATCCATGCCAATGCTAGTTTCTCAATGACCTTCAGGGAAAAGATTCTCCTTTCCTGCTGCACCTGGAGCAATTCCCCACAGCCCTCAGACTCCAGCTTATGGTTCCTCCCCTGCTCAACCTACTCACCTGTCAGCAATGGGCGCTCCATGCTGAGGGCAAAGCCCTCATCCACAGGTCCGGCAAGCAGCTCGCAATGACCGGCGTGGGGCAGCCGGTGCTTGAGCAGCTCCGGCCTGCAGGACATGGTGCTAGCTGGGAGCATGGTCAGGTCCAGGTCCAGGGTCAGTGCCGCCAGCAGGGACATCGTAGCAATGGTAATTCAGGGTCGACACAGGATTGGGATGCAGCACGCAAGGAGTAGCTCGGCTCCTGCAGGCAGGGATAGTGGTGGTGGCAAAAAGGGACCTGGAGGAGGAGGAGGAAAATACAGGTCAGAAATGCAAACAGTTTACCATTTTGGTAGAGGACCGAAGAAAAGGCCAGATCCCTTCCTACTCCATACCAGGCTCAGCTTAACCATCTCAAACTGGAACTTTAACTTTTTTGTTCTGCTAGAGGATTTAAGTGATATCAGAGCAGACAACAGGACTTGCAAAGCAGGCCTTCATATGTTGTTAGGCGGTTAGCTGTGGCCTGGACCACTTCCCACATCCAATCCTACAACCTTCCTAGCTTCTCTCTCCCCTCCCCCCACATCAAGAGTTATCCAGATGGACACGGCATGTGTATGTTGCACAATTCCTGCCAGCATAGCCTTTGGGAGAAGTGTTTCATGATTCCGACCATGTGGCATCCACAGTACAAGCTCTGGACCATTCGAATGCTGGTTTTGGGTGTCATGAAAGGGCAGCATATGGTAGATCCCATTGATTATCACTGTATTTTGACTGCCAGGGATAGAACAGGCATATGTGGGACTTTCCGCCTTGGGTGCCAAAATAACCTGGCCGCAAAACAACATCAAAAAAAAGCTTGGGCCAGCCCTATAGAAGAACCTTGGAACAGTGGAAAATCTCCCGAGAGGTTTAGCATGGGCAGGGATAGACAAGTCGCGCTCCCCCCCCCCCCCACCATCTGCCTTATGCGCTGGGAGGGGAAGAGGGCGGGAACATGTCATCGCGCACCTGCTTCTCCCGGTGAGGTTTGGCATGACGCACCTGCTCCCTTCCCTAGAGAGCCCAGAAGAGCAACCCTTTCGAGCCCCGAGAACAGAGGGCGCCGATTTCTCTATGCGTTTTTTCTGGGGGGGGAGGGGGGTCGTGCTGTTCTACAGCAATACAGAGGACTATGTGGGCTTTAGGAAAACCTCGAGGTCTAGCAACACGCCCCCACCCACTGCGTTTCGGTCTGTATCCTCAACGCCCCCCGGGATTGCAAAAAGAGATACAGGGAGGGAGAAAGGGGAAAAGGGACCCGACCGCACCAAGAAGCAGCTCGATCCCCGACCCGCTTTTCCTAAAGATGGGTTCTGCCAGCGGAAAACCCCAAAAGATCTACTCACTCCATTATGCTTGTTTCGTTGCAGCGTGCAATACACGCTTGTTCGCTTCAAGATCCGCGCAGCTCTAGAAAGCCATGTCCTCGATCTCGCCCACGCGTCGCTGCTCTCCGTCTGAATCCTCTGTTGTATCTGTGTCGAGAAAGGAATGAGTCATAGCGGGGTGGAGTCTTCCTATATATCCCTCCAGCCGCCCTAGCCGCAGCGCCCGCTCGTCGCGTATCCATCCACCGGTCCTTTCCCTTGACATTGCGCATGCTCCTTTTGGAACGGGATTGTAATCTGTTTATCCTTCCTTAAAACATATTCTTTCTTCCACGTTAGGAAACGCGCGGTTAGTTCGTAGCTAATTCTTTAAAATGAAGGTGTTTCAGGGCTGTACTTCCCGAGGAATGCAGAGCTGAGCTGCGGTTAGTTGAGCGAGATGCATGTACTCTGCACATACATGCTCAAAGGCAGCCTTGTAATCTAAGAACACCTGTTCAGAGGTTGAGTCCTGAAAGCGAGGTTGCTGGCTAATGCTTTCTGTCCTCGAATTAAGTTATGGCATTACAGGTGCAGAGTGCCCTGGCTCAGTTTAGCTGGAGCCATGCCTGGGAGGACATGAGCAAGTAAATCATACTTGACATATACTGTACCCAGCCATACTTTTGCTAATGCACAGCAGCTCTCGAGTTGAACGTGTGTTTTCCATGGAGGAATAAAAAACAGAAAGGTGACCTACAACCCAGATCAATTTTCTCTTCTGGTTCTTTGAACTTTCTTTGCTAGCAAGAAGAATTGAAGAAAAGGTGGGAGAGGAGGGAGGAGTCATGGTGAAGACCCTCTGCTGCTAAGTCATTGATGGGACTCCATTGCTGCTTCTACTTCTGCATGCAGTTTTCAAGTGATTTCTGATCTTTGCCTGTTCCCAACAACTTTATGCCTTAGGTCCTTCATGTTCCTATTGTGTGATCTAAGAGGTTGAGATCACAAAGCATCGTGTGATAGGATAATGAAACATGAAAAGGATCCAATCTAGATCAAATATTTGCTCTAAGTGGGTGGGTGAGTTATTTCCCACTGATAGAGACTGCCACATGATTCCATCACAATCACACAAATAACATGTGTGCTCCTTGTTTCAAATAATAATATTTGACTATTGGGTCTTAGATGTGGCATCTTTCTCTGACAACACTAGCTGGTGTGAGCAGTGTGATTTGCACAGTTGAAAATAGTGGAGGTTGCCAAGCTCGGCCGTCTTCCACTGCAAACAAAACAGTAGCCCAAGTGGGTCTTTCCCAACTCAACAAATGTCAGTCCCTCTCGTCCCTCTGATTCACAGGGAAAGCACAAAAAAGTCTCCACAGAGTAGTACGCAAGATTTTAAGATGCACCTTCAAACACCCATCCCAAAGAATCCTGGGTAACATGAAAGCTTGCACATTTGCTTCTTGATTCTCAAAAAGCTGGTGTATAACTCTCATTGGAATATACTTCTTTTTAACCATCTAACATAGATATTAAACCCCTGGCCCATCTCTTTTCTAAACAGTATTTAGCACTGAAGTGGTTAAAGAAGATTTTAAACAGTAACAATAGCCCTCTCCTCTGCCCCCAAATTGAAAATGAGATCATCACAAGCCGGTCTTTGGGCTTGAATGTTTATGCCAGCCTACAATGTCCACATGTTAAGATGGTACGGTATTTCAGAACTATTTTACCAGTGCAGAGAGCAGAACACACACAGCAAAGGCAGCCGCGATACGGCACATTGCACTAGGGTTGCATCAGCTGTGGGTGTACCAGGATAAAGAAGGGGAATTCTCAGTTGCTTCTCATTGGCTACTGGACAGGCAAGTGCAGCATCAAGATTAGCTTCAGGAACTGTCCATCTAACAGGAGGCCAGCAACTCAGGCCCGCCTCCTGCAACGGCCTGCTGAGGTTGTCACAAATGCTTCCCACATATGTTGAAGTGGCTCCTTTTATTAGCGTCCCTGAAAGTAAGCAAGCTTTTGCATTGCACAGGTCTCCTATCAGGCAACAACTGTGAAGGCTGTTGTTACTATGTATAAGGATAAGAGCTACAAAGAATATAGGAATCTCAGAAGTATCACCATGGTTTTAGGGAGAGAATTTAAAGCTTATTCTAGCAGAGGAGGGAGTCACTTCGGGTTTGTCATATACTACTGGCCATGGCACTGCCATCTGCTTCTGAAATCAGTCCCACTCAGAAAGGTTAAAAGTCCATCTGTATTGACTTGAGATGAGTAACAGATTGTAGATTTCTGAATGTGGAATCTGCATGTCAAGAGGGAAAATAAAAAAATGAAACCCTTGCTATTTGTACTGTGAGGTTTTAAAAATCAGATTCTTCTGATTTATTTTTTTTGTAGTGAATTTGGATGAAGGTTAACCCTTGAAATCGGGTCCTTTTTCACTGCCATCAAGCTGAATTTTTAAATGTGTGGGATTCATTATACTCTTACCTCTTTACTCCTGATCGAGCTAATAACATTCACATCTTCTCTCCGTTTATTCTTTAATTCAGTTATTTCTTTCCTGTTACCCTTGCCTCTGTCTTTCCTTTGTCATCGTGGCAATCGAGTTTGGATAGAAATGCTGCTTCAGGCACTGAAGGAGAGAGTTGTTGTCAAAGGACTTGTAATTATTGAAGAACATTGAACAGAGATTTTATCTTATTGGCCAATGCTTCCCATAACATGGTAATAAAAACTGTCAGTTCCGAGACAATAATAATCTGGAAAGTCCCTATTATCCGCCTCCTCCTTTTCTCTCCCTGTTCTGACTAACTTCTCTTCCTGAACTGACTCCAACTAGCTCCAACTGCCTTGGAATGCTTCTGCCCATCATGAGTGACATTCCAAACGACTCCATCAGCAAAATTTGGATAGTAAGCTCCTTGGGGCAGGGAGCAGTCTTTTTTCCCTTAGATTATTATGTTAAGCTCTGTGGAATGGATGAAGGGGAAAATGCTGAGCTTGAATCCTGGCAAGAAATCATGGCACTGTAAGCAGTTCCTGTGTCAGAGAAACTGGCCCATTATCTTGCCCTGGACAGATGGAGGAGGAGGAGCACATTTTGTTTGGGTGTGCACTCAGGAATTATTTATGCATTTATTTATTCATTTATCATTTTGAAGAAAGGAGAAGGGAGAAGGGAAAAAATGACAAGACAAGCAAATAAGGACAAGGAAGAGGCAAAAAGCTAACAAAACAACCACAAGAAGTGTGCTCACAAAGCCGAAACAGGAGATTTTTCCTGAAAACAAACTCATGCCAAACTGACCAGAGCTTAGATTTGGAAGGCTGAGGGCACCAGACCCTCAAAGTGTCCCTATTTTCTAGGGATGTCCCTGATTTACAGAAGCCATCCCAGTTTCTGAATTGATCCCAGAATGTCCCACTTTTCCTTAGGATTTCCCTATTTTCATTGGAGAAATGTTGGAGGGTATGGTAAGATGTGCCTGTTTTCATTGGAGAAATGTTGGAGGGTATGGTATGATGTCCCTATTTTCAATGGAGAAATGCTGGAGGGTATGGAGTTATATGACCCCTGAGTTGTCTGAAGGCAATCCTGTATAGGGAAGTTTTTAAAAAATAATAATGTTTTATTATGTTTTATATATGTTGGAAGCTGCCCAGAGTGGCTGGGGCAATCCAGTCAGATGTGAGGGGTATAAATAGTAAAATTATCATTATGGAATGGGACGTCCCTATTTTCATTGGAGAAATGTTGGAGGGTATGAGGCAGGATGGCTCCTTCTCCACACTAGCAGGCCACAAAAGCAGCCCCTCACCCCCACAGATCTCTCTCCACAAAAGATGGCAGCCTATGGGGCTGGGAGAGCTTGGCCACAGTAGTCCAGGCACTGGTGAATCCAAGACTAGATTACTGTAAAGTACTCTAGGTGTGGAGTTTCCCTTGCACTTGGTCTGGAAATGGCAGTTAGTGCAGAATGATTGTTAGCGTGGTCAGCATATAACACCCATGCTCAAAGATCCGCTAGTTTGTTGCCAGATTCTGGGGGTGGGCAGTAAGGTTTCGGAGGGGACACAGTTGTGTGTGCCCTCAGCCTGTGTTTCATTGCCTAAGCTAGCTGGCTGACTTCAGCTGTGGCAAAGACAACAGCCCTGTCACCAGTACCAAAGTAAGATTCAATTTACAGCCTAGTCAGCTTATGTGTGTGGAAGGTGAGTTGAGAGGCACCTTTGCTTCATGCAGCAAAACGTCTTGAGCCAGCCCTGTCTAAAGGCTTCTTGTACTGCTTTCAATAGAATTTAGCCACTTCCAGAAAAGCTCCTAGCAGCTGCTGTCAGATTGTCCAATCTCACACTGGAAAATGTCCCTTGTGCAAGAGAATTGGGATCTCATGTTCACTGAAGGGCAATCCACACATGGAAATGCAGTTCTAGTGTTCTGAGGAGGCCTGGCCGGGCCAAGTTTTGAACCTCAGAAAACTCCTGTTAGCTTCATCTTAACAACTCATATGTCAGATTTTTCAAACTGCATTTTCACTAGTGAGAATTAGAAACTCCTTTGGCCTGTGGAGTTTCTTACTTGTAAACACTCCTAAGGCAAAACAGGAAGCGGAAGATAATTCCCAGACCATCAGTTTATTGTATCAGATGCAGTTTTTTAAAATAACCTTTGAATTTCAGAACTTGTGATTTCACAGACCATTTGAGGATCTCTTGTGAAAAACTGAGTGAATCTCTGTGGTACTTTGAATTGTTTGCTCCACTGGCAACAGCAAGGCCTGGCCAAGAGGCCAGCCTCTGTTGCCTTGACCCCTGGCCAGTTCTCTCTTGCTGTAGGGTGACCCTTGCCTTGCCAACTGCATTCCTGGAGGTCAATAGCCCAGAAGGGGCAGAGGTTGCCGTATGCAGCCAGCATGGCGGGGACAAGGCCTCTGTCTCCTGGATTACCCCTGTATGTTATTTTCTCTGCCCTTTTGCCGGCCATGAAGGCAGCACGTGGAGATTGCCAACTGTGGCTGGTTAATGAGGCCAGGAAATCTAGGACTTTTGGGTACCTCTGTCCCTTGCATTAGTTCTATTATTGTTATTATTTATATAGGTTTAGAGTAACAAAACCAAACAAAAAGCAGGTCCCTGCCCCCAAACCACTTACAGTTAGGGTTGGGCAAATCTAGCACTTTTGGTTCCCCCTCAGTTTTCCAGACTGAAATTCATTTCCACATAAGTTTGCATTTTTTAAAAAAGCTCCTCATGAAAATTAATTGCATTTTAGTAAGAACTTCCTCTAATAAACACATCTGAATGCAATTTTGTTAGACGTTTTCCAATAATACAAAGCATTTGGTATGACATTTTCACTAATACATGCATATTTATGAACACTTGACCCCAGTATATGCGTTTTTGTACGCAATGTCTCAGGAAGCACAATGCAACATTTGGAGAAGTGCACATTTTGAAGGTTTCCTGTGTTTCAGTTCTCATTAGTTTTGGAAAGTTTAAATTAGGTAGATTTGCCTTTAAACACAAACATAATTTAATTTCTCTTGCGCCCCTACTTATGGTCCACAGTTTAGTGCGAGGGAGACAACAGAAGGGGGGGAGAGATGGAAACAAAGGTCAAGTGGGGAAACCTATCCAGCGTTGGAAGCTTAGTTTCAGTACAGAATGAGGACTAAGGGGTTGTGCCAAAGGTGTCATAGAAAAGGGACTTTTGCTGATTGCCACGAAGTTGGTGGGGAGTGACTGGCCCCCAGGGTTGGCCCAGGACCTGCTGCCTGAAATGAAAGGCAATATGTCCCCACACAGGGGCGCAGCTAGCTGCTCTGGCACCTGGAGCGGCGGGGGTGGGCTGTGGCCCTCCTCCCAGGGGGGCGCTGTGGCAAGCTGCCCATGGAGTCCGCTTGGCGGACGCAAGCCCCATGCTGCCATTTTGGGCAGTGCAGGGCCCCGAGCCACCACGTCACTCCCAGGAGAGACGCGTGGCTTGGGTGTGCTGCAGGCCAGGCCCTGCAGTAAGTGCCTCCCCCCTGCAGTGTACCATTTTGTAACCCCCTCAGGGATGACACCCAGGGTGGACTGCACCCTCTGCACCCCCCTTCCTATGCCCCTGTCCCTGCACCCATTCCATGTACAGAAGCTGACAATTTCCTCCTCTTCAAACTTTGCAAGACATTTGTAGCTATGCAAAACCTGAGGTGCTTGGGATAGCAGTCCACGCTTTACAGGAAGAAAAAAGACAAAACAGACAGCTGATGCTTATATATAGACACACATTGTTATAAATGGGTAACTCGGGCTGTAATGTGCCAAAGGGAGAAGTGGATGGTCTTGCCTTCTGGCAGGGAATGGTTGGACGGTTAAATTTGTGCCAGAAAAGATACCTAGAATGAAGCCTGTCTGCAGTCTATGCATACACACACACACACACACACAGAGAGAGAGAGAGAGAGAGAGAGAGAGAGAGAGAGAGGAGACAAGTAGCCCTTGCAACATTTCCTAGATGTGGGGATACTGGCTACAATTAGGAGGGAAATGCACTCTGCATATGCACATAAGCAACCATTTTCTAATACTAAAACTATTCCAAGGTTGATCCTAAGCCTTGGCTTGAAGCAAACTCTGTTGACCTTGAAAGCCTTTTCCACCTTTTTTGAGGCCCACTAAAAGTACTTGGGGTTTTTTTGTTTTGTTTTTGGCATGCTGAACAAAGTTCCCCATGGAGTATTGTGTAACTAAATGTTGGCTCCATCCTCATCGCAACCTCCAAGTCTCCATGGTGACCATGGCTGGCTCCCCACCTCTCTTTGATGAGTTGTCATGGAGATTCCTTTAAAAACTCAGGGGAACTGAAGTGTTCCAGCCAGTCCTTCCTTGAAGCTCAGGGCAGGGTGAAACATAAAATCCTGTGGGGAGTTACTGTCAGTTTTCCACTGAGACTTTGTAGGAAAACATACTTGGGTTGTGTAAATGCAAGGCAGCCACTCTTCCCATTTACCTGAGGCAGTCCCTGTCTTCTGATAGTCAATTACTATCCCTTTTAATGTTGTTATGTGCACTAAAGAGGGTGTTCACCTGTCCTACTTTACAGAGGACAGTCCTCAGTTTGGAGACCTGACCAGTTCAATGTTGTGTACACACCATACCTTCTTCTTCTTCTTCTTCTTCTTCTTCTTCTTCTTCTTCTTCTTCTTTTTGCTTTTGCATTTTTTAAATAAGTTTTTATTGTTAAAATAATTCACCATTAATACACATATATTACAAATATACAAGCATACAAATATACATTTCATAAAATCCTTAAAAGTACCTTCAAGGTACTTTCCCCCCACAAAAAAAGAATCCTGGGAACTGTGGTTTGTTACGGGTGCTGGGGATTGTAGCTCTGGGGTGATAAACTATAGTTCCTATGAGACTTTAAATGTACGCTATGTATGCAGTCTCAGCTTGGTTTAGAGAGAAAAAGCTATCAGAGAGCCTTCAAGTTGCTCATCAACAGTTGGCACCTAGACAGCAGACTGAAGATGAGGCACTTCTAGGGTGACCTAATCATCCACCTACATCTACCTTTGCTCCAGTACAAAAGTACCCACACTTCTGGCCCCCCCACCTGCCTCCTTGGTGTAAGGTATTGCATTTTTATGAACATTAAAGTGCATCTATTCATATGAATTAGTGTATGCACATTTTATTGAAATCATCTTTGGCCCTCTTTTTCAGGGGTGGAAGGGCAGGATATATAGCTACAGCCGTTCTTGGATTGAGCTATCTGTGAAATGGTAACCACATGGTTGGATTACTGCAATGCACTCTAGGTGGGGGGGGGGGCTACTCTGGAATCATAGAATTGTAAAGTTGGGAGGGACTCTGCAGATCATCTGTTTAAACCCCCTGCAATGCAGGAATACACAGCTGTCCCATATGGGGATCAAACCTGCAACCTTGTCACTATCAGCACCGTATCTAACCAACTGAGCTATCCAGAAGAAGTTGTTCTGGAGGCTACAGCTGGTACAGAAAGCAGCAGCTAGGTTGCTTGTGAATGGGTGGGTGGGACATTGGATAGAACACCTTTGCTATCCCAATCCCGCAATGGCTGTAGCTATATATCCTGTCTTTCCTCTGGAAGAAGCCCAGGGTGACAGGCACATCAACAAGAAAGCATTTATTTTTTAAAAAGCATTCTGAAAACAGTTACATTCTAAAAAGCTTAAAACATTCTCTGAACCAGTGATCTCAGGGTTGCCAGGAACAGTGTTTCATGCCAGGGAGTTTTCGATTTCCTCCTGAAAGTCAATAATGTAAATAATGAGGGAGAGAGATGCACCTTACCAGAGGAGGACATACCAAAAATAGGGAACAACAAACAGGTCACTGCCAACCATGCAATCACCAGCAGCAGTGGCATCACCATGAAGCTTTATTTGGTTGGCACTTAGGTCCTAAGCCATTTAGGGTTCCATCTGCTAGTACTACTACCTTGAATTGGGCCCAGTAGCTCACTGGCAGCTAGTGCGGTGCTTTCAGGACTGGTGACACCTGATCTCACTGGATCCCACCCTAGTTTCGGCCTCCAGACTATCTTCAAGGGCAGCCCCACAAACACAGTCTTATTTGGTATAAAAAAAAGCTTTCCTATGTTCCTGACTTTAGCCCATGACCAGCATGGTAATGCTAATCAATGCTATACGGCATTTTCTTATAGTGGGGATGGCTAAAAGCTCTGTTATTATCAATTAAAAAACAACCAGATTGACATTCTCAGTTTTAACCAGATCTATTACTGAGAGACTAGCTTCTCTTCCAAGGTTTGAAACATTCTTCTCCCGGGAACATTTACAGCCTTGTTGACATTGCTGAGGCAATGAACACAACTCAGGGACTGTGTTTACTACCTCTGGTTGGTGTACTTAGCATCTGAACAGCTCCAGCTTCTTCCATCTAAGGAAGGTGCTATCTGTGGCCCTATAGATGTTGTCAGACTAGAGGGCCCGATTTAGGTTTGATGAGGTCCCAAGCTACTAAAGGTAATGGGGCCCTTTATACGTCCAGCTGTCCTTTGTCAACAACAAATTGTCACGGTTTTTGTGTGTTGACTATATGCTATATGGTAATTTATGGACCTAATAGGTATCTAAAGCCATTTGCCACTGTTGCTGTAGGTAGGTTTTATTTGATTTGTTTTTTCTCTTATATTTTGGAAAATATAAGTTTTTCCCCCTTTACATTTTTTGTGGGGCCCCAAGAGAGTGCGGCCCTAAGCTATAGCTTGTTTAGCTTATACGTAAATCCGGCACTGTCGGACTACAATGCTCATCAGCCATTGACCATGAGCCACGCTGGTTTCATGTAAAGGAAATTCCGAATAAACATCAGGAAGAGCTTTCTGAGAATAAGAGCTGTTGGACAGTCTCCCTTAGGAGGTGCTGGCCTCTCCTTCCTTGGAGGTTTCCAAGCAGAGGCTGGGTGGCCATCTGCCATCGATGCTTTAGCTGAGATTCCTGCAGTGCTGGGGGCTGGACTAGATGACTCTGGGGGTCCCTTCCAACTGTACAATTCTATGATGGGATGGGGGAGAGGGAGTAGGTCAGCCCCGCCCCGCGTAATTGAGCAGGAGACGCAGCACATAATTCCCACGACAATGCCCACTAACGAGGGGGCGGGGCTCAAATATTTTACTGGGGCGGAGCTAAGGGCCCCTGGGCCCTTAGGAGTTGGCCCAATGCAGCAAAGAAAGGGGGCAGCCAGTGGCGCGGGAGGGAAAGGGAAGAGTGCTTGATCCTCGGTGCTTGATCCATTGCGGAATCCAATGCGGGGGGGGGGGGGCAGCGAGACGGTGCATGCGCACTTGCGATGGAAAGCAAGCGGGGTGTGTGTGTTGGGGGGCTGCTAAGACATGCACCAGAGTTGCTGCTGCAGCAGCCGCCTCCTGGAAGTGCTGCCGGGTCTGCCGAGAGGAAGAGGAGGGCTGCCCAACTCTTGGTGCGATCGCGTGTCCGCCAGGAAGGGGTCGGGTTGGGGGAGCTCCGAAGCGTCGCCGGCGCGAAAGGGGCGGAGGAAGGAGGAGCGAGACAGAGGAGGCGGGCGGCTCCGCAGGGTGAGTCGCGGCAAGACTCGCCGCCCCCCTCTCTCCCGACTCCCGCAGGCAGGCAGGCAGGCAGGCGAGGAAGGGGTCCGCGCCACCCCACCCCACCCTAGGGCGCCCACAGATGGAGGCGGTGCAGCCCCTCTCGGGCGCGGCTCCGTGAACCCCGATCCCCAAAGGCTGCCAGTGCCCCCGTGGCAACACCTGAGCCATCCTCGAAGGGGAGGGTCAGAAGGGAGAGCCCTCCCCCCAGAGGTGGAAGGAGGGACGTGGGATCCTTGGCTTGCCCATGGAGGAAGCGGGGAACCTGATTTTACAGTATTTTATTTTAGCAATGCCGAGGTGGCCCGTCTGCCTCCTCTGCCTTCCGCCCCCATTTTCCTTCTTAGCAGTGGATTCAGACGTGCTACACACAGTTTGTGAAACAAAATAGGAGAATTCCAATCGCTTCCCTCCGCTCAGCGGGATGTAATGCGATTTGATCTGCCATCCTCACTTCCTTACCTAAATAAAAGAAAAAAGGCAGGATAGAATTGGGATGGGGGTTTTTAAAAACATTTTTAATAAACAAACAAACAAACAAACAAACAGAAGTCACAAAATCAATCACCATATTCTGTAGGTTCTGTCTTGTGGTACTTTGCTCTCCACCTTCCACAAACCTGGTAAACCTCCCAAATGTTATTTGAGGTGTCACCTGCTGGGTTAATTTCTGCAGGTCTTGCGAAATCCAGTAGTCCCAGGGGTATTTTGAATTTCTGTGCCTTCTAGGTAGGGCTGTTTTGTCTGTCAGTCGTTCTCAAAGGAGAAGCTGTTTAGGGCATATGCCCATAGTAGATTGGTGGATATATATATATTTTCTAAGATGATTGGAGCATGGGTTACATGCCATATATTGTGGTGAATTTCCTGTGGTGGGGTGGTGGGGAATGTCATCAGTAGACAACACCACATTGCATGTGTTTGTGTGGCCTCCAGGGTCATATTTTTGATGGTTTTCTCCTGTTTTTTTGCATAGGGTCAAGGAGACCAGTTAACTCTCAGCATTGTTCTTTGTTGGATTAGTTACTGAAGAGATGGCCCATACTGCTGCCAACTGCCATTTTGGAAGGATGATAGTGGCAGGATCCACACTCCCATTTCACTCGCCAATAGTCTTAAAATGAAGACCTTCATTTAGGTAAGCATATGAAAATGTGGCAGATCACTTGACTCCTGAGGCTTCCACCATTTTGGATGAAAGTAGTGACACTCCTTAATCCCAGCGGCATCGTTAGAAAGTGGCTGAGGGGACCCAAGCCCTGGGCCTGTTGTGGTGGGCCACAGATCCCATGTTCCTCCTCTCTCTTGTGTAAAATCTTCCTTTTTTAAAATAAAAAAAAAGTCTATAGGTCAGCTGGGCACCCTGCACATCTCAGTGCTGCTGAGACTCCATCCATGTACCACCTTAATTTTCCAGACGCATTTATACATATAAATTAACATATTAACATTTTGTGCAAGTTTGTGTCATTGGCCTGTGCCCCAAGTCCTTTAAATACCTAGTAGTGCCTCCCATTAGGCCTTTACTGCTTTGCAGCAGCCAGGTTTCATGATACTTGGAGAATTTGGAAATGCACAAGAATATTCGTAGAAACAGAAGGCACCCTTTCCCATAACGCAATAGCTAGTAGTTGTGGTTGGAAACTTGATTTTTCCCTTGGAGAAACACACACACAAACACTTGGAATCTTTTCATATGCACCGCGTATGTACTTTGCTGGCATTATAAAGTGTCTTGGGAAATCAAGCTGTATTTCACACCCAACAAAACAGTATATCGTTCCAAGTTATGGAGTATATAACATCTTACAGGAACGCATTGTAGATATTAGAACACGACACAAAATTTACACGGAAAAGGTTTCTGTGCAGAGTATATAATTGACACAGGATTATTGTACAGTGGTATATTTTGCTCTGCTTGGCCTTGCATGCTTGTGTTTTTCTAGTGCATGCAGTTGTGTTTAAACTGTTGAATTTATCTTAATGCTGCCAGCATTTTCAGCTGTACACAGTTATTTCACATACTGTATATTCAATAAATGTTTTCCAATCTTCTCTAAACATATGTTCTTCTTGTTCTCTTATTGCATATGTTAAGTCTGCAAGCTGCACACATTCTGTCAACTTAAGCAGCCACTCTCCTTTGGTTGGGACCTCACTTGTTTTCCATTTTTGGGCTAACAAAACACGGGCTGCAGTTGTGGCATACATAAATGACTATGATTTTGAGTTGTGTGTTCAACTTTTTACCAGGTGGTTTTGGGCAAGCCACCATCCCTCAGCCATAGTCTTATCTTCAGTGATAACAACGCTGACCTACCAGACAGTGTTGGTAGTGAGAGGAGTGTGTGAAGTGCTTTGAATGGGAATAAGAAACACTAAGCAAATTACTCATTTTTTGTCATTTCTTGTAGAGGAGTGGGCTCGTGAAGTTAGCAGCACCCGCCATGGTGGACGTTCCCTCTTCTCCTGCCCATGAAACGGATTTCTCACCACGTCGCATACCTGAGAACGGCTCTGAGGGATCCGAGCTGCCGGTATCCCTGGAGGACTGGAACGATGGTGAGAAGGAGCTGGACTTCACCGGAAGCTCTGTAGGCCACTCTAGGAAAAAGCACTTTCTGTGTGTCTCATTGCAAGGCAAGGATGCCGCCGCTGCCGCCACCTCCAAGACTGAGGTGAGGGTGGCAGAACTGCAACACTCCTCCCTCTCCAGCCACAAGCCCCAGCAGTGTAGAAAGCAAGGGTTTGTGGCCCAGGAGGTGGGCAGGCCTATAGGCAGCATGGAGGAAGCTGGGCCTTCCCATGGGAGGCATCTACGGTCTCAGGGTGCCTGCAAGAAGAAGGGAACAGCGGAGAATGGGCAGGAAGTGCGGGAGAATCTAGAAGCCCAAGCTCCCCGCTCAGATGACGTGGTGCAGCTGATAAATGAAGATGGGGTGTATTCCTCAGCCAAGCTGGTGCCCGCTACGAAGGTGGCGCTCTCGCCGTGCCTGCCACAGCGTTTGGAGCTCTGCAGAGGGGAGGATTTTGAGATCCGGGAGGTGATCGTGGATGAGAAGCCATTCCAGTGTGCCATCTGCACCAAGGCTTTCAAGCGGGCGTGGGAGCTGTTCAGCCATGAAGTGGTGCACAATGAGGAACGCCCCTTCTGTTGCCAACTGTGCCAGGTGAGACGGGTGAAAGCAGGCAGGAAGCTAGAAATGGGAATGAAAGCAAAAAAAAACCATAGAGAACTAAACTGTTGGGTTCCCACGATTAGCCTATGGAGCAAGGTAAAAATCCAACTCATATTTTGAGGCAGAGCTGCTGCCCATTGTTAGAAATGTACTGATTCATGCTTCCTTCTTTCCCGGACCTGTAAACACCATCTAGGGCAGAGTCTTTCCCTGCAGCATTTTCCTTGGGAGGAAATAGTAAGGGATATATGTGTGTTTGTGTTTTGTGCTCTTTATATTGCAATAACTAAGGGCCTCCATATGTTGCTGGACTGCAACTCCCACCATCTCTGACCACTGGCCATGCTGGTTGGGGCTTATGGGAGTTGTAGTCCAGCAACACCATTGTAAAGTTGGAGTTCTCATATATAACAACCAGCTGGGATGGAAGCAGTTCAGGTATTCTGATGGAATGGCAACAGCTCAGGAAAGCCAAAGGCATTCTTTTCATTTTGGGCAACAGCTGGTAGCCACCAGTCATTCAAAAGCAATCAGAACACCTTATATAAGGATGTTTCATGGTTAAGCCATACAAAAATCCATAAAGATGACCATCTTCTTTCTTCTTCTTTTTGTAAATAATTTTTTGTTAATTTTCCATTAATAACTTTCCAATTAATAACATACCAAATCATAACACAAATAATAAAGCCAATTATACATTCCAAATTAAATAGATGACCATCTTCTTTTCTGTGTGGCTTTATCAATATGATAAATGACAAGAGGCAATTTGTGCAGAGGAGCAGGCACCGGAAACTATTCCTCTCTGTCCGGCAGGGGATCCCTGGGGGTTGCTGCGTGTGTGTCAGCCTGTTGCTTTCTGCCCCGCTTTCCCTCTCCCGCTTCAGGCCTCGTTCAAGCGCCATTCGGACTGCAAGAGCCACGCCCTCGTGCACACGGAAGAGCGGCCCCATCGCTGCGAGCTCTGTGGGAAGCGTTTCAAGCGCGCCTCCAACCTCGCTGAGCACCGGCGCATCCACTCGGGGGAGCGCCCTCACCGCTGCGCCGCCTGCACCAAGCGCTTCAAGACTCCCTACGAGCTGCAGAGGCACATGCTGACGCACTGCGCGGAGCGGCCCTTCGCCTGCACCGCCTGCGGGAAAGGCTTTGCCGCGGCGGGGGCCCTCCTCTTGCACCAGCGGCAGCACTGCGACGACAAGCCCCACGTCTGCGGCGTCTGCGGCAAGCGCTTTGCCTACGGACACAGCCTGCGCGTCCACGAGAGGGTGCACACCGGGGACCGCCCGTTTTCCTGCGTCCTCTGCGGCAAGGCCTTCAAGCAGTCCAACGCGCTGGCCTCGCACGAGCGGGTGCACACGGGGGAGCGGCCCTTTGCCTGCGCCACGTGCGGCAAGGCCTTCAAGCAGTCCTCGTACCTGGCCATCCACGCGCGGTCTCACACCGGCGAGCGCCCCTACGCCTGCGGGGCGTGCGGCAAGGCCTTTGCACGGCCCTCGCTCCTCCTGCAGCACCAGCGCGTCCACAGCACCGAGCGGCCTCACCGGTGCCGGCACTGCAGCAAACTCTTCAAAGACTTGGCCTACCTGGCCGTGCACGAGAAGGTGCACACCGGCGAGACCCCGTACAAGTGCTCCATCTGCCAGAAGGGCTTTGCGCACCCGTCCAACCTCCTTCAGCACCAGCGAATCCACCGGGATGGATAGCGAGGACGGGCGCCAAGAATAATTTGTCATTCAGTGTAACTTTACTTTCCCCGACTAACAGAAAGGCGGCAGTTTCTGTTCACCTGTGCACTCCAACCTGCATCAGTGCCACGCCTGCATGCTGCGGTGGACGGAGAGCATCACTTGCATGCCCTTTTGCACATTCCCCAAGCCATGCTCAAGCTTGCCTGGGCGTGCGTTGTTGTACACAAATGCACTATGGTTCCCCGCCCCTGCAGCAGCACGAAAATAAATAGTAGCTGGAGTATGAGGAGCAGGGCTCCGTGTATTTCACACAAAATTGCACCCTCTGAGAATCTGTGCTGTAGCTAGGTTTTTCATCCTGCAAGCGTGTTTCTAGTCCATAAGATTATAGAAATAATGTTGAAAACCTTGTATGGTGTAGTTTTGCAAATCGGAGCCATAGGGCTGAGCAGAAAATCTACAGGAGCTGCAGCGCTCTGGGTAACCCTTTGTCCTTTTCCTTAGCTAGCAAAAACAGAAGACAATTGTGTAATATAAGCAAATGTATGCACATTGGCTTAATTTGCATAATGTGCTCCATTGACTATTTTTTAAAAGCACAGCCATGGTTCTGAGTATTGTCGTCTTATACCCTGATGGGCAGTATTGCTGACTTACAGTGCCTTGCATATTTGCAGGCACTTACAGAACTTCCAAAAAAGTGGGTTCTTTTTATAAAAATGTGGGTCAATGCCAAGTCTCTCACAGTGTTGTGAGAGTGTGTTTGTGTGTGTATTGTATTATGCAGGGCCAGCCTTACCATTAGGTAGAGCAAAGCAGCTGTCTCAGGTAGCAGATGCTGGAGGTCGGAGCTGGAGGTACCATGCGGCTTTCCATATGCCACCTAAGCTAGCCTGCTACCCTCAGGTGCAGTGCAGGATGCTGACCTGTCATCATTGTTGATGTAAGATTGACTTTCCAGGCCTGTCTGTACACAGAATGGGAGGGAGGAAGTCTTACGCTTTCTTCTCTGTTGTAGCTTAGGCAGAATGTCAAGCTATTGACACAATGGGCCTCCTTCCCTCTACCGCTGCCTTTGAGCAAGAGGTGGTGTTTGCAGTATTACAGAAATAAGCTAGGGAAAATGCCATCTATATGTTTAAATTGTAAACCGCCCTAAGAGCTACAGTTATAGGGGCGGAATACAAATAATAATAATAATTTCAATTAAAAAGCAATCCTCTTTTTATTTTCTTTATGTCTTGTGATTTCCACATGCATGTAGATTATTTGTGGGATGAAAAAATTCCTGTGCTCTATGGGGTAACCAAATTGAGAAGATCAACGGATCTCACATCCACAAACTGAAGGTTGTCTGTTCACCATACTCTCGCACATGAGATTCAAATGGTGTTAATTATGTGTGTGGTCTAAGACCACTGAGCCTCTTGGGCTTGTCGATCAGAAGGTTGGCAGTTCGAATCCCCACGACGTGGTGAGCTCCTTTTGCTTTGTCCCAGCTTCTGCCAACCTAGCAGTTCGAAAGCATGCCAGTGCAAATAGATAAATAGGTACCGCTGTCGCAGGAAGGTAAATGACATTTCTGTTCGCTCTGGCTTACATCACAGTGTTGCGTTATGCCAGAAGCTGTTTAGTCATGCTGGCCACATGACCTGGAAAGCTGTCTGTGGACAAACACCGGCTCCCTCGGCCTGAAAGCCAGATGAGTGCTGCAACCCCTTAGTCGCCTTTGACTGTACTTAACTGTCCAGGGGTCCTTTACCTTTACCTTAGTTTAACATATACTTAGAATTTAAATAAGGATCTCTCAATAGTTCACATTCAGACACAATGGCAATCCATCATCTGCTGTTATGTGGGTGCGCTTTCCCTTCCCCTTCTTTTGCACACAAGGGAAAAGAGATTAGGAGATTTTATTTTGCAACAGAACATAGTTTGGGTTCCGGATTTGAGGGCAATATGGTTTGCACAAATCAGTAGTTTGGTGCATTTAGAATCTAACTGAATCAGCAGACTAGAAGCAGAAGCTAATCTCAACACCCACAAGGGGATGATGAAGAGGAGAAGGAACAACACACATCTTTTTATGTCGAACTCTGAATCAAACCATTGCCTCTGTTATCCTTACATGCCAGAATTATCTCCATATTGCAGACGCAGGGGCTGAGGCTGAAAGGGCGGTGGATTGCCAGAGACAAGTGGGTTCATAACAGAGGCAGGGTTTGAACCCCTGCCTTGACCGTTGGCCTCTACTTCTGTGTGTGTGTGTGTGTGTGTGTGTGTGTGTGTGTGCATGTAAAACTCCCTGTGGCTTCGGGGTGATTTTTAAGGGTAACCTTTTTGGTGTTTTAGAAACCCATCACTGGCCTGGATTCTGATATTGTGGCCTGATTAACAGACTTGCACACCAATAAGCTTAATGTGACCTGCCACAAAGTTTTCATTTGGTGGTTGTTGCTGACTGCCATCTTGATCTTGACTAGAACCTCACTGTTCCATCTTTTACAGTGATTTGAATTCAGAACCTAGAAATCCATAAAGTCCAAACCTCTTGAACAGCCTAACAACAAGAAGACTCTACCTGCCCATAACAATGTTAATTTAATAAGTTGCTGAGATGCCTTTTTTAAAGGTGATGTTATGAAAGCAATTCGGACCTCAGAGCCCAGAATGAGAGATAACAACAAGTTTGGTCTCAGATTTATGACACTCTTAATGTGCCCTGGAGACACCTCATCAGTTGTGGAGAGATAGAATTGACCAAGGCTTAAATACTTTCCTCTTGGATACATTTGGAATTACCTGTTAAAACCAAATTTAAACCATACAATCAAAATAGGCCGGTCATTCTTGTGGAAACAAATTGATCTCTGACTTTGACTTTCCAAGCTATTTAAGCTCTACAGATCACCACAGATCCTGCATGTTCAGGGCTCTTCCACTAGAGGGCATGGAGGAGTAAGAGACTGGGCTCCCTTTGCCAAATTCAGATTTCACCCCCAACTAAAAAACGGGGTGGGAGTCCAGAGGTAACAGAGGACACCTGTGCAGAGAAGCAAGGAAGGGAAGGGTCATGCCTTGGTGCAAACAGGTGTTATGGTTGAAAGTTACCTCAGAAAAGGTGGAGACCATCCATAATTTGGGAAACTATTGTGGATCTTTCCCCAATTATATACTTTTATGATTTTTGTGAGTAAGAAAAAAGTTGCAAGGTTGAGTGTTTCTGTTGAGGATACTCTATTCTCCCTCATTCCCCCCCCCTCACAACGGGGAACATTTTTTTGGCCACAGTGCACAAAGTCTTCATTGCACACCCCTCTTTTTTTGTTGATGGGGAGAAAGGTTTTGAAACTTTTCTGTACTTCTGCAAACCTTCTGCCATTAACTTGGGGTTGTCATATTTCAGAAAGTGAAAATCGGGACACAAAAGTTGCTGTTTTTTGGCAATGTTGAGCTTTTTTCAGTTTTGCCCAAAGTTGTTGAGGTTTTTTTCCACACACACAAACAAACAAAAAATGTACACCCCCCCCACGGCTATTTTTAAGGGAAATTGGCAAAGATGATACTGCTGATACGGATTGCCATACTTGCGGATTTTATGCCCAGACACTGCTTTTGACTGCAGTATTCTGGATATGTCTGGGAAATTCCGGACGTAGGTCAACCTTAGTTAACTTTTCTGAGTGTATAGTGCCCTTTTGACTACATAAGCAACAATACAGCCTGAACATCAAAAGTATCTTATTCACACATGCACATACTGGCCTATGCTGACAAAATGGCTATTCTCATGAGGCATAAAAATCAGAAACAGCACCCCTAGGCTAGCCCCCATTTATGTGACATGTAAAAAGTGTTGTAAACAAAGCCCATCTCATGGAAGCTAGCTGGTACCACCTATTCTGGACACAGTCCTATAAAACCTGGCAATTCAGATATGTAAAGCATACTTTATATACGCCATCACAAAAATGCATAGGTATATATATTACAAATTACCGTAACTCAGTTTGTAAAGCATGAGACTCAGTCTCAAGGTCAAGGGTTTGAGTCCCCCGTTGAGCAGAAATTTTCCTATACTGCAGCAGGCTGGGCTTGATCCTTGCGGTCCCTTCCAACTCTACAATTCTATAATGAATTAACATCAACAATAATAAAATAGTATCAAAACAACATGTGCCAAAACATGACAAAATTGGACAGGGCGGGCGGGGGAGAGATACGATAAGGAGTCAGAGAAACAATATAAAATACTGTCTATTTATTCCAAACATGATACTTTTCAAATGTAATGGTGTCTATCAAGGGCCTTAAGACTGCAATTCTGTAGTCACTCGCTGGGCAGGAAGTCCTATTGTACATAACAGGTTTTAGTTTCAAGTACTTGAACTGTAAGGCCACGTTCCTATACCCACCAGCGTAAAATAAGGCCCATTGAATTCCATGGGACTTACATGCATTGGTCTAGGATTCTACCGCAAAGCGTGTCAATCATCCAATTTATAAAACACAACGTCTTTCCCTTGGGAAGTTGGCTCACTGACATTTCAAACCATTTTCTTCCTCATCAAGATCCCACTTTACACACAAACATGTAGCCTGTTAAGAGTTGATGGGGAAAAGAAAAAAATACATCATCAAGGGAAACCCCTTTAGAACATGTAACAACGTTTCTCTCTCTCTCTCTCTCTCTCTCTCTCTCTCTCTCTCTCTCTTTCTCCTCTGTAATTCACGCAGTAACTAACTCCCAAGGGCAAAGCATTTCACAGCCAGGCTGAAAATATCTACTTTCTTAAAATACATATTCTATCGGATGGGAACCTACTATCAAGGCTGCCTCTTGCATAATCACAGTCATTATTCAGTCTGGCAATTCATTACCAAAGTGGATATTTCAGCTTGGCTGAGGAAGAATAAGGATACATATATGTCATAAATACACTGAGAAAATAAGATAGAAGGTTCTAACGTTCAGAGATGTATGTGTTATTCTGCACTCTGCACTTTCCTGAGGGCTGAGGAGTGCTGGGGTACTGCCTCTGGGTCCCCCCCCCCCCCGCTGCTTTTTGAATGAAACATTCCTTGGGGATTTAAGATGTCTGCAGTATTCATTGATAAATGTAGAAGTAAATGGAAGCAAAGAGGCATACCTGAAGCACAGAGGGGTCTGAAAAGAGGGTGCTGGTGAGCTCCCAAAGATACAGTTCCAGTTCCAGCTAGAAACTTGAAACTCTTGAACCCATGGCCCTGAGCTGAAGAGTCCCATGCACTACTAACTGAGCCATCCATGTATGTACATGCAGTACCCAAGCAGTTGGATCTAGCCACTGTTTCTGGACCCAGAGAGAGTGATGCTACATCAGAAACATTGTGGTGAATTAAAATGTCGGCTGGAATTAGCTGCTCAGAGCACCAGGCTGAATCTTTTTTTAAAACTCAAGCAGGGCTCAGGGCAGGTGGGACCTGCAAGGATGTTGAGGCCTGGCTGCTGCCCAAGGATGCCAGGTTGAGCTGGCATCTTCCAAACTGCCAACTGTAGTCTCTCCGTCCCCTCATGCCAGCTTTGCTTGTGGATAAAACATCCACAACCATAAAGGTTAAGGGCTTTGGGGGGCGTCATATTTAAGCAGATTCTAAGCCAGTGGTGAGTGGTCAATTACAATGAATGGGGCACTGCTTCACCAAGCTCAGTGTGCCCTCAACCAACCACCAGCTTGCCTGTCATCTTGCAACCAGTCCGGGGGGTAGCGTTGCCTATCAGCTTCCTGCTCCTTAGCCCCCTCCACCACCTGTGGGTCTGCCTGCCTTCTGCTCCAGCAGTCCCAATGGGCCTCAGCCACCAGTACTTTCATGCAAATAAGCATGTTTTGTGTTTCTTTCTGATTTTTTGCTCCATCAACGTAGATGGGATAAGCTTATCCACTGAATTAGCAACTCGGTTTGTAGCAAAAGCAGGGGGGAAATACTTTAGGACGATGCAAAAATCTTCATCTTTTGAATTCAAGTGGACAAGGAAAGGCTGAGGAGGGGGTGTCAGGTGATGGGGTTAACAACAACAAGCATTCCAGCCGCAGCGAGTGGGACAAAGCAACGCTCACAGCAACAAGGCCTGCTTATGAATGAGACTCACAACATCTGATTCACATTATTTCCACCCATGCACATTTCTTTTTTGTTTAAAGCCAGGGTCAGCGAGGGCTGTATAGACTGTGCGGGACATTCTGTTAATGATTTGCCTTTGGGTCGCTGCTGCTGCTGCTGAGGCACATGAGAAGATTAATAAAGACCTTCTGAAGAAGAAGGAGGCAGGCTGAGCTTGGGGTAAGCAGGTGGGAGATTTAGCTGCCCGCTACTCTTTGGCAGTAGACGTTAGCACGTTATCCCACCCATCCCTGCAATTTTGCTGCGGTCTCCTGGAACTTCTCCTGCTCCCCACACATCCAAGGAAGCCATATTATTACACAGGTGAGTAAGCAGATTTAGAGGAAATTGTGTGTGTGTGTGTGTGTGTGTGTGTGTGTGTGTGTGTTCCTGCAAATGCGACATCAAGCTTACCATCTCAAGAAGGTTACTATGCTCCACCTCCTGTTGGACATTGGCTGGTTCGCCCGTGGCCCTTACAGTTTCTACATGCCGTGGGGCAAAGAGGGCTTGTGTATCAGTACTTCACAGTACATAGAAACAGCATTAAAGCAGGGCCCACACAAGGAAATACCTACTATCGGGTCCCGTTCAGCAGTCTGGTTCCTGGTTCCACATAGGCCCTAGTTCACATTCCCAGATATGAGGGGCAAAGAGCCATCTGGCTCATTCAGGAATATTCCAGGCCTGCTTCCTGATTGTCACCTCTTATTAAAACAACAACAACCAGACCTTTCTTTTTTTACTTTTGGAGAGAGAAGGAACAGTGTGAGACAATATTGTTGTTGCTAACAGAAAACACCAACACCTGCAAAAATATAGAAAAAGAAGGAGGTGCATAATTTGAGTTGCTCCCCAAATCATGACGATCACTTCACTGAACCATCATTGTGCAGCAGCTAGAATACTAATGTCTGGCTTTAGTTGGTGCACCAAAGGTAGCCATACCCTTGTAACTTCCAAGTTTGACTTCTATGATCTGTCCTTCAAGTTGGTTCAGGAATTGCAACTAGTGCCACAGTCAGGATGCTTATGGGAGTGACAGGCTGGGTATAAATCCCATTTTAAAGCAACTTTCCTGGTTACCAGTTGTTTTCTAGGCCCAATTCAATGTGCTTACAGTTACAGTCCTGGACAGTGTGGGGCCCAAAGATAGAAGAGAATGTCTTCTTCGAATATGGATCTGTGGATGAGGTTTGCTGGTTGCCCCACACAGGAAAGAAGTATGTAGTGCTGGGGCCTATGAAGAGCTTGTTCAGTGGCAGCTCCACATCTATGGAAAGCTCTCTTCACTGAGGTACACCTAGCTTGGCTCAAGGGCTTTCATGACTGGCCACAGCTTAGTGGAGCAAGGAGACTTTTATGGCTGACCTCCCTGCAGTTCCCTCCATTGGCCAGGGCACAGTGATGGCAAACCTCCATTCAAAACTGTTGTGTGCTTGGATCCTGACACCTGAACACACTCTATAGTAGACCCACCCGTCTGCATCAAGAAACCAGTTTCACTGGTGCTTTGTCCCCATGTTGAACTCTCTTTTTTTGCTCCATAGGAGATGGCTGTCCAGTATGTCCATTATAAGGGGATAAAGTTCCCCCCTGGATATAATTCTGTGGAGAACCTTTGCTTTGCTGAGAATGAGTTTGAAGTGAGAGATGACGACATCTTCAATGTGACTTACCCCAAGTCTGGTAGGAGTGGGATTCCTGCTCGGGAATTGGGTGGGGAGCGGGATTTCAAAACAGAAAGACATTCTACATTTGTATAGAATCACAGAATGCACAGCCCTGCCCATTATTTTTGGACCTACTACGAATTCAGGCCAGCTTTGTCCTAAACAAATTATTACAATGCCATCTTTTCTCGTGCACTTGCAAAAATGTAGCTGTTTTTATGTGCTTCTGTAATTTACTTCCCACCCCTGGAAACATTTGTAGTTGTTTAGTTTTTAGGCGGGGGGATTAAAGGACAACATAACCGAATCTGGAAACTGGATAATTAAGACGATGGCCTTAACATTCTTTAGAAAGACTTAAGGTTTTAAATTCTGTAATAGCAGCCTTAAACACCGAATTTCAAAAAAGAAACATAGGATTGCTCAAAATCCAAAATCAAACTTGCTTGATTCATAACTGATTGAGATTCAAATGTTGCTTGAGTTTGAATGTTTGGGAAATGTTATTAAGGATGTAATCCTCTATGCACTTTCCTGAGAGTAAACCCCATTGAACTCAAAGGGATGCACTTGTGAGTTGGCATGTACAGGAAGGTTTGCACTGCATATTTTGAAATCAAATTCAAAGCCTGGTTTTCCTCTTCACCACTCCCACTCCCAAATTTTGAACCAGATGTAGATGTAGGAATTGTGGTGGATTGCTTTGCAAATGGTTTTGGGCCAGCCACTGTTAGAAAATGATGGTGTGCTTGGCTTAAAGTAAAATGAATTTGTGGGTACCGACAAAATAACAATCCTCGTTAAACCTGTGGATTTCTTTTTTCCTTCATCAAGGAACAGTGTGGATGATTGAGATTCTCAGCTTGATCCTCAATGGAGGTAATCCAAGCTGGAATCAATCTATGCTTAATTCCTGTCGTGCCCCCTGGTTCACCACCCAGCTAGGCCTGGAGGCTGCGCATCTCCTCCCACCTCCACGGCTGCTCACCTGTCACCTCCCCATTCATATCTTCCCCAAAGCCTTCTTCAGCTCCAAAGCTAAGGTGAGTAAATGGTGAGAAGCTGAATATGGAGTTGCCTGGGGTCCTATCAAAGAGCCTAGGGACACTGCCATGGTGATTGCTTGTGCGTGAAGGGAAGGACATCTTTGAAAATGGAAAATAACATTTCATTTGATCCAGGAGTGAAGGAGAAAAACAAACCATTTTGTAGTACTGTGGGTCTAGCCCATTCAGCATGAAAAACTCCATGTTGGGTATGCAGCTTATTTATGGGGGAGGGGGGAGTTTTGTCATTAAAGTTGTGGTTATAACTCCAGGCCAGACTTTTTTTTTTTTTTTTTGCTTCAAGTACCTTAAGCTATTTTCATTGCAAGGACTCAAAAACCAAAATTATAACTACACAGTATAGCTGAGTTAAAATGATCAGTGTTGGTGTTGCCATATTCACCAATTAACCATATTCCAGGTCTCATCTGTACCTGCCCTTAGCACCTCACTGTTATCACTCTGAATGGCAAAAGCCATTTTTCACCACAGAGGTTCAGCCTTGGATCATGCAAAGTTCCAAATTTTACAACATAATGCTCAGATGGTATCCCTGCAGTCACCCTAAGACAGTGTTCACTCACTGATAATGCCCCACCCCCACCAATTAACAAAAGTTTTCTCCCTTAGGTGGTGTACACATTGCGGGACCCCAGGGATGTACTTGTTTCTTACTATCATTTCTCCAAGATGTGTGTCCCCTTTGAGAACCCCAAATCCTTCAACCACTTCCTGGAGAGTTTCCTGAGTGGAGATGGTGAGTTGGATGGGGGGGGTGGCCAGAGGAGGAAGAAGAAGAGGCTGGGACATTTGGGTGTCCTTGGTGGAAATCCAGTTCATGTGCCAAGCAGTTCATTGCCACAAGATGCAATGAGGGTCTACTCACTTAGGTGGCTTTCGAAATAACAGCTGAGACTAATTTATAGGGCATGGTTTATCTATGGGTTTGCCTATGACCCTCCAGATATTGTTGGACGCCCACACCATATATTTAAAGTACTTTTGCATTAACAGTCATGCCTTCCCCCAAGGAATCAAAGAAATTGTAATTTGTTAAGGGTACTGGGAATTGTGGCTCCATGTATGGCGTGACCCTCATACGGGTTCCTGTTGTGTGGCTGCTTACCTGCATAAATCTATCTGTATGTGCAGAGACATGCCTTTTCGGACCCTTGGATGCGTGTGTGGCAGTCGAGGTCAGGACCAGCAAGGTGCAGTGTCATTGGGGCCAGGCCAGCAGTCTTGGTCCCATTCCCCCTTCTGTGCATTATCTTTACTCATGGAGAGAACGTGGAAGCTTCCTTATTCTGAGTCCGACCATTGGTCTACCTAGCCCAGTACTGGTCTACAATGACTGGCAGTAGCTCTCCAGGGGTTCAGGAAAGGGAAATTCCCAGTCCTACCTGAAGATGCCAAAGATTGAACCTGGCACCTTCTGCCTGCAAAGCAGATGCCCTACCAGTGAGCTACATCCCTTCATTGTAAAAATAAAAAAGAAAGGGGGGTGGTTCTGCAAAAGTAAGTCCACCACCCATCACTGATGTGTCCCTATCTCCATGTATTCCTTGGTGCAGTACCTTTTGGATCATGGTTTGACCACGTCACAGGTTGGATGAAGCTGAAAGGCAAAAGCAACCTCCTTTTCATCAGCTACGAGGAGCTGAAGCAGGTGAGAACATGGGGCAGATCGCACCCTTTCCAAGGTTTCTGTAAAGCATCCTCCCCATTGGTTGAAAAATGAATGCAAACCTATTCCACACGTTCTTCATTGGTAAGACAAATGAGACAATGTTTTAGCAAAGTGGAAATCAGGGTTGAATTCAACGCTACCCACATGTAGTTCCACCCGCACAGCAGGATTTCCTGTTCTTCTCCTTGTACCTCACCCCCAATCTGTTCCAGAGGGTCCCCCAACTTAATGGAGCAGATTTTGAAGTTGCAATGGGGAGCAGGGGGCTGCAAGAGAGTGGAGGGGGAGATTCCACTGTCCAAGTGGAAGTTTATAGACCAAGCAGAATGGCCATGCTGGTAGGGTTGCCCTTCAGACACAAAAGTAGTTTTTGAGCTATTTTTAAGGAAATTTGCCAAAATCTACACTTCCAACATGGGTTACAATGTGTCTGGATTTTCCTGGACATTTCAGAAATTTGTGCCTGGACATTGTTTCCGACAGCCAAATCCTGACTACGTCCGGGAAATTCCAGATCTATGGCTGCCCTAGGTGTTGGATGCATCCCAGAATTCAAAAATGTCTGCTAGGTGATGGAGGGGAAAGACAATTTACACAGGATAACATAGGAACCTCCCATACACCAAGCCAGATCTTTGCTCCATCTAGCTCACTCTACTGCACTGCCCCACAGGTTTCAAACAAGAGCCTTTCCCAGCCCAACCTAGTGATGCCAGGGACCTTTTCTGAGCAAAGCATGTGCTCTTTCAGTTGCCCTATGCCGCCTCCCATTTTTATTTCATTCATCCCACAAGTCACAACCTGTATTCCTTTTCCATTGTTATCAGTTCTTAAACTGCATCCTAAACATCACTTGAGCTGCAGTCATGGACACACTTTCCTTGGAGCAAGTCCCCGGAGTAGACATGTACAGGATCGTGTTGTTCTTTATTTAAAGCACTACCTCCTACTCATTTCCCCTGGGGTTGTTGCATTGGATATTGCAGTATCATAAACAGGCAGACACCATTATGAATATATGGTGAAACCTCAAGAAGATGTCTCTAGTCTTTCGTCTTGGCTGTGATTATGTCTCAAGTTTTGTGCAAAAATTAGAACTCAGGGCATGATAACAGAGGCGTTTGGGGTTAACTGGGAAACTGATTCTCTGGCTGTGCTCAGGATAAATAGGGCTTTGCATATTCTGCAGTTTTCTGACATGATGCAGGATGAGTGCACAATTCATCACCATCAGCATCTCAAATTTCATTAAAACACACACTTCAGGATACAAAACCCTAAGACTGAAGATAGGTATCAAAGAACATAGGTCTTAATTTTTCTGCTGCCTAGAACACTAGTCCCCTCTGTATCTGTTCAGGACCTGTTTGGTATTGTGGAACGCCTCTGCCATTTCCTAGGGAAAGAGCTCGATGAGGCAGCGATTACATCAGTGGTGGAGAACACTTCCTTCGAAGCCATGAGGAGGAATGACATGTGCAACTCAACAATGCTTCCCAAGGAATTTATGGACCAAGAGAAAGGGACCTTCCTGAGGAAGGGTGAGGCTTGCTCCAGTAGCTTTTTCCGTAGTTTCATAGGAGATGGGGGAGAAGGGGCATGGCAGACAGATCACGGATAAAGGAACAATCCAGCCACAGTGCCAACAAAGGTGAGAGAATTTGGGTGGCACCACCAGTGACCTTGCACAATCAAATATGGCTGGGGCGAAGATGGAGTGAGGACAGGAGTAGGATGTGTGTGTGGTGACACAGCAGAATCCTCTCCATGTCAGCAAGACCAGAGACGCGCCACCTAAAAAACATTTATATTAATCAGTGCTGAGGCCCATACCCCTAAATTAAAAACCAGGTGATAATTAGCATGCATTAGTGCAACAGTAGAGCATCAGGTTGTCAATGGGGTGGGAGAGAGCAATGCAGTATCTTCGCCATTGCCTAAGAGGCAGGCAGTGACAAAATAGAAGGGGAAAGTTAAGCAACTTGAGAAGATCGTGGCTGGCTGGCCATAACAGAGAGTCTAAATAAGTCTTCTGGCACACCAGCTCCATGGGGGAGAGAGAGAGAGAGATCTGAAGGCTTCTACTTTGACCTCTGACCTCCTGACTCTGCCTTTGCACCGGTCACTTTTCCCTTTGCTGGAAGTGTCCTGCACAATTTCATTGGCAATTACAGGCACCCTTTGATCTAGTAGCAGTGGCTTTTACAATGCTTATTTCCTCTGGCGGGCAGAGGAGCTGACTTGCAAAGTGCTGAGAAGCTCAGCTCCAGAGAAGTTTAATCAAAGGTAGTTTGAATTTAATTGTTGCCCGTGTCCTCATTTTCTAGGCATCTGTGGAGACTGGAAAACTCACTTCACGGTGGCACAGTCTGAATACTTTGACAAGGTTTACCAGGAGAAGATGGAGGGCCTGAAAGGAATATTCCCTTGGGAATACACTAGGCAAGAGAACCACTTGGGAAAAGGCCTTAATTTCTGAACTGAAAGATGCCGCAGCCTAAGCTTGTCTGTCTGTTACCAAGAAAGCACTTCCTTAATCCTAAACCCTAAAGTAGAGGCACTTTTTGTAGGGGAAATGTATGTGTTCGGAGCAATTCATAACATTTTTTATAATTTCACATGCTTCAGGGTGCTGGATGTGAACACATGTTATGCTTCAGGGCGCAGAGTGGCACATGATGTATCATGTGAAGGCATCTACTGCAGTCATCTGGCTGAAGCTGGGCTGCATTGGAATTAGCAGGGAGAAACTGACGGAGGCTGCCTTAAGTTGCACAGAAGAAAACGGGGATCTAATCATGTTTCTTTTTCAAAAGAAATATTATTAAGGCAAGCAATGAACAGCAACTGAATATAGTGATGCAACACACTATTAATCTCAAGATGGTAAAAAGCAAAAGAAAGGCAATTTTAAAAATAATAATAATCAGTGCTTTTTTTCTAAAAAAATGTTTAGGGGTACAGTGGTACCTCAGGTTACATACGCTTCAGGTCAGAGACTCCGCTAACCCAGAAATAGTGCTTCAGGTTAAGAACTTTGCTTCAGGATGAGAACAGAAATTGTGCTCTGGTGGGGGCGCGGCGGCAGCAGGAGGCCCCATTAGCTAAAGTGGTGCTTCAGGTTAAGAACAGTTTCAGGTTAAGAACGGACCTCCGGAATGAATTAAGTACTTAACCTGAGGTACCACTGTACTCTCATTTTGACTCAAGAAAATCACCATTTTATAGTTCAAATAGGGAAAAAATCAATACAGTAAATGGACAAAAGTACAAAATTCACAAAATGTTTAGGGGTATGTGTCCTCCAGTGTCCCCCCAGAAAAAAGAACTGATAATAATAATTATAACAACAACCACCACCAGTTTTACAGACAACCACAACAGAGATCATATTTTAGAATCAGCAGTGTGGATTTCAGAAAGTTATTGTTCTACAACGTTTGTGGGAAAGGGCTTCCATACCCCATAAAATAAACTTGAAGGTAGGATGGGTGGCAAAGGCAGAGAGGCCTGCAAAAGCATGTGTTTGGGGGGCAGCATTTTGATTTGAGCTAATCAGATGCCTTTCCTAACTGAACAGTTTTTTTTTTAAAAAAAATGGATTAAATTTATTTGCTCTTTTGGCTGCAAATCTGGAACCTGATCAAAGTTAAGTCACTTGACTCCCACTCCTTCTCTATTTCCAGCTTTTCTGGGTGTAGGCATCTCCATCCTGCCTTGTCCTCCTTTGCTTTCAGGCTTATTAGCTCTGCTCAGTCGAAAAGCCTGGAAAGTTGTGTGTGTGTGTTTTTAAAGTTTTTCCTGGAATTTAAACTTGTTCTGAAAGGGAAACCTAGAAGAAAGTAGCCCCTCCCCCTAGCTGGCATATGAAATACTGCTGATACAATGTCAGTCTGTTATGCGTGCGTTTGTGTGTGGCCCAGCTCCTATAAACTGGGGGGTGGCGGGGGGGGGTACAAAAACCCGCTTGGAACTCACATTCTTGGAATCTCACATCCGAAAAGTATGAGGGTTGGTTGCGGTTACGCACTGGCAAGGAAACCGTATGGTATACTCATAAGTGGCATGGCTCAAAAGTATAAAATTGGTGCAGGAGAAGAACCCCACCTCCTCCCTTGCACACAAACACACACACACAATTTCCAATCCATTCTAATAGGTGTATTCACATTGCAGGACTCCTCAGAGTGCCACATGCTGAGGACTGCCTTCCTGCCATACTCAAGAGCTTTATAGCAGCATCTGGCTTGTTAGTAGGTTTTAGTGGACTGTTGTTTAGATGCAGCACGGTTCTTTAGATGTTATTGGTGAGAGAGAGAATTTTGAATGTGGAACTAGCAGATAATAGTTTTCTTGGATTAATTAATGTTATGTTGTTGGGTACATAAGGGCCCGTCCTCATGCCTGTAGGCCTCCATCAAAATGATTCTGTTTTCGTGGTTTGCGGCTCATAGCCCAAAGGCAACATCTCATTTCTGAGCCAGAGAGGTGCTGGGCTAAACTCTGCCTGGGAATTGCACCCCTGGAAGCCCCAAAGTGTGGGTGCTGGTTGTGGCACTCTGCATGCGGTCAATAGCCATTCTCTTTTATAGCAACCTGCTTGGACTCTGACATTTCTATTGTCCCAAGGCAAGGGTAGTGAATCTCTTGGACTATAACCCGGGTCACTGGCCATGCTGGCTTGGGCTGATGGGAATGGGACTCCAGCAACATCTGGAGGGCCACAGGTTCCCCGCCCTTGTTTATGGCCAAGCATCTGGTTTAAGTTAAGCCAAACAAGCAGTTACTGAATTGGGGAGAGAAAGAGAGAGAGAGAAGGCTCTTAATGAAATCCATAAGGTCCATGTGACTTCTCCCAATTTTCCACAAATCACGATCCCGCCCAGCCTTCTAAAAACAGTAGCTACGTGGGGGACAACAGCACATAAACTAAGGATCCCTCTGTCTCGGCTGTGGTCCAAGCACTACCCTGCGAGCTCACATTTCTCAAACTGTCTCAGCATTATTTGCTTAAACCATTTTTCTCCAGAGGATCGTGTGTGTGTTTGTGTGTGTGTGTAAGAAAAGCCTTGGCTTGAAATCCAAATCTGCCCGGGGAGTGCGAGCCCTTTTACCGGGCAGCCTCGTGGTCTAATGAGCTTCCTCCTCCCCCCCTGCGTTAAAACAAGCGCACTCTGCACACGCTCAGAAGCAGCGTCGCCTCTCGATTTGCAGACGTTCCGGCATCGTCGGCCGAGCCCCGCCGCTGCAAAACGGGCTCGAGGGACTGAGCAGCCTTGAGCTGCAAGTCGAGGCGCGATCATCCGGCTGGGGGAACTTGTGGCTCGGCTCTCAAGGGCACTCGTAGGCGGAGAGCGGAGGCGTCGGCCGAGCCTGGTCCCCCTCCGTCCCTCCCTCCCCTCCCCTCCCCTCCCCTCGCCTGCCTGCCTCCCCTCCCCTTCCCCTCCCCGCTCACTCGGCGCTGCCGCAGTCGCGCCTCCACGTGCCCTTGGCCGGGCTCCGGCGGGGACTGCAGCTGCAGGCAGCCGTGGCGTCGGGGGCCGGGATTTCTGCCAGGGGGTGGCTCCAGGCTGGGCTAGAGCCGGCCAAGGCAGGGGGCGGGGGCGCAGCGCGGAGTTCGGAGGCGGCGGCTGCGGCAGCGACAGAAGCAGCCGCCTCAGCAATAGATCAGGCGAGCCCGTCCCGTCGGTGAGCCCGCCTGTCTGCGCCATGGTGAGCCGCTGTGCGCTCTGCTGGGGGGCGGCGGGTGGGGGTCCGGGCTGGGCAGGTAACGCGGCCTCCGGGGGTAGCTGGGTGGGTTGCTAAGGGCAGTGGGGAGGTGGGCCACGTCGGGAGAGGTATTCTAACCTCACCGCCCCCTCCCTTGAAGGAAGCATACTAACAGCGGGAATGAGGTGCCGGGCATCAGAGAGAGCATTGCGATACTGGAGGGGGCGAGGGTGATGGGGATCAGGGTGGCTCGCCGCTGGAGGGAGCCCACAGCACTGGGGGGGGGCAGGCGGGGGCGGGGCAAGAGTTACTGTCAGGGGTGTAACTGGGGCTTGCAGCCGAATCGCAACCGTGTTTACTCGGGAGTAAGTACTACTGGCCAACCTCGCTGTGCGCACGCAGGACTTCTAAGTCTGCTCTTTAATTCCGAGTAGTTAAAAGAGATGGTGTGTCTCTTCCTCAACCGCGCCTGCCTCCCCTCCTGAATGCTTCATGCCTGCTGATGGGAGGGATCCCAGCCTAAGATTTGTGATTCTGGGTCTGGAACCCCGGTACTGTGGTGGTGGTGGTTACTGATTTCTGGCCGTGCAGTAGAAGTGTGGTTTTCAGCACCTGGCAGGAGTCTCTCTTTCCAAGGGATGCTCAAACAGAGTTTCCTTTGACGTTTCCTGCATCTGTAATTCGAACTAGAATCTACACTAACCAGAACACTCCTTTTGGTTTAGAATTGTGTGTCTTCATTCTGCTTTCTAGCCTACTCTTCCATCCTGCCTCCCTCCCGCCCTCATTACACTCTCAAATGTTTTCGGACAAAAAAGGCATTGGTAGAGTATATTATTGGGTGTGTGGGGGGGAACCTTACATTTTGGAGCGGGGATTAAGAGCAGCATAGCTAGCTGAAAGTTGGCTCTGAAGGAGACACCTGATCTCATTGCGTGTGTGGACCAGGCATTTGTTCTAGCTGGGCTCAGGTTGGTTGCTCCAAGCTGGAGGTGGTGGCAAGATACCTTTTCTTCCGGATTTAAACAAAGTCCTACGATCTGTGTGGGAGGTCAGCAAAGGGGAACATATTTTAGTATCTTATTGCATGGCTGTCATTTATAGATCCAAAGAAACCCCAGAAAAGGTTGACCTGGCTCTGTTGTAAAAGAGCAATCTTTGGTGTGCACACACATGCAAAGAATTGTGAGAGTCGAACTGCACATGATCTGCGAATGCATGCCACAAAACCACAGTAGGTGGTTCTTCAAAGGAAAAATGGCTAGATTGATACTTTTTTAGGCATTTGTTTGCTGCCTTATAACCTTGCTTGCCATTTTCCCATTGCAACTCTATTCCCCCCACCCCAAAACACAAACACATGCTAGTTGCTACTCTTCCTCCTCCTCAGCTGCTAGGTATGGGTTTAAATAGGTGGAACACATTTGGAAACCTGTGGAGCAAGGAAGGAATAGGACTGTGGCTTGGGCAGAGGTAACTGCCACTGAAAAATGTCAGATGGAGAAAGGACCAAATAACCCCTTCCCTCCTTATTATCTCCCTCCCAGAACTGTGCTGTCTTTAGAAGCAGCAGCTTTTATTTCACATGTTTATGTGTAATTTGACTTTGATGGGCCTTGCACTCTTTTTTTGCTTTTGCAAGTTGACAGTGTGGCAGAGTGTCTGTCTCATAACCTCCATAATGGCTGTGTGGTCTAGGGGAGTACCAGTCAGGACACCGACTGGTGTGCTTCATGTGCCTCCTCTCAGTGCTCAGGGTTAAAAACAAAAGGCACCAGAGCTTTAATCCTGGAAGTGTAAACTGGAAGCCCCCTCTTTGTCAGGTGGGACTGTACAACACATGCTTTGCAAAGAAGAAACCCCAAGTTCAGTCTGTGGCGTCTTCAGATAAAAAGGACCAGGCAGCTGATAGGCCTATGCAAATTGTTTAACATTTTCTTGAGCAGATGGTCATTTTCATTATTGTTCTGTACCACTTACAGTGTTGGTTTTTTAAAAAAATGTTTTTATAATGTTGTACGCCATCCTCCTGATCTCCTATGAGAGGGCAGTGTAGAAATACCTCTGTGAATAGGTGGATAGCAGGTGATGGGAATAATGTTTGCCACAAACCAGAGCATTTTTCTACCTGAGGCAGAACAGGAAACAGAACCCCTCCCACAAGCCAAGGTGCATAGGAGACCTGGGAGTATGTAATAAATAAGCAAAATAAAATAAATAAGAGTTTTCTGCTCTTTCGTGGCAACCAAGACCAGTTGCCTCCACCCTTACTCATGGCAGTGCCAGCCTTGTGCTGAAACCCCGGAGAGCTGCTTAAGTGGTTCTCAAAGGAAGCATCTCTGGGCTAGATGGGCAAATGAGCTGGCTTGGCATAAGGCAGACTCCTGTAATCCCAGGTGTGTGAGGGCTAGAGTTGATTGTGAAGTCTTCTCCGATAGGGAAAGGTACTGCACTTATTCAGCACGGTGGTTCATAGGTAATTTTTTCAGCTTCTTATTTTCTCCATGGAAACCATTCCCCTGGTACACAAATGTCTGCAGAAACACAATCATGGCAGTCAGTGGTGCCCAGCAGCGATTTCTGAGATCAAGGTGACGTTTTCTAAATGATGTGATTTCCCCCCTCCCTCCACACATTCAAAAAGTGGGTATCAACTGTGTTTTTAAATAGAAAGCTATCAGTTCTTGATGTATTTCAATCTAAGACACTCTTCACTGGGGAATATCAGTAAAAAGGTAAAGGGACCCTTGACAATTAAGTCTAGTTGCTAACGACTCTGGGGTTGCGGCATAACCACTAAACACAGGCACAGCTCTGCAGTGGTAATATTTACCAAAAAAATTAAAGAGAGAAGAATTTAGAAAGTCATTATATAAAATCATATCATAAATATTGCTAATATTAATATCTGTCATAAAACTGCTTTAAAAAAAATAAGTATACTTGTTTGGAAAGAATAGATGCACTAATGTGTGCCACATAAATAGGGACAACGATGATAAGTAATGAATTTAAACATTTTTCTACATTCTCTATTTTAAAAGCCATACAAAAACTAGTCCTCAGCAATCCGGCTAGGAAGAAGCAGAATTTAACTCTGGCATTTAATTTTCTGAATGCAGGGGGTGCCAACATGGAGCCTTCCAGAGATGATGCCGAACTGCAGTTCCCATCATCCTTGGCTGTTGACCATGTTGGCTGAGCCTGATGGCAGCTGGAGCCCAACAAGATCTGAAGAGCATTATATTGGCTCCTGTGGACCTAAAGAGATAAAGAACAGCCTGTAACATCTTAGTCATACATGGAACCACTTCTTTAGACTTTCTATAAGTTCCCTGATCATAAAAAATTGCTGCTGAATTATATATGGACTGAGTTCCTGGCTTACACAGTATATTGCTGGGCAGGCCATCCCAAGACATTCTGATACCTGAGGCAGAGCAGTCCCTCCAGGTGCTGAGTGCCTAAAGCCAGCCAAGTGATTTTAGCACCCAAGGCAGAAAATTCCATGAGCACCTCTCTGCTGCTGTTCCCTCACACTGTAATAATAGATTAGATAAGTAGCAATTTGCTGACCTTCCATGACACCCAAAATCAACTGCCTGAGGGGCCTGCCTCATTGCCTAATGGTAGGGCTGGCCGTACCTGACGCTAGTAAGAGAGAAGACTTGGTCACTTTTAGAAATGGAGGCAGTTCATACACTGAGCAGTGAACCCCTTTGAGCAATCCTTGAAAGTTTACTTTGACCCATTGAAAACCACCGCTGTAGAATTAGATGAAAGACAGAGATCTGCCTCTGGTGTTTGATGTGAGATGATGGCTTTTCCACCAATGCTAAGACATAATTTGTGCAATTACTGAGTGCTGTGTGTGTGTGTGTGTGTGTGTGTGTGTGTGTGTGCATGCATGCATGCATGTGTGAACTTGCCCCAAAACAGGGCATAATCTGACCAGGGTTCAGCCCCTGTGAAATGTTGCATAGTGTCCAAGAGACGGTGTTGTGCACTAAGCGCTCCTCAGTTCCAGTCTGGAATTCTGTAGGTGAACTTAGGTAAGCTGCTCTCTCTTGGCCTCACCTGTAATACAGTGGTACCTCGCAAGACGAATGCCTCGCAAGACAAAAAACTCGCTAGACAAAAGGGTTTTTTGTTTTTTGAGCTGCTTCGCAAGACGATTTTCCCTATGGGCTTGCTTCGCAAGACGGAAACGTCTTGCAAGTTTGTTTCCTTTTTCTTAACACCGTTAATACAGTTGCGACTTGACTTTGAGGAGCAACTCAATGCCTCGCAAGACAAAAAACTCGCTAGACGAAAGGGTTTTTTGTTTTTTGAGCTGCTTCGCAAGACAATTTTCCCTATGGGCTTGCTTCGCAAGACGGAAACGTCTTGCAAGTTTGTTTCCTTTTTCTTAACACCGTTAATACAGTTGCGACTTGACTTTGAGGAGCAACTCATAGAACGCGGTGTGGTAGCCTTTTTTGAGGTTTTTAAAGACTTTGGTGATTTTTGAAGCTTTTCCAAAACTTTCCCGACACCGTGCTTCACAAGACGACAAAAATCGCAAGACGACAAAACTCGCGGAACGAATTAATTTCGTCTTGCGAGGCACCACTGTATGGGGATAATAACTCACAGAGTTTTCCCTAAGGATTGGTGATGTTGAGTATGTGAAGCTTCTGGAGTCTGCTAAAAACACTATATGAATGCTAAATCTGATGATGACCTAGTGCAGAATGTATTTCCTTGCCGGAAGGGCTGTAGCATAGTGGCAGAACATCTGCTTTGCTTGGGAAAGGTTCCAGGTTCAATTCCTGGTATCTCTAGGTAGGGCTGGGAGAGAATGCTGTCTGAAATCCTGGAGTGCCACTGATGGTCAGCGTAGACAACCCTGAGATGGATGGACCAATCGTCTATGTTCAGGGTCAGGCTCCCTTTCCACTGAGTAATCCTAACTAGGTTGCTGTACATTGATTACATTAATCTTACACTTCCTCCCAGAATCTTATACAGTGGTACCTCAGATTACAGATGCTTCAGGTTACAGACTCCGCTAACCCAGAAATAGTACCTTGGGTTAAGAACTTTGCTTCAGGATGAGAACAGAAATCGCATGGCGGCAGCAGCGGGAGGCCATTAGCTAAAGTGGTACCTCAGGTTAAGAACAGTTTCTGGTTGAGAACGGACCTCTGGAACGAATTAAGTTCTTAACCCGAGGTACCAATGTTGTGGGTTTATGTGCCCCCCCCATTTTATTCACAAAGCAAGCCTGTGAGGTATGTTAGGCTGAGATACTGTCGCAGTGAGCTTTATGACTGAGTTCAGATTTGAATATTTTTCTCTGATAGGGCCAGTCCTACCATTACATAGAGTGAGCTGGATTGCCTTAGGCGGCAATGTAGAATGACCTGGTTCAGGGTTCCAGCTAGCCAGCCAAATCCGTTCCATTCTCACCTCACGTTTTCCCCCTTCCCCACCCCGTCAATCAGTATTTTGTGCCCACTGAGCATGCTCAGTGTTCAATGAGCGATTTTGGGATCTCCCATCTTAGGATTTTTAAAATAGAAGGTTTTCCCCTTTTTGTACTTCTGCAAACCTTGGGGTTCCCCCAAGTCTGCTGATAATTCTCCTTTGTGCGTGGATGGTGCTGTTTTCATTGCAGAAAGATCCACACTTTGAGAAGGAGTTTGGGTTTGGTATTAGTACATAGGATGGAGATGCGGAGACTCCAATTTGCGTTTATGTGAAAGAGAGAGAGAAAATATATATATACTCCACCAGCAATATTTCTGGAGGAGGACGGCTTTCTGTTTTTTTGCCAGCCACTGTTCTCCCTGGAACCATCTGCCTTGCACACCCTCCAGGACGGCGAGCCAAGAAGGGGCCTCCCCACTCCTTCCTGCCTCCTGCCAGTGTCTGTGTGGGAAGGGGGGGTTGCCTCTTCCTGTCGGGGATGTAGAACTTCTCCCTCAAGCTTGGCTGGCTCCGAGTCTCTACTTTCCTGCCTCTCTTCCAGAAAGTGGCAAAAAGCTCCTGGGGGGCGAAGGAGGAATGTAAAACAGACATACTTTCCACTATTCTACAAAGTACCGTGCGGCTAAAAACTTGAACTGAGGCCTGGTCAGGGCTAGTCCCTGAAAAGTAGCCAGGTTGCCAGTTTGAGCCTTCCTTGTGGAAAGAGGGCTGGGGCCGGCCCTATTATGAGACATGCTGAGTCACTTGTCTCAGGTGTCAGATTGAAGGGGGGCAGTGGAATGAATGCCACCCCCCACTGCCTTGCTAAGCCACCCCCCACCCCCGGCTGCTAGAATGAGTTTGCCCCCTTGCCAGCCACTGCTTGAGCTCTCGTTTCCGGCAGCTGCCTTGGCTAGACGTTTTGACACGGTGCTGCGAGATTTGGGACACCTTCGCTGCTGTGCTTGCAGTAAGTAGCAGTTGCCCATCTTGTTGGGTGCAGCGGCTGGGGATGAGGGGTGGTCCTGCCTTGCTTCGGGTGGCAAAACGGCTTGGGCTGGCCCTGGTTGTAGGGCACCTGCTTTGCATGTAAAACAAGGATGTAGTGCCTTGGCCTTGGGGATATGAGTGCCACCGCCTGGTTCTCTTTATCAAGCCCTTGGGGCTCTTTGTCACTCGCCCTCTTGAGTGCTTTGGCCTGCCTGGAATGTGTCCTTGAGCAGTGATAACTGCTGCTTGCCAGAATGGAGGCTTGTATGTGCATTGGGGGTGTTTAGAAGGAAACCTCTTGACTTCTGTGTGGCTGGAATGCAACCTGGTGTACAAAGGTAAGAGTCACATGTATCTCTCTGCTTAAGCTTGCTTCTACCTCTCACATGTGCCTGGAAGGTTTGTTTGCTTTTTTATTTTATTTATATCCCACCTGCCTTCCAAAGAGCTCAAGGTAGCATTCCTGGCTCTTCCTTTCCCCTCACAGCAACCCTGCAAGATAGGTTAGGCTGAGAGAGTGACAGGCCCAAGGTCCCCAAGTGAGCTTCATGGCTGAGTGGGGATTTGAACCCAGGTCCCCCAGGCTGTGGTCCAGCACTCTAACCATTACACAACTCTGCCCGTGAGCTTCCTCGCACCAGTGAAAAGGTTCCAGGTTCAATCCCTGCTGTCCCCTGTTAAATGATATTGAATAGTAGGCAAGAAAAGTTCTCCGTTGGGAAGCCACCACCACACAAGGGCAACGAGTTGACTGGGTGATTTGGGATGCTGGTTTCAGAGGCAGATTTAGGGGAGCGTGGCTGGTTTGGTCACACTGGATGCAGAGCCTCGGGGTTGGCACAGCTGTGATGTAGAATGGAAGGCAAGAGGCACCCAATTTTGGCATTGCCCAGGGCACCACTGGAGAGCCAGAGGTTCCTCACCATTGTCAGAAGGGTGAAGGCAGCAATAGTACGCAGGATCTGGAGTGGACGGATATTGAATGGAAAGGGGTAGAGATGTTAATGGATATGCAGCGGGATGTGTTTTACAAAAGAACAGAAGACAAATTCCTCACTGCTTATGCCAAAGAGGAATAACACTTGGAGGATATCCTTTAAGCTCAGTGATTTCATAGATTGGCTAATTATACTCACTAGAGAAGAAGCAAGGGCAGTTAAATGATACAATAACAAACCCACCTCTTCAAAGAGAAGGATCTGATTCAAAGTTAAGAGATCAATTCAAATTTATTATCACCAGGAAATTATTATTTTTAAAAGCTTTCTTCGTTTTGACTCTTTGGGCACAGATGACTTGGCAAGTTACTTATGCAGCAGAGGTGAAACTGGGATCCCAATCAATCCAGGAAAGGAAAAGGCAGGCTACAGTGGGACTGAAGATCCTATGGAAGTGGAAGCTTGAAGGATATAGTTGGCCAGGTAGATTGTTCCCCCAGCAACCAGCTAGGTGGCCCCGATGCCCTGATGGTCATTATTGTGCGGTTGCAAAGAGAGAGGACAAAATTCCTCCCTGGAGATGTTTTTGCCTATCTCCAACAAAATGAGCATACTGCACCTGAAGACATTCATGTTTTGCTTCAACTATATTCCACCTGCTGATAACCACAAAGATGGGATTTCATTATTATTATTATTATTAGTTTATATACTCCTTTCTGAAGTCGTTTGTGGCTTTTTCCAGGGAGCCTCTGTTGGCCATCACATCTGGTTCTCGGGCATCATCTTGACACAATTCCCTCTCCTGACATGCGCACCAGTGCATGTTACCTCCTGGCACTTTCCTTACAGGCCCCAGAGGTGACCAGCGGTGCCTTCCTTGATGTGTCATGGAAGGAGAACTCCTGAAGTATCTCTTGGTAGAAGTGGTGATGAAACGTGTGAGGAGAAGGGTAGACAGATGACACTTCTCTGAAGTTCCTCCAGCGGGCCTTGCCAGCTACCTCAGCAGGGAGCAGTTTGCTGTATTGATGACAAGTACTGGCACATGACTGGAAGGATCTAGACTTGGTGGCCATTGAGTTTGGCTTAAAGCAGGAGTGGGGAACCTTCTAAAGCCCACAGGCCATGTACTTTTCCAGGCATCCTTCTGGGGGAACCCAGTGGTGGGTGTAGCCAGAGGCAAAGCATGAGTGAAACAACAGGTGTTACTCTTGTCTTTGTGCAGTAGGCCACATTCAAGTCACGCAAAGCTTGGGGGTTTCTAAGGCAAGCAAGAGGCCTTATCACAGTTCAAGGACACAGTCCAGTCGGCCTAAAGCTCTCCAGGAGAGGGTGAAGCAGTGTCCGTGAGAGAGAGTCCCAAGGGGTGGACAGAGATTCTTAATGGCCCACAGGCCTGAGGTTACTCACCCCTAAGCTAAAGCATAGAGGGTTACACATTGCCCCATCGTGTTTCCAAAGCATCCTGTCCATATATACCACTTCATATGACGTATATGAGGCGGAAGAATTGCTGGTGGTGTTGAAGAAAGCACAGTATTTGATCAGTGGGACATTAGGTGCGTTTTCAAAGTTTGTCCTCCGGTGCCATTAAAGTTATCCTGCCAAGCAGGTAAGCAGGTGCAAGAATGTGGGGAGAGGCAGGAGAACAAAGAAGCACAAGAAAAATAATTGGGAGTGCTGGCAGAAGACGTGTGTTTCTGGGAGAGTCCTAGCTCCGCAAGGGGGGCTCTTAAAGAAAGAGCAGGGTGGCGTGAAAAGGCAGGTAAGACCAACACTCTCAGCACACAGCCAGGGAGATGTATTCATACATCTCTTGCCTTGTGCCCAGCTGGACTATATACTTCAGCCTGGTCTTCCGCCCCCCCCCCCTTAAATAAGATTCATTGTTTCTTCCTTTGCCTGGTGGAAGAGAAAGCAAGAGAGGGGAGAACAGTGAGCTGAGAGGAGATGCAGCAGGCAGCAGCTGTGATGGGGGGGGGGGGACAAGGGAGAAAGGTGTGTGAGGGGGGGAGCAGGAAAACTGAGGGTGGGGAGATGCAGATGCTGTCGCAGTGCTTCTTCTCTGGGCCCCTCTCTGGCAGGTGACATCACCGTTCTGGCACCAAAAGAAGGAGAAAAAGCACCAAATCCTGTTTTCCCTAGCATTGTGAAATCTTAGGCAGCCTCTTCTATATCTGGGATTAGGAGAATGACTTTTTAGACACAGTAGCATACCCTCTCCTTTTTAGAAATGTAAAATAAAGCCCTGTTTACGCAAAACACGTGAATATGTGCTATTGCATTTGGTGTCGTCGTCCCCCACCATAGACAGCTACACCCAACAGATGGTTGCTTGCACAAAGGCAACCTAAAAGTGCAGCCCTGATTCACTGTCGTTGCAGATGTGCTCTGTATCCACGTAACGCTGTAATAGGTTTCAAGACACTCCAACTTCTTCATCAGTTGTATGTGAGCACTGAGCTTTTCACTGTGAGGTTTTTTATAAGCCACCCTGCAGATCTGGCCCTACCGTTAGGGAAAATAAGGTTGCTGCAGCAGATGATGAGGGCAATTCTCTGTGTGTGTGTCTTGCACAGCTCCCCATATTCCCTAAGGGAACCTGATGTCCTTTGGCACATTGTCCTTTTGCCACTGCAGAAAACAAGATTCATATGCCAGTCCAGTCAGTTTCTGTACAAAAAAATTTAGGAGGCGGGGGTCTGTATCTTGTCCTTCACCTCAGGCAGCAAAATATTTTAGGCAGAAAACTGTGTGGTCTGTAAACCATCTGAAGAAACGCAGAAATAAAAAGAACAAAAAGTCTCAAAATCTTGTGGCGTTTTAAAGACGAAGGGCTGCATCCAAACCTAGTCCTATTTAGAGTAGGCTCATTGAGATGAATGACTGTGACTCAGGTCATTAATTTCAATGGGTCTATTTGCGTATGACTAATACATTAGATACAACCCTAACAAATGTCTCATGACATAAGCTTTTGGGTGTGCTACAAGACTGTTAAATTGTTTTTGCTGTGACAGAGTAACAAGGTTACCCCTTTGGAAATAAATACAAGAGCTAGTGGTATAAATAAGTCAATTCTAAAGGGCTGTAATGGTCACCGTCCGCTACAGGTTTTTTGTTTTTTTTTAAAGGTTCAATTCAGGGTGGATTTGATTTAAATCAAATTGATTTAAATCACAATTTAAAACACTATTCAGTAAGACTTGATTTAATTTCCCCCCTTTTTTACAGAAAGGCATTCCCGCTGGTATAATCTTAATATTTACAATGAGATGAAGGTTTCATTTTTTGGAATAATAAATTTTCAGAGTAGTTTTTACAGCTATATAAAAAATTACTGATTTGGTTATACTATTAGAAATGCATAGACAGATAATTATGAAATTATTGTGAGGTTTAGTAAGTTAACTGTTTATATTTGGACAACTTTTCTGCTGTACTTTATTGGAAGGAGAAAAATAATCATTTCCTTAATAACAATTTAAACAATTTATTTAACTAAAACAATAACATTGTAGCATATGTATCCATGTTTGTTAACTGATGTGGTTAAACTTTTATATATATACTTAGACTGAGTTTTAACACACATGAAAAACTTAAAACAAATCCTTATTTCCTGATAGCCTTTGGACTATAACTTAACTTAAATAGAAAACTATCTTTAGAAATACTTTTTACTCCAAAAGCATTTTATTTTTAAAATCCAATTTAATTTTTTTAAAAAAATCCATTATTTAATTTTTTATTTTTAACAATCATTGATTTTTATCCACCCTGGTTCAATTGATGGTATAGTTCCATGGACCCCTCCAGAATTTTCACATTTCAGTACCCAGCAGTGTGTTCCTATGTCAGTGGAGCTTGCCTCTAGGTACGAGGATTTGGATTGCAGAATACCCTCTTTTTTTGGACATGTGTTTCATTCCACTTCTGAATAGACATGGAAGGGATTAAAAACCAAGAAAGAAACTTTTAGCACCTTAACAACTAACAAGTTTGTCCATGGCATAAGCTTTCATAGACTTTGGTGCACTTCAAGAAAACTTGTTCCTTAATAAATTAAGCTGCCTAGGTGCCAAAAGACTCTGTTGTTTTCTAATGCAGAAGACTAATACGACTACCCCTCTGGAAATGTAAGGACTACATAAAGGGGAAGGGTTGCCGTTCAATGCTAAGAGCATCTGCTTTGCACACCAAAGGTCTCAGCTTCAGTCCCTGGCCTCTCTAGGTAAAGCTGGGAGTCACCCTCTGTCAAAAACCCTCGGAGGGGCACTGCCAGTCAGTGCGGGTAATACAGTGCAGGTAATGCAGTGCCTTGCTTGGTATAGGGTAGCTTCTAGCATGTGCCCTGTAAATCAAGCCCACCACCACCTGATTCTGCAGTTTTGGGGATTTTTGAAAACAAAGCAAAATAAATAAATAAATTGCAATAGGTTTGCAAAGTCGTTTGATCTGGATTCTAAAACCAATGCAGGAAAGCACGGCACCCATAGCAATTTAAAAGAATTAAAAGGTTTGCATCTGATTCAATGTGCTTGCAAGTGGTACGAAAAGCGTTCTTGCGACTCGTGATTAGGTGCATTTGGAAGGTCTGGCACAATGGCTGCCTCTTGCTGTTGGCCCCTTTCCCTCGCAGCCTCTTTCTCTCTCTCTCTCCCCCCACCCCCATTTCCTTTGCTGGGTGGAGCTGCGGAAGGAATGAGCTCACAGCTGCTAATGTATTCCAGATGGAACCTCGGCTGCTCTGTTCTCAGACTTTGGCACCTTCCCAGACTCTTTCTTCCCTGCTGCCCCCTCATGCCCCCTGTTCTTTTTACACGCTGCCAATCTCTGCGCGCTGCGCCGCCACCGGCAGCTCCCTTGCTGCCCTGTCCCATTTGGCTCGCCGCTAGGGGGCAGTGGTCTGGCGTGAGGTTTCAGCCAATGCTTGCTGCAGGTAGCCACGACCGCTGCATCTCTTCTGTGAGTTTGCTAAGCAAGGCAAATAAAAATGTGCTTTGTTTTTTTAAAAATGGACAAGATCAAGTACAAGGGGCCCTTGGCAGCGGTGCAGCAAGTCCCGTGTCATGCAAAACAGCAAAGGACATTGCGTTTGTGCTGAGAACGCACCGGCGCAACTGGTTGGATCTAGCAGTGGTGGAGTTTGTCCTGGAGTCTTCAATGGTCTGGGAATTGGCATAGATTCCCTGGTGATTGCATGGGCATTAAAGAGCCAGGGAGCTGGTGAGAGGGCAGAAAGGGAAGGTGCAGGGGAGGCTACTGTTGAATGCTGTTTTCCCCTCACTATGCTCTCTCTCTTTGCAGGAACCTGAGCCGGTTGAAGAATGTGTCCAGAGTACGCTGGCCGCCTTGTACCCCCCCTTCGAAGCCACTGCCCCCACCCTGCTGAGCCAGGTCTTCGAGGTGCTGGAGCGGACGTACCAGCACGACGCCCTGCGCTACACCCTCGACTTCCTTGTTCCTGCCAAGCACATCCTGGCTCGCATCCAGAGTGAAGCCTGTGTGAGCTGCTGCATCGGTTTGGCTCTGTTCCTCCAGAGTATACCTCTGAGTGGGAAATCTAGCTCAGCACAGGGGCAGTATAAAAGCAATCTGTTCTGATGCTGGAATCCCATTACAGACCTGTAGAACCACAGCTGGTGGACTTCCCCTTCTGTGCTAGAGCTCGCTCCAAGAGTCAGGCTGAGTCTTACTAACTCCAGCATCCCCCTTGTTCCAGACAATAAGTTCCAAACACATCAACCTTGTACGCCCATTTGAGTGTTGGCAGAATATGGGTGGATGGCAGTTTAGAGAAGGAGTGTACCTTTTCTTCAGCTTTAGGGTTCTTTGAAATGTTAAGCCGTGCACTGGGCTTCTCTCTCCCCTCCGCTCCCCATCAGTTGTGTGGATTCCATGATGGTGCCATGCAAAAGCAGGAAGTGTGTGCATCAGGAAAATCTCAGCTTTGGTGCAGAAACCAAGTTTTTAGCCCGTAAGATGCTGGAGGGATTCTTATAAATCCTTCGACTGGTGAAATGCCAGCTGCCAGAGGAGGGTGGGACAGGATTTCTCATGATCAGGGAGTGGCTCTTTGCCCCTCTGCGAGGTCGGCAGAAGCAAAAATAGATGGTGCAAAATAAACAAATCTGCAGTATATTCATTGTCACGGGACTTAGCATTTCTTGATGCACAATTTTCTTTTCTCCCAAGGCAGTGCTGCATATATAATTCTGTGCCTCTCTTTCCCACTGTTGCAGGCTCAGTATAGTGGCTTTGTGTTCTGCCACGAGGGTTGGCCACTGTGCCTCCGTGAGAAGGTCCTAGTGCAGCTGGGCTCACTGCCCTGGCAGCACCTCTGCCCTGGCGATTTCTACCTGCAAGTGGTGCCTCACCGGGAGTGCTCTCCGCGTCTGGTGCTGAAATGTCTGTCCCCAGAGGGCCGTGGCGTCCAGGAGCTGCCTGTGTCCTCTGACTCCTACCCCTTCCTTTTCACCGTCGAGTGGCTCAATGGCATCAACAAGGAACGCCGAGCGGGGCGCCTGGAGCGTTGCCTCCTGGCTGCTGGAGAGAAGGTGCTGAGCCTGCCCTGGCCGGAACTGGTCTACCCCCAGTTTGTGCACAAAGACGGGTTCATTGTGGGCCAGCGGTGCCCTGCAGATTTGCCTCCTGAGGTCCTGGGGGCCAGGAGCCCTGGAGACGGGCGCCATTCCGGCAGCGAGAACCGGGAGTCCGAGGGGGAATACGTTCACCTCCTGGAGGTCAGCCCCACCCTGCACCAAGCCCCCAGGATCCCACAGCCTTGTGGTACCCAAATCCAGACAATGCCTACTCGCAAGGGGCACAATAAGAGCAGGAGCCGGCGCCATCGGGCCTGGCTCCACCACAAGTCTGGCTGTGGGGAGAACTTTGCCTTGCGCCAGGCCTGTAAGACCCAGGAGGTGGAGAGGTGCAGCCGAGAAAGCAGCGCTCGGGGGGATAGGGTTGAGCAGCAGAGAGGAAATCCTACTCTAGTCCTGGGTTTAGCATCAGAAGCCTCTCAGGAAGTGGCGAGCTTGAGTCCTGGACAACAAGAGCAAAACCAGAGCCCCTCTGGAACTGAGGCACGGGCTGCCATTTTTGATGTTGTTGTTGCTGCTGCTGCTGCTGCCACTGAGGACACAGGACAAGGGAAAGCTGAGGTGCCAGGAACTGCCCACCACGATCCTGCTCGTTCCAAGGAGGACAGCAATGAGAACCACTCTCCGGCTGCAGCCACACCCAAACGCACCTCTAAGGGAAACCGCAGGAAGAAAAAGGGGGCTGGGAGAGGAGGCGGTGGACGAATTAGACAGGGGGTCGATCCGGCTAGCAAAGAAGCAGCAGCTTCTACCGATACAAAAGAGCCCAGGAAAGAGGAAATTTCTGTTGGTACAAGGGAACAGGATTCGAGGAATGCAGAAGCTGTAATTAGCACCCAAGAGCAAGCAGCTAGCATCGAGGACTGTTGTGTCAGCATCGCAGTTTGCGGCAGCACCCAGGAGAGAAGCAGCGTCCCTGGGGATCGAAGCCTTGTCGCCGGAGAGGAGGTTGTCAGTGCCAGTGAGTTGGGTGCTGGCACTGGAGAATGTACTGTTGACACCAGGGAGCCAGAGGGTGATGCAGAAAAGTGCTCTCTTTCTGTCGGTGATGGTGGCATTGGCACCAGCGGAAGGGGCATCGGCAGAGAAGGCCCTGGCCTTTGTGCCGAAGATCCAGCTGCTTCTGCTGAGGCTGACGGACCTGCAGTTGACAGAGAGGAGCAGAGCATCAGCCCCCCAGGGCAAGGGGTGGATGGTACTGAAGGGCCTTGTATGAGAGAACAGGGCCTCCCCATTAGCACCGAAGAAGCGACGTTGATCCCATTGCCAAAGAAGAAGGAGCCAAGTGCTGATGGGAGAGAGGAAGCCCTAAGTACTGCAACTGATCAGGGCACAGAGGAAACACAGAATTCCCCTCACCTTGCTGCAGTTCATCTCGGGCAGGCTGTAGACTGGGCGCTTGTGCTGTCGGGTGTCTTTGCTCTAACAGGTGAGTGACAAAGCAAGGCTATTTTGGGTTCAGATAGTCATCTTTTCAGGATTTGAAACTGCCTTGTTCTGTCCTTCTTGTAACCCTTAGGATGTGCAGAAAACTTTGTCCCCCTATGCTTCGGTATTCACAACAGTGTGGGAATACAGTGTCGGGATTATATTAATTTTATAAATGGGAAAACTGAGGCTTTGGTTAGCTTATCCACTCACACTACAATCAAAAGCTGGTTTTAAGCCAGTTGAGGCAATGCTGCTTTTGCATGAGGAAGTCATAGCTGTTGCAAAGGATCCCACAAACTCACTGGGTAAGGGTAGACAAGCCATCAACTTTCAGCTTTTGCCCACTCCCATCTGTCCTATGGGTAAAATAAAACTGCTTTGTCTTACAGGGCTGTTGCAAATATTATTGCGATTAAAGCACCATCTTCGTTTTAAATGTAATTATGGATTGCGAGGATCCACCTGTTGGATGATGCTTGTGACATCTCTACAGCAATTCACATAGATCCCTCCTGCTTCTACCTTTTCTATTTTAAGAAATGGCTTTCCACTATGGATAGGCTTTTCCCTTTCGTTATCATCTTTCTCCTTTGGAGGCTATGCACTCCCAAGTTGTTGGAGTGTCCCTGGAATGTTTATTCTCTCTGTCTCTCCTCTGCCCTTCTCCACCACGCAGGGATGGGGAAGTAGTGCCAGAGATGCTGGGTGAGGCTAGTGCTAAGAGAAAACCGTAAACAGGTACAAAATTGGTTCAGAGCTGCCCTTAACCCAGAGGTGCATTAAGGTGAGGAAAGGCCACCTGGGGATGTAGATTTTGGTTGCCATTGAAAATGGTGGAGTGGGAGGCAGGCAAGTCTGGCCCACAGGGCACAATCGACCAACTGGTCCTCCTGGCTAAAATTAGTAGGAGCTGTGCGAGAGCCCATTATGCAGCTTCTTTTAATTTCAGTGGGGCATGTGCAGAAGAATTCTCCAGTGGATTGTGCCCCATATTAACCAGAGTGCAGAACAGTGGAAGTGCTCTTTGGATTTTTCACCTTGGGAACTTGGGATGGGATTCCAACACCAAGTCTGGAATTCTGTGCGCACTGCATGAGAGCAAATCCCATCAAATGCAGTACTGCTTAACTTCCCAGTAAATATGCATAGGCTTGGGAAGCATGGATTAGAATGGAGGTACTCTGGCGAGTGGGAAACCCAAGGTGCCATTGCACACTGCAGCCTGTGTCTGACTGTGCATAAGATCTCTGCAAAACTAGTCTCCTTGGGCTTCCCAAACCGACTGTCCTTTCGCCCACGTTTTGCCATCTTCCTCAACATCACAAGGTCTGAGCAAAACAAACCTCCTCACATGCCACATCACAGCAGTTTGCAAAAACCACTCCCTAACCCAAAGCCACAAGACACGACCCAAAATAACACCAGAGCCTGATCACGTTACCAGAGGCCTGTGGCTTGCAAAATGGGAGGCAGACCTCCCTGAGGGCAGTCACTAAAGGGAAGCGTAAACAAAGGCAGGACAGAAAGGAAGGGAAAAACTGGAATGTTACAGGGGAGGACAAAGGGAGGAGCTGCTTCAAAAAGGCATAATATTAGTGGCACTCTTTAGGATCCCTCTATATTTAACAAACTGGTCATCAGAAGTAACAGTGCATCTGAATATGTGATTAAGCGCCATTATTTTCTTTGAATTTGCCTCATCCTTTTCCCTCTCCCAATTTAGCTTTTTGGTGTGCCAGTGAGATGATAAGAGGGGGATCAGAGGACTATCCACACACAGAAAGAACATGGGGCTTCACACTCTGTTTACCATGCCATCCATATATGTTTAGAGCATGTTGAAAGGAACTCTGTATATGCACTGCTATACGTGCATAAAACTTCTCCAAGCAAGGGAGAACTCTGTTTGAGGTATTCCTAGGCCTCCTTCTGACACACTCTGAATGAGTTGAGGGGCAGGGCATGGCCACTTGGTACATCAGTGGAAGTGGGCAGAGACCTCCCCCCACATCTTTTTCCAGTGTGTGTGTGTGGTTATTTGAACTGTCTGAAGAATAGCCCTATCAGAACAGATCAGAGCAGCAATTAGTCCCATGTTCAGCAGCAGCCAATCAGATGCCTTTGAGAGCTCAAAAGCAGGGTGTGCTAGGCAATATCTCTCCCCACCCCAAAAAAAATCTGTTCCCAGCATCTGGTATTCAGAGATAAACTGCTCCACTAGCATGAAGGTTCCATTTCGCTTTCGTGGCTAATAACCTTTGATTGACCTGTTTCCCCCTGCATTCATTTAATCCATTTTAAGAGCCATCTAAACTGAGGTTAGGGGGAAATGCTGTTTCCTTTCAACTGATGTGGTAGAGACCTTTGGGGCTGGATCCAAAGGTTCTTGCTTCCTCTGTTGGAAAGCTTTTTCCTTCGATAGAAGAACATCCATTGGCAGAAGACTCGGAGGAAGCAAAGTACAAGAACTTTGGGATCTGATTGCTGCCCTTTCCCACAGCACATCAACTTAGTGATGACAATGTGTTCCTCTGTGCAACACCACAGTGCTTTGAAAAAGACCTGTAGGGCGGGCTTACATTTCTATAGGGCAGGGATGGAGAACACTTGGCCCGCTAGGTGTTGCTGAACTACAGCTCCCATCAGTCCCAGCGAACATGGCCAAAGATCTGGGATGATGGGAGTTGTAATCCAGCAACATCTGGAGGGTGGCATGTGTTCCCCATCTGTGCTGTAGGGCAATATATCCCAGCACACAATACAGTAGGGGAAACGGAAGAATTTCCATTACAATGACAGTGTGTCACCATCTGGGTGTGTGTTTATAAGAACAGGTAACTTAAAGAAAAAGGTAACTCGCTTGGCAAGATTTTCCTAAAGGAAAACAATGAAAGGTGGGTGGGGAGTGTCTTTTAAACAGCCTTAATTCTTTCAGTTATGAATGATACAACTTTCATATCTGCAAAGCAATTGCAAGTCATAAAAGTGGAGCACTTACACTACATCAGACCCTCCAAGTGTCCCTATTTTCCAGGGACAGTCCCTGATTTACAGAAGTTGTCCCAGTTTCTGATTTGATCCCAGAATGTCCCACGTTTCCTTAGGATGTTCCTATTTTCATCAGAGAAATTTTGCAGGGTATGGAGTTATCTGACCCCTGAGCCGTCAGAAGGCAGCCCTGTACAGCGGTACCTCGGGTTACATACGCTTCGGGTTACATACACTTCAGGTTACAGACTCCACTAATCCAGAAATATTACCTTGGGTTAAGAACTTTGCTTCAGGATGAGAACAGAAATCGTGCGGCGGCAGCAGGAGGCCCCATTAGCTAAAGTGGTGCTTCAGGTTAAGAACAGTTTCAGGTTAAGAACGGACCTCCGGAACGAATTAAGTACTTAACCCGAGGTTTTTATATATGTTGGAAGTTGCCCAGAGTGGCTGGAGCAACCCAGTCAGATAGGTGGGGTATAAATAGAAAATTATTATTATGGAATAGGGCGCCCCTATTTTCATTGGAGAAATGTGGCAGAGTATGGAACATTCAGGGTCTAGGTATCTGGAGATATCCCTCCTTCCCCTCTACCCAAAAAGAACAATGCATACTATGGCTTTGATGGATCCTTAGTTAACTTATGGAAGCTCATAGAAATAAAATTTTCTGTCCCTTCCTGTTACCTGCAGCCACCTGCCACCCTCACAAAGGCTTCATTGAGGGCCTGTGTGTGTGCTCCCTCTTGAGAAGGGAGGAAGGAATGGGAAAACTTTCTCTATGTGAACTTCTTTAAGTGAAATTATCTTAGAATTCAAGCTCTATTCTTTCATTGTTTGGGAGGGGGGCTGAGCTTCCATTTAGGCTTTTTGGAGAGTTTTATGTAGCTCTTCTGCGAAGGCAGGAATTAGAAACTTTCCTTCTGTGAACTCTCTTATTCTAACATCTTAGGATCTAGGCCTTTGTGGTGTGTGTTTGCTGTTATGGAGCAAATAAATTATAGGAACTGGTAGGAAATGGATTTTTTTTTCAATCAGTAGGAAATTGCTGCTTTTTTTCCAACCCCAAAAGGCAACATAACCCTGGGAAGATGGTGCAGTAACTATTTTATGGAGCATGAGCTCAGGGGTTCTTCCTGTAATAGTCTATTTTTAAAAAACGTTTTGTGTTGGTTTGGTAAATAGGCATGGCTTGCATATGGCAATGGCTAAAATCTGCCCTCTTTAATCTTGTATTATCTCTGCTTTAGCATGCAAGCATAGCAAACTTCTTCATTGATATAGTTGCATCTGGGCTTTCCCACACACTTAACATGCAGCAAAAACAAGGTTTGCAACCATCTGTATACTTGGCAAAGTGCTGCAGCCAAGTTTGCTTCTCTGAGGGAAGCATGTGTTTTGTCTCATTCACAGGCTGCGTTTTGAGATGTATACTTAAACCTTAAGGTGTACACTTTACAACTGCAATGTGTGAACAATTTAATTATATGGTGGGGATTTGAGTGGCATCTAAGCTCAGTGTGATTTCAGAGGAGGGAACAAGGATTAACTGTGAGTCAGGACTAAACTGGATCAGACCCCTTGGCTGTTCCACAGCCTTATAGCAAGTAAGGGAAGCCAGTGGCCTGTGAGCCAGATCCAGCCCACAGATCCTTTCTAACCAGCCCTTAGAAAGAACATTTCACAAGCCTCATCCCCCTTCTCCGCTCTACTTCACTGTGATGCCTGCCATCATTTTGTTCAACCGGCATCAAAAAGATTCAGGAACCATCAGAACTTATGCTTCCCCATATCCTCAAATGCTTGCTAAGGTCTTCATTTAAAACTGTGCACTTTAGAGAAGTGGTTTTAAAGGCTTCTATCCCTTGCAATTCCCAGTGAAAAAAGTGGCTGTTAAGAAGAAAGGCTCTGTCAGAACTCACTCCAAGTTCCTGCTTGCCTTGAAGCAGTGCTTTTTTTTGCCCCTCGCCTTTCTTGACAGGTTCTTGAAGCTGCAACCCTCTCTCTCTCTCTCTTTTTTACTGTTGTTTGCTGTTTCCCAGTAGCTGAGCAGCTGGGGTTGGGTGGCAACGCAAGAAAAGGAAGTTTGGAGTCAATGAAATTTGGATTTTGAGTGGCTAACCTGCTCGTTTGTTTGAATCAGGACCGGGAGCTTTCCCAGATTCCAGGACAAGTGTACCTCATGTTTTTCCTCTGATGCTCTCTCCACAGGAGGAATGGACAGGTCAGGACGGCCCTTGCTGATTGTGGTGCCTCAGCCTCTTCGGGATGAGCTGCCACCAGGACAAACGGATCTAGTCAATACCATGAGATACCTGTACTCCCTTCTCAGGTAAACTTCTACCTCAAGACGCAGCTCCTCCCAAGGTGACCTGGCAGGAGATAAAGTGTGTCGGCTTGAGTAAACAGTTGTGCTAATAAAGATGTAAATAGTGTCCGAGTGAGGCTGATTGTCAGGATTTCTTTCCAAAGAAAAAATAAAATAAATTCATCAAGAAAGGTGGAAAATTCAGTAAATTCTCCTCAGCATCGTCATAAAATAGCAAGCCAACAGAAACCGCTTTGGAAAGCCATTAACAGTCAAATTGGCTGAAATTTGTAACTTAAAGTTGCTTTGACACATGATGCTAAAAAGTGCCTTTGAGGCACTGTTTGCGCCAAGTGTGTTTTCATGAGCTAGTGTGGCATCATGGTTAAGGGCATGAGCAGTGAGCTGGAAAAAAACCCCTCAGTTCATATCTTGCCATGAATTCATTTCATGGCTTTAAGCCAGGGATGGGGAACCTGTGGCCTTCCTGTTGCTCTTTGACTCCTGACTCCTGTCAGCCCCAGCTTGCATTCAGAGGACCTCAGATTCCTCACCCCAGCCACTAGAACCCACCGCCCTCTCTTCATCTGTGGAGATAATAATGCAGGCCTACCTTATAAGGGCCAGTAAACTGTGCTGATATAATGTATGTGGAGTGCTTTGAACACCATGATGTTAATTAGTACCATTCAGTGCACAGTTGCTGTCAGTTCTCTACTTCTTAATTTGGAATTGTTAACAACAAAGAATTTCCTCCTGTGCCTTGTGTGTACTAATGATAGTACACAGAAGTATATACATATATACACAGAAATTTCTTCAGTTTTCTCATCTGTACAACTGTGGCCTAGAGTGGGGTTATTGTGAGGATAATATAAGCCTTATGCTTCCATGAAGCCCTTCACAAGTGAAATACGCTGACCAGCTTTTGTACACTGACTTTGCTGGCCCTTTGATGACTTTGCAGCTCCGTTTCTCCCTTTTCTCTCCACAATTGTTCCAGGCAAGAGCTGAAGGCCCGTGGGTTGACACTATTGTTGGACCTGAGCCAGGTGGATGACTGGGCGCTCCAGGCCCCTGTGCTGCTGCCGGCCATTAGGACATTCCAGGTATCTTCCTGACTCGACTGTAGGAGCTCTGTATCTGTGTCCTCGTGTTTTCTGCTCCTGTTTTTCAGTAGGCAGGCTGTGGGTTTTACTGATGCAGCAATAATTTATTATGGCAATATCTTCAGAATGCAAAAGGCGGGCGGAGAGAAGGTGCTCACTGTCACAGCCTTCCATATTTAGGATAGGTATGTATAATGGCATAATAACAGTAATGATCATGGCGATGATTACGATTACATAATGAAAAGTGATCACCAACTCTTCTGCCCTGGACATCAAAATGGTACAGTGGTACCTCAGGTTACATACGCTTCAGGTTACATACGCTTCAGGTTACAGACTCTGCTAACCCAGAAATATTGCTTCAGGTTAAGAACTTTGTTTCAGGATGAGAACAGAAATCGTGCTCTGGCGGTGCGGCAGCAGCAGGAGGCCCCATTAGCTAAAGTGGTGCTTCAGGTTAAGAACAGTTTCAGGTTAAGAACGGACCTCCGGAACGAATTAAGTACTTAACCCGAGGTACCACTGTACTGGATTAAAACAACAACAAAGCTTTCCACCCGTTTGAGAATATATTAATTTATTAATTAAATTTCTATCCCACCCAGAGGAGGGATGGGGTAGCAATACGGTAAAGCTTTGGCTTTTCCATTTCGTTGTCTGAGAGCCATTACTAAGAAGCCCCTTCTGTGACCCCTTGTTGCCTCTTGCATACCACAGAACATTGCAGCTCTTGTGGCTATGCCCTATGTCCAAGGTCCCCTCCTCTTCCCCAATCCACAACTTTTTCTCCCTCTGCCTATATTTTAGAACCACCTTCCATCTTTTCTTCCTGCTCTATGAAAGCCTTATGCAAATATGCCTCCATAAAGCAAAATCCTTTATCTTTTTAGGAGAGTTCTCCAGCCCCCATCCGTCAGCTGCTAGTGATATTGCCACCTGATGACCGTTTTGTACCCCATGAAGAGGAGCTGGCTTTGGAACCTGCTGCGGTAAATTCTCCTATTTATTATTGTTTATATACCACTTTTTCCTCCAAGATGCTCAAGGTAGTGTACATAGCCCCCTCTCTTCCCATTTTACCATCACAACAACCCTGAGAGACTGTGACTGGCCCAAGGTCACCCAGTGAACTTCATGGCTAAGGGGGGAAGGTCACTTATTGACTGCATTTCTGAATCACCTTTCTTCCTAAGGGATCCCAGTGCAATGCACAATAAAAAAGTACTTCCAATAAATAAAGCATAACAGATAGCCAAATATGATTTAAAAATATCAGAACCATTAAAACACAAAAAACCTTACCTGTAGTTGTTAGGTATTGAAGCAACTTTACTGGTTTTGTAAGCATCTTCGACTAGTGCCTCAATGTATAAAGGAAGGAGGAAAAATGTACCACCAAATGGAGAGCATTCTAGTGTTGGGGTGTCACCACAGAGAAGGCCCTGTTGCATGCCCCTGTACCAGGAATGCTCATGGGAACAATGAGTAGAGCCTCTCCTGCCCCACCCGAACCCTGTGATCTTCAAGAACAAGTTGGATGTTACTGGATTTGAATCCAGGCCTCCTATGCCCCAGCCAGCACTCTATATGCAGAATAAAAATAGTGGAATATAAACATGACAAAATACAGTGGTGCCTCGCAAGACGAAATTAATTCGTTCCGCAAGTCTCTTCGTCTTGCGAGTTTTTCGTCTTGCGATGCACGGTTTCCCATAGGAATGCATTGAAAATCAATTAATGCGTTCCTAGGAAACCGCCTTCAGACCAGGTCCGGGGACAGTCTGTCCCCGGACCTCTTCTGAAGGCTGGGGGCAAGGGCTTTTCTTCCACCCCCAGCATTTTAAAACCCCGGGACAGCGGAGGACTTCTCCGCTGTCCGGGCGATCTTAAAATGCTGGCGGGCGGCATTTAAAATCACCCCGGGACAGCGGAGGACTTCTCCGCTGTCCGGGGCAACTTAAAGCCCCTGGGAAGGCAGGCAGGGGACAAAGACTTTGCCCCCGCCAGCCTTCAGAAGAGGTCCTGGACCTCTTCTGAAGGCGGGCGAGGCGAAGTCTTGCTCCCCGCCTTCAAAAGCCCTCCGGGACAGGCAGGCAGGGGAGCAAGGACTTCGCCCCCGCCCGCCTTCAGAAGGTCTTCCTCCCCCGCCCGGCTCGGAGCACCGTTCCGAAGCCGGGCAGAGGCGGAGGTCTTCCTCCCCACCGCCCGGCCTGGAGCACCGTTCCGAGCCGGGCAGAGGCGGGAGGTCTTCCCTCCCCACCGCCCGGCCGGAGCACCGTTCCGGGCCGGGCGGCGGCGGAGTGTTCCCTCCCCCGCCCGGCCGGAGCACCGTCCGGGCCGGGCGGCGGCGGCAGGTGTTCCCTCCCCCGCCCGGCCGGAGCACCGTTCCGGAGCCGGGCGGCGGCGGCAGGTGTTCCCTCCCCCGCCCGGCTCGGAGCACCGTTCCGAGGCCGGGCGGCGGGGAGGTCTTCCCTCCCCGCCCGGCTCGGAGCACCGCTCCGAGCCGGGCAGAGGCGGAGGTCTTCCTCCCCACCGCCCGGCCTGGAGCACCGCTCCGGGCCGGGCGGCGGCGGCAGGTGTTCCTCCCCCGCCCGGCTCGGAGCACCGTCCCGAGCCGGGCGGCGGCGGCAGGTGTTCCCTCCCCCGCCCGGCTCGGAGCACCGTTCCGAGGCCGGGCGGCGGGGGAGGTCTTCCCTCCCCACCGCCCGGCTCGGAGCACCGCTCCGAGGCCGGGCAGAGGCGGGAGGTCTTCCCTCCCCCGCCCGGCTCGGAGCACCGCTCCGGGCCGGGCGGCGGCGGCAGGTGTTCCCCCCCCCCCGCCCGGCTTCGGAGGAGCCTCCGAGCCCGGCGGCGGCGGGAGGAGGTGTCCCCGCCCGCCGCCAGGCTTCGGAGGAGGTCCGAGGACAGTGGGGAAGACGCGCTGCGCTTCCCGCTGTCCCTGAGATTTCCTATGGGCTGTCGTCTTGCGAAGCAAGCCCATAGGAAATTGCTTTACGAGCGCCTCAAAACGGAAAACCCTTTCGTCTAGCGGGTTTTCCGTCTTGCGAGGCGTTCGTCTTGCGGGGTACCACTGTACTGCAGAGAGAACACTGAAAGAAACAACATAATTTGTACTTTGTTGTACAGAACTGTACTTGAAGGTGTGTGTGTGTGTGTGTGTGTGTGATAATTATAAATAGCTAAGGATTGCCCCTCTCCTCTCTAATGTCAGTTTGGGCCTAACTTGGACCTAGGGTTCACGACTGGAGCAGAAGATGGGTGGTGAAGGGATTGGGATTAGGCACTGATGCAAGGAGGTGGGTTTGCCTCTGACCTAATAGACTCCTTTGCCCACAGGAGGTCAGAGTTCTCTCTCTCCCTGAACTGCCACATTATGTGGCTTTGGACCAGCTGACCCCGACACTAGGAGGGACCCTGAACTACTCAGCACGCAAATGGGTTGAGGAACACCAGGTAAGAAAGATTAACAAGGAAATGGACCTTGTGCGCCTCTGTACATGGTTCATCCATGGAACCAAGGCAGCCTCCTTGCAGCCCTGCACAGAATCCCCCTGCCTTTCCTTCCTAGTGGTACAGTGGTACCCCGCAAGACGAACGCCTCGCAAGACGGAAAACCCGCTAGACGAAAGGGTTTTCCGTTTTGGAGGCGCTCGCAAACGAATTTCCTATGGGCTTGCTTCGTATGCCTACAGCCCATAGGGAAATCTCAGGGCCAGCGGGGAAGCGCAGCGCGTCTTCCCACTGTCCTCGGACCTCCTCCGAAGCCTGGCGGCGGGGCGGGGACACCTCCGCCCGCCGCCGCCGGGCTTCGGAAGGCTCCTCCGAGCCGGGCGGGGGGGAGGGAACACCTGCCGCCGCCGCCCGGCTTCGGAACGGTGCTCCGAAGCCGGGCGGGGGGAGGGAAGACCTCCGCTCTGCCCGGCTTCGGAACGGTGCTCCGGCCGGGCGGTGGGAGGGAAGACCTCCGCCGCCCGGCTTCGGAACGGTGCTCCGACGCCGCGCGGGGGGGAGGCAACACCTGCCGCCGCCGCCCGGCTTCGGAACGGTGCTCCCCCCCCGGGCGGTGGGGTGGGACCACCTCCCGCCGCCGCCCGGCTTCGGAACGGTGCTCCGAAGCCGGGCGGTGGGGAGGGAAGACCTCCGCCTCTGCCCGGCTTCGGAACGGTGCTCCGAGCCGGGCGGGGGAGGGAAGACCTCGCCGCCGCCCGGCTCGGAACGGTGCTCCGGCCGGGCGGGGGAGGGAACACCTGCCGCCGCCGCCCGGCTACGGAACGGTGCTCCGGGCCGGGCGGGGGGAGGGAACACCTGCCGCCGCCGCCCGGCTTCGGAACGGTGCCCGGCCGGGCGGGGGGAGGGAACACCTGCCGCCGCCGCCCGGCTTCGGAACGGTGCCCGGGCCGGGCGGTGGGAGGGAAGACCTCCGCCGCTGCCCGGCTTCGGAACGGTGCTCCGGCCGGGCGGTGGGAGGGAAGACCTCCCGCCGCTGCCCGGCTTCGGAACGGTGCTCCGGCCGGGCGGGGGGAGGGAAGACCTTCTGAAGGCGGGCGGGGGCGAAAGTCCTTGCTCCCCTGCCTGCCTGTCCCGGAGGGCTTTGAAGGCGGGGAGCAAGACTTCGCCCTGCCCGCCTTCAGAAGAGGTCCAGGACCTCTTCTGAAGGCTGGCGGGGGCAAAGTCTTTGTCCCCCTGCCTGCCTTCCCAGGGGCTTTAATTGCCCCGGACAGCGGAGAAGTCCTCCGCTGTCCCGGGTGATTTTAAAATGCCGCCCGCCAGCATTTTAAGATCGCCCGGACAGCGGAGAAGTCCTCCGCTGTCCCGGGGTTTTAAAATGCTGGGGGTGGGAAGAAAAGCCCTTGCCTCCCCAGCCTTCAGAAGAGGTCCGGGGACAGACTGTCCCCGGACCTGGTCTGAAGGCGGCTTCCCTAGGAACGCATTAATTGATTTTCAATGCATTCCTATGGGAAACCGTGCATCGCAAGACGAAAAACTCGCAAGACGAAGAGACTTGCGGAACGAATTAATTTCGTCTTGCGAGGCACCACTGTATATGGTTAATGTCATAGGCGCCGGCTCGCTGGGTGCCACAGCACCCACAAAATTTCCCATGAAGGAGCTGGGCACCCACAAATTTTGGCACCGTGTCCACAGGTAGCCTTTTTCTTACTGGCTTTCAGCATATCCTTGAACCTTCTCACCCCACTCCAGCTGCATCCAGACTCTGTGTTAACTTGGGCCTCGTGTGGGCCCACAGACCACTAGCCACAAATGACAACGGGCCACTGTGACTCCTCCTTCTCTCACAAGGCATTTTCTCTGGGTGACCTTCCTGTATATTCCAGCTCGGCACTTCTGTGGTACTTATCTTCCTCTGCCCCACCTCTTCTCTCTGCACAGGCTCTTGAGCAACTGCAGTCACTCTGTCGTAGTGTCCTACAGGCTGTGTGCGAGGCGAGTGCCCACCTTGAAGCAGTGGGAACAGCGTCAAGTCAAGAGGTAAACTCATGTGGTGGTTCTCCAGAGACTATGAGGGTGCAGGAACATAGCAAGTAATTGGTTTGTTTTTGTGATGTGTGATACTTCTGTTTATGGACTTGTACGTTTCTCTGGTTCACTTGTGGTTCTATAGTTGTTACGTCTTATAGTCTTGAATAAGATACGGACATATCAGAAGTAAGCCCGATTGAGTACAGTGGGGCTTACTCCCAGGTAAGTGTGCATAGGAATGCAACCTTACCTACTGTGAAAGCATCAGCTTAACCATTCTGCTGGGGACACTAAGCTGGGACTGAACTTTGGTTCGGTTGGCCTCAGGCCTGCATGTAATTCACGTATTCTGCATTAGTCCTAGAAAGAATCATATAGCGTGGAGAAACTCCAGCTTGGCATGTTAAAAAAGACTGGAATCTTTTTGCAGATACTCCCTTGTGTACTGTTACAGTAATAAAGGTGAAAAAATTAAGACAGTGACTAAATAAACCTACATCTCGGTTGTACCACTTCAGAGTGCAGGCTGCTTAGTTTTCTGTGGAGGGTTGGGGTAATTGACCAAGTTTTCTAGTGGTCAGGAAGTGAGGTTTCACCACTTTGTGTATCTCTTTGCTCTTCCCTTTGATGAGCAGCGGTTGTAAAAATTATTCAGAGTAAGGTGGATATCAACAAATTTGCTTGATTATTTGGCCATTGTAGAATCCAGGGTTTTTGCTGCAGTATTTGGGTTACTGAGGATCTGAATGGGGTCCCCACCCCGTTTTTAAAGCACAGAATGTGCATGACTTTAGTGATTTCCCCCCCAGTACAGTCAAACCTCAGTTGTCAAACGCAATCCGTTCTGGAAGCCTGTTTGGCTTCCGAAATGTTTGACAACTGAGGCGCGACTTCCGATTGGTTGCAGGAGCTTCCTGCACTTAGTGGAAGCTGCGTCGGACGTCCAGTTTCCGAAAAACTTTTGAAAACCAGAACATTTACTTCCAGGTTTTCTGCATTTGGAAGCCGAAACATTCCAAAATGGAGGTGTTCGGGATCCGAGGTTTGACTGTATCTCTAACTGCTCCGTAAACAAATCAGCATGAATGCTCAATAAAGACTGGATACAATCTAACCTCTGTATGAGCTTGGTGCAAACATATCAGGATGAATTCTGAATAAATATGTTGTGTGGAGTCAGGACTGGTTGTGTTGCTGTGCTGTTTTGTTCTATGCTAGTTATTATGATAGTCATGTCAGCGCTGGTATGCAGCATTACCACGTTGCCATAGTTTCTTTTCTGTCGTTGAAGTCAGAATTCCCATTCCACTATCCCCCAACCCATTCCTTTTGCCTTGTCCTAACTGCTAGGATCTCACCCCTGTAGGAACTGTCGGCCCAGATCACCTTGCACCAAGAGACCATGCAGAAGCTCCTCTCAGAGCCGCGCCTGCTGGAACTCCAGCGCCGTGGGGGGGCCTTGCTGGCACGGCTGCCCCCCCTGGGGCCCTGCAGGTGAGGATCAGGACTGCAGGGCATCATAGCAGAAAGTTCCCTTTGTCCCCTGTTCCCATTTGTTCTGTAGCAGAGTTATGTAAAATAACAACAGCACTTGGGGATAGCTTTTAAAGCTATTGTATAATACACTTCACTGCTGTTCAATTAACCTTCCTGCGTGTTGGAGTAATCCTGCAGTTATGTGCTTACGTATCTGGAGGGGATGCTTAATTGGTGTGTGAGTGGGTGGCAGGGAAGGTAGTTTAGCAGCTTGATTTCCATTGCCTCTGTGTGTGTATGTGTAAAATCAATATTGTGTGATCTGCACCATCAGAACCAGCAAGACATAGCTGATTTCCCATTGTAAGCATGAAGTTGTTCTAGGCTCTCTCTCTAACTTTATGTTATAATGCGCGATGGCATCTGTTTTGCACTATAACACCCCACCCTCCATGGCAGCCATTTTGTGACTGGTGTCCCCCAGCACTCCCTCAACATTTGAAATGTGCCCACTGGGTCAAAAACAGCCCCTGATATATGTAATGTGTAGCTTGTTCCTAAGATCTCTGAAACACAAGGTGGGGGTGGGAAGGCAGCAACATTTCAGCTGATCTGGAGCAGTAAAAAGACTTGCAGCGGTATGCAGCCGGCCTGCGAGGGCTAATTCCTGTCCCTTGTGAAGAATTTTCAACAGATTTTTATCCAAATTTTCCTCGAACCCTCTTTTTGTACACATTGGCATCTCCCATTTAAGTAGAGAGACCCTTCTGTTACATAAAGCAAAATAGCCGAGGAGGGGATTGTTCCCTAGAATGGCCGTAAGTGGGTCACGTTCAGTTAGCCTTCACTGGCGTTAACCTGGCCCACACCAGTTTTTCCTTCCTCGCTTCGCTTCATGCAGCAGCTTCATACCGCAAGGCTCAGAGTAACTGTGTGTGTCCTTTCCCCCTGTAGTACAGAGGCTGTGGCTGCCACCAGGCTCTACCAAGAGGTGGATGAGGCCCTTCATGGTCTGGTCCAGCTCAGCAACCGGCGCCTGGAGGTGCTGCAACAGGAACGGGAAAACACACAGGTAATTCCTAAAGTCCCTTATTATGTGTTTGTGGGGAAAGCTGCAGCCTTCGGGGCTTTGGCAGAGCTGGTACCAGCGAAGAGAAGTTTCCCTTCTTTCTCTTGGTGTTTGGCAATTGAGCTGAAGGAGCCTTAAAGACATCACTGGGACTACAACTCCTGATATCCCTAACCATTGGCCAAGTTGGGCCTTACCTCTGAAGCTCATTATTACTGTTCCTAGAACTGAACTATAAAAATCAAGCTGGAGGAATTCTGCAGAGGACGTTTGTGAGAGATGCTAAAACTTTTTTTTTTTAAAAGGACAATGCACCTACAAACAGTCAAGCCTGAAGCATGAGTCTTGATTCTGCTGGGAATTGTTGAAAGGGATGAGAGGAGCTTCACAGATCATTGCTTTATAGGGCTCAGTTTTCCTCAGGCAGGTGATGAAAGAAGGGGATAAATGTAGGCACCATGTCTGAAGGGGCTCTGAGGAGGCATTATGGCGAAAGAAATGCAGGGGTTGCATAAACAGGATAGGTATACTAACTGTGGAAGTGGTAGAGGTGTGGCGAGACTATAGAGATGCTGTGATGATAAAATCTCATGTTCAGAATTTCACCTCTCTTTGTGCAGAAGCTAAGGACTTTGGGCCTTTGAAGTGGCAACCAGGGCCAGCTCTAGAGGGTGGCAGGATTGACCCACTGATAGTATTTCCACTTTGCACAGATCCAAGAAGATCAGATGCAGCTGGAGAGATTTCTGAGCTTGTTTGCCCTGCCACCTCCACATTTTGCGGGCGTGGAATGGGACTGCAATGGTCAGGAGCTCTCAAATATCTTAAATTACAGTGGAATTTGTACACTGGCTATATAAGAAACAGTGAGGTCAACAGAGATCAGCCTCCTGGGATTGGCCAAGCTTTTGCTACTTCTCTCTTTCTCTCCCGCTTCTACACAGGTTCAGGAACAAGCTCTGGAAAACAAGGCCCATCTTGAATCTACCGGCAACTGTGTAGAAGAGAAGAGGGAAGCAAAGAGGCCTGTCGAAGGGTTGGCTGAGGGGGCATCACTGGAGAGGACACTGCTGCAGAGCCCCAAGTCCCCAGGGAGGATGCAGCTCGTGCCAGAAGCTGGCTGTGCCCCACGGCCCCGGGCCTGCAGCATCAGTGCCTCCTCCTCACCCAAGCACGGCTGGGGCCTGGGGTCCAGATTTGGCTCCTCTTGCAGCCTGACCTCCCTCTTCCAGCCGCACCCCAGCCCCAAGGCCTCCCCTTGCTGTTCTCCCACTCGAAGCGGCGTCCTGGAGAGTGGCAAGAAGAGGCAGGGCCTTCCCAGCAGCCCCAAATCATCTCTGTCCCCCGTCTCCCAGCTGGCTTTGCGGGCCTTGAGTGACCCTGGCCGCCCCAGCGTGCACATCCGCGGCCTGGAGGTGAGCAGCCGCGAGCTGGCAGATAGGAGCTGTTCTCCCCGTGAGCATGTGCTGCTGAGCCGTAGCGGGACCCACGTTGCAGAAGCACCTTGGGGGGCCACACCTCGCACGGAAAGAAGGCGCTGCCTTGGGTGAGTAGTGGAGGGTACATGCGGGAGGTTTTCCATCCACGGTCTTTGTGCTACCCCAGGGGTATGAGTGGGGCTGAGAAGATAGTAGTCTGAACCTGTCAAACTTAGATTTGCAACCAGGCCCAGCTCAAGAAAATCTAAATGACACCCTGACCCTCTTTTCCCATGAATTAATGTGTAGTATGGTCAAACTTTTCTTCGTAAGTGTATTAAAATGCACAGAGAAGCTGCTTGTGCGCTAGGCCTCATGTGTCTGCCATTTGATCTGCCATCTTCTCCCTAGGAAGGCTAGCCTGGTGCTATCATTATATATCTTTAGGTGCCAGGCAAAAGCTTTTCTCTTGAACCAGGCCTTTGGCCTCCATCTTTCTGTGGCCTCTTAGGAGTGGGTGGGGTGTTTTTAATGCATTTTAATGTAGTATTTTAATGGGGATTTTAAAAATGTATCTATGTGGATGTTTGTTTGTTTGTTTTGGTTGTAAGTTGCTTTGAGATCCCTTTGGCAAAGAAAAAGCGACAAATAAATTTAATAAAATAACAGCAACAACACTAGCCAATCTGCTAGCACTATATCATCAGCTGTATTGCACCACCAACACCCCACAAACATTGTTCACTTCACAGGACCCACCCACCCTATATTGTTCAGGGAGGGCTGAGTAGCTTGGTACTGGTATTGTGTTTTATTTTGTGTGCATGTTTGTGTATATGTAGAAATATATGTGTGTACTTTTCATCATTTCTCGGCACATAGTGTTTGGTAAATAACTGGTGTTTGTGTGTGTGTGTGTGTGTGTGTGTGTGTGTGTGTGTGTATCACACACACTGCTTATTTACCAAAGACTCTAGCGGTGTATGTAAGAATGATAAAAAGCATACAATGGATAAGATCCATTTAACTCAATCCTAGTAGACATAGGCCTTGTATCAGAGCCATGGGGAGGGGTGTGTGATTCTTTTCCAACCTCCCCCTTTCTTCGCAGGGTCCAACAGCAACTTCTGGCTGAGCTGCTGGAGTGTGAGCGGGAGTATCTGACCGCCCTTGCCCAGCCCCTCTCTCTGTCCCAAGAACCTGGGGGACAGGCCTGGCCGGCCGAACTGAGGTGCTTGGGCAGTGCTCTCCGGACCCTGCGGGACCAGTTGCTGGCTTTCCATACCAACTACTTCCTTGGCGAGTTGGAGGGGTGCATGAACCACCCGTCACGTGCTGGGGGCTGCTTCCTGCGACATGTGAGTGCCCCCCCAACTAATATCATTTTGTTCTTGCATACTGGTGTTGTTCCCTTACAGAAAAATCCTTCTTCCCTTTGTGCCTGCTGCAGAAGGTCTGCTTCTTTTGATAAATGAAAACAACCTTAAAAACCAAACTAGCTCTGCTCCTGTTTTTTTTAACCATTCTGGCACATAGGAATGTAGCAGCTGAAGCCTTTCCTGGCACAGAGATAAAATGATGGGGAATTTAATTGCCCAATTAATGCCTATTGGACCTCTGTTGAAAGAAGCAACAACAGGGCCAGTGGAAAAGAAGGAGAGATAACAATCCTGTCCTTTGAGCTCGCCTCTGGGGCATATTTTCCCATTAAAGGAAATGGGGGTGGGTTGGGGAAGAGAAGGAATAATCCCCCTCACATGAGCTAGATTTCACATTGTTTCATTGCAGCAGCCTGATGTCTGGCCTCCTGCTCAGTTGGATGAATGAGGGATTTCTCTCTCTCTCTCTTTTCTTCTGTAGAGAGAGAAGCTTCAGCTTTATGCCACGTACGCCAAAGAGCACCATAAGTTCCAGGCTGCCCTGGCTTTGCTTCGAACCACCAGCAAGGTAAGATCTGTGGCCGCAGGGGACCGAGTTTTAACTTTGACCTTTGTGTGGGTGGGTTGCTGATAGAATAGCTTTCTCTTATAATAGATTCTTTCAACCCACTTCTTGGAAATCCTTCCATGGCACTAATCTTTAGCGGAAGTTTGATGTTCAACTAGTCAGCCATCTGATTTGTGAGGAGCTTGGCCTCTGTATGTGGGTGTTTTGAAAACTTTGTGCACCTTTCAGTCTCTCTCTGACTCTGGGTGAGACAGTTGTCAAGGCTGGAGTCAGATGCAGGTCAGAGCAAAGAGACAGAGTCAGCTGTCAGTGAAATTAACTCTTTGTCAAGGAAATTGCATACAACTCAGCAACACTTCCCCACAGGTCTTGCCCCTATAGAGCAGTTGCCAGGACTGAAGATCCCAGTGTTCCACCCCCTCCTAGGGCTCCTCCTCTCCCAGATGTTTCCCAAGCAGTCTCAAAATGTGTCTGCGCACCTCTGGTCTCTGTTGTGCCCTCATCATTATCCTGCGAGTTTTTGGAGATGAGTGGGGAGGGAAGTTTGTCGCAGCTGGAGAGGGAGACTCCTGGGATGCTTCAGCCTTGGAGTCTGAACTGCTCCTGTCACAGGTTCCTCCTGTTCACTAAACCCTGTTGCCCCTTCAGCATCCAGCCTCTCTTCCCAAGCGTCCCCCTCTGACCTTTCCTCAGCGTCCCACCACCAGCTCCCAGGCTTTGAGCCTTCCTCCTCTGGGATCTACCCTGGGGGCTCCCTGCCTGGTGCCTCCCACCACCCCTCATTGTCCAGGAGTCCAGGGTATTGTGGCAGGTGGGTGAAGGAAGGGCAAGAGATTGAGTGCCTTGAGTTCCATCACTTCTGCAGATGATCTTGTTGCCCTGCTCCCAGCTCAGCTGCCTTTTCTTTCCCCTTCCTCCGTGCAGAAGAGCCTGGCAGAGCTGCGTGAGGACGGGCAAACGGCGCACACGTTGCGTGTGCCCCTGGAGCAGCTGGAGCGGTACCGGCGCTTCCTGGGTGAGCTGCTGCGCGAATGTGAGCTGGAGCGGGGGCCTGACCGCCAAGCCCTGCAGGAGGCCCAGCAGCTGCTGGAGGCCCAGGAGCAGCGAGGCAGGGACCTGCTGGCCGCAGAGCAGATCCGGGGCTGCGAGGTGAGCGCATGGGCGCTCCCCTGGCATGCAGCGCTGCATCCTCCCTGCTGCTTCCCTGTGCATGCACTGCTCCCTCCCCTACTGCCTGTCCCTCACTCAAACCAGGTATCCCCGTCTTCTGGTGCTTGCCCATGGCCAGGTTTTGCCCTTGCTGCACTCTGGGATCTCTGTGCAGGACACTGAGTGGGAACACACACGAGGAAACTGGACAAGTGACACTTTTGACCACTTCTGCGATTGGGGCGGTTGGCGGGGGGTGGGGGGAGAGTCCTCAGCCAGATGACCCTGATCAGGCCTCCTGTTTCCTTGCAGATGAAACTATCGGAACAAGGGCCGCTGCTGCAGCGTGGCGAGCTCACCGTGGTGTGTGGGCGTCGTAAGTGCCAGCGGCATGTCTTCCTCTTTGAGCGGCTGCTGCTCTTCACCAAGTGCAAGGGACCCGAGGGCGGCTACGTCTGCAAACAGGCCTTGCAGGTGCGCAAGTGTGTCTACGATGGAGAGCTCCTTTCCTTGAGTCGTGAGCTGCATGGTTTGGGAAGGAGGGCACTGACACACAAGACAGGCTCCTGCGGCATAAACGGATGGAATAATGGTTACTTGGAATGGAATTGTTGGACCTGTTTGGTGGAATATACATCCCCACCCCTGATTTGCATAGGGCACAAAGCGGGAAGGAACTGCCAGTGCAACAATGAATGGGATTAAAATTCAAGAAAGCTAAATTTAACAAAGACAGGTGTTCGGCATTACATAATACACCAAGAACAAGCCTGGATTATTAACCATGGTTTGTCTGAAGCAAGACAAGCCAGAAGCTTGGGTTCAGACAACATGCTAAGCCTAACCATTGCTTAGCTCACAGCAGTGCAGCGGGACTAGAGGAGGAGCACAGCAGTAGCTGTTTCCCTTCTGGAAACCCATACGCTGCTATTATTATTATTATTATTATTATTATTATTATTATTATTATGCTATTATTATCACTACTACTACTTCTGCTTTATTTATATGCCAGCCATCTGACTGGGTTGCCCCAGTCACTGTGGGTAGCTTCCAACAAATTATAAAACCACAGTAAAACATTATTAAAAGCTTCCCTATACTGGGCTGCTTTTGGGTGTCTTCTAAAAGTCAGATAGTTGATTATTTCCTTGACATCTGACAGGAGGGCATTCCACAGGGTGAGCACAACCACTCTCTGTACTCAGAAAGTCACGGTTTGGCTTAATGTTATGTCTGAACCAGGTCAGTCTTGAACATAGACTTCCTACTTCTTGTTGCAGGTGGCCCTATCCTAACTTTTCATTATCCTCCCTCTTTTTCTTCCACAGACAGCATCCATGGGGCTGACAGAGAGTGTGGGGCCTAGTGGGCTACGCTTTGAGCTATGGTTTGGACGTGGAACAGGCCGACAGGCCTACACACTGCAGGCAGCCTCTGCTGAAGTGAAGCATCAATGGACAAATGTTATAGCCCAACTGCTATGGAGACAAGGTATGTGGCTACCTAAGAGATTGTCCCAGCAGGAAGAGAATTGTATCAGGGCAATGTTTGTGCAGAAGTTACTTCACTTTAACAAGTTCTTAATCTTCTTCCTCACTTTCTTCCTCTCTCAGTGAAAATAGTTAAAGGGCCAAGAGCACAGACTGCTCTCCAAAGAGGAATGGTTATTTATTTTATTATGAAATGTTGTCTGCCTTCCTGTAGTTAGAATGATGAGAGTAGTTTACAATAAAAAGGGGTTAAAACACATTACATTCTCAACATCTAAATAAGCTAAAGGCAAGAAATGTAGCAATATAGCACAAAATAAAACAGTCCAGCAAGAATTAACAGCACTAGACGTCTGGGGAAATAAAAAGGTCTCTGCATGCTGCCAGAATGACACTGGCATGAGCAGCAGAAAAGCTTGTCTGGGGTGGGAATTTCAATACCAAGGATGCCACCACTGAAAAAGCTCTTTCCCTGACAGCCACTTAGAATCATAGAATCATAGAATCATAGAGTTGGAAGAGACCACAAGGGCCATCGAGTCCAACCCCCTGCCAAGCAGAAAACACCATCAGAGCACTCCTGACATATGGTTGTCAAGCCTCTGCTTAAAGACCTCCAAAGAAGGAGGTCTTCAAATGGTTCCCCTTATCCAGACTTGCTGTGCCTCAGATGGCAGGGGAGCCCTTAGAAGAGTCTCTGGTGGAGATCTCGGTGTTAGATGGACACATGTAGACAGATGGTCTCGTGGGCACTTCAGTTAATATTCCTGAGCAAACTAGGGAGAAGTGGAGAAGGGTCCTGCCCAGGTATCAGAGTAGGGCCTGCCCCACTCCTCTGAGGTGCTTCTCTCATTTACTGTAATGAAGATCTGTTTTCTGTATGAAAAGGAAAGAAAGGATCATTGATGGCTGGTGGATTGTGCCACTAATTCCCTGGGCTGGTTATCAGGCGGCAGACAGGTGGGTGTGGGCAGGCTGAGATTCATGGTGCAGTGCCCCACTTGCGATAATGAGCCAGCCTCCACTGGAAGAAAACTCAGGTATCAACACATAGCCTCACTGAGCACTATCCTCTCTTTGTGGAGAAAAAAATGGAAAATGAACTCATATGCATAATATATGTGTGAACAGTATGAAAGTAGGACATAGCCCTTTGAATATTCCATGCTGTACCTAATGCTTAGCATAGGGAAAGGCCAGAAAGATGTTTCTGTTTGGTGAGATGGGAGAATGCTGAAGGTACTGCTAGCACTTGGAGCAGTTTTTAAGAAGAATGCCTTGGATGTTTTTCTCTCCCTCTCTTCAGCTGCCCATCCGTCTGTCTCGATGAGCATATCTTCCTGCCCTGCCCAGCGCCTGGCCCCTCTCGGCCTTAGTCCTGGGGCCCCTCCTGGGCTGTCGTTACCTGGCCACTTTGAGGAAGAGGAATGGGACCTGGATGTCAAGCCCATCCCAAGGGGTGAGTGCTGTTCTCCCTGCCTTCTCATAGAGCGTTGCTGCTCAAATTTGCACTCACCCCTACCTTTCTCTGCTGCTCTCCTTAGCCGAGACGTCTGAGTCCGATGGACCCTCTCCAAGCCACCAAGAGCTACCTAGGCAAGGAAGAGGATCGTTGCCCGGCAGCAGCACAGCTTTGGGGCACCCCCAGTCGGTGAGTGTACACAACAGCCAACGGCTCTTTGGCGAGGGTGTCTGTTGTCATGGGTCCATTTATACAATTGGGAGAATCATGTGGTAAAGCCCTTCCTGGAGTGCACTCGTTCAGGCTGCCAGCAGGGAAACAGCAGCATGTTCAAATGAGACAAAAATGAGTGCACTCAGGAAAAGAATTCAGCCCCATTTATGCTAACTTCCTATAGAAATAAGGTATCCACACGCTAGGCTCATTACTCCACACACACACACACACACACACACACACACACACACTTTTATCACTTGATTCTGCCGATTGTATAAATAGGCACTAAGTTTGGGAAGCATCTTTTGTGAAAGAGCGCCAGTGGGGCTCTACCAAATCTCTCATTGCTGTGAAAAGGGTCAGGGGCATGCTGTTCTGGGTTAGGTGCTGGTAACCCAGTGGCTGTGTGCGCCTGGGCAGAAGTCTTGTGTGCTTTTGTGTGTGTGATAGTGCAATCCTCCTGTCCCACCCTTGCCCCCCTCCCTTCCCCACCAGGATTCACCACGCCATCCCTGATGGCTTTCATATGTTTTCTTTATTTGCCAGAGCTCTGGCGTTGCCGACGAACCAGTGACCCCACTCTGAGGCCATGGCGGCCAGGTACAGAGCCCCTGCCAAACTTCTCTGCCTTTGTGCAACCCCCTCCCACCTCTTTACCTAACTACTGTCACCTTTTCCCCAAAGTGCAGCACATGGCACTCCCCCATGTCTTTCTCTGAGCCTTTATTTCCAGGCACACTACTTGCTCAAGTTCACTCCATCCGTGTTACATGTATGACTGTACTGTCCAGGTTTATCTGTGTTTCACCATCCTGCAGCTTCTCTTTGTCTTGTGTGCTGTTCTCACTGGCTATCCAGTTGTCTTAATGCTACTACAATTGTTTTAAATTAATCTAATCCCTTCAGAGCTGGCATAATTTAATGGCTAACAGTGTGAACTGGCAAGTCACTGATTTAAACTTTGCCTCAAGCATGGACTTACTGGGTGACTGCCGTTTATCAGCCTCATCCCCCCACCTGTGAGAATTGGGGGAAATAATATTGACCTACCTTGCATGGTTGTTGTAATAAATCTGGAGATAATCTAGGTGAAGTTCTTTAAATACTTAAAAAATCAAGCTACAAAATGCTAAGTTTTATTTTTACAGGGAAGTAGGACCTATATGTTGTCCCTATCACAGCTTATAATGCATTATATTTAACTAGACCAGGATGGGTTGCAGAGAATCATGTATAAATTTGGCTCATGAGGACTAGAAACTTGTTGCGTATTGGGTAGCCAGAAAAACTAAGAGGCTTGGTGTCTTTCTTTGTATCTAGACACTTACCCATCTGTTTCTTTTGCAGCACTGGGTGTGGAGTCTACACCGGAAGCTGTTCTCCCCAGGCAGCCGTGGAAGGCAGGACTCAAACCCCAGGAACTCTGGGAACAGAACTGTCTGAGCCCCACCAAACCTTGGAGATGGGGCATGAAATGGGCACTAATGTCAAGCAGTCCTATGACCTGCTCCTACCAAGACTCCTGATGGCTGTCCCATTCACCCCCCTCTGCTACCATCCCACAGGAACACCCAGACATGGGCTGCAGTCTACCTTGGGATGGCTCTGTCCTATCCCTGGTAGTACCCATCCAGTGCCTTTTCCACCATTTTTTCGGGCTGCAAAATACTGGAGATTCTTGACCAAGCTGATGTGGTTGGTAGTGAAATGGTTGTGTATTAGGCAAGGAAGGCCAAACCAATGAGCTCTGGGCTGACCCAAACTAAAGTGCAGACTAGAAGGAAACTCTGGAGTCACTGATCGAGTGTGGTGGTTTCCAGACAGTGTTGAAATACTCATTTGCCTGGTGCCCTACCTCTGATCACAGCTTCAATCTCTTGCCCAATTGGTATTCTGATCATTTTGATGGGAGATGGAAGGAAGAATCTGGGCTGCAGTTGCTAGGCAACTACAGTATGCACTCCCCAAACCATGTCCAGGTTAGCCGAAGAGGAAAAGGAGAAGGTGGGTCTGGATTGCATGGTGAATTACTATAGGACACAAAACCACCTTCATCCAGAGAGCGAGTTCAGAGGTAGCCGAAAGGAAAGGCATGATACAGCAATATACATAATGCTATGGAGGTTCACATAATACCGCTCCCCTAGGACTGTACCACTCTAGATTGCAGATGGGTAGCGTGTTTGCATACCCCCACATAAAATAAACTAGTATGCCGAGGAGAAGGCTCTAACTTAAGTCATCTCCCTGGTGTGCTGTTTTCTTAAAATACGTGAAGAGTTTTGACAAGTAAGAATACTTGGTCAAGTTTACTTCCCCACACTCATGTGTTTGCAGTCTGAGGACACAGAATCCAAGGAGGGCTGTATCATGATTCTGCTGCACCTGGGGAAGTTTTCCCCCTCCCTTGATTGCTTTTGTTTGTTTTTGAGATCAGTCTCTGCACACAGTAATGTTACCACATTGTTATGAATACAGTAAGCCTACAACTTATGTGGGGGTTACATTCCAGGGATCGCCTTTAAAGCCAAAGTCATGTATAGTCGAAACACATTTGAGTGCAATGGTGGGTGGAATTGCCAAAGTTTTTTTCCTAGATGCCTACCCTCTTTCCGCCTCCCTTTAATATTTTTTTTTAAATTATTACCAAGCGTGTGAAGCTGAATGCACACAAGTTAAGTGTGGTTAAGTTGTAGGCTTACTGTACGAGGAAAAAGTCAAGAGAAAAAAACACAGGGGCTGTGAAAGAGTGTTTTGCCTCTTTTAGATTACTTGTTGGGAGGTCTGCAAACACCCTTCTGCAATGTCTGTGACATTTTGGAATCTGAACTGTAGGAACGGATCTCTAACAATTGGTGCTATATTTTGTGTTAGGTGGCTGAATATGTGGTGTTTTTGTTCATTCAGACTCTTCTATTGGATACAAATGGCCTAACTTTGGTCTGATTTTGGTAACTTGAGTTGCTCAGCTAACTTGTTCTCTTTGGCAGGTCTTGTGCTGGATTTAAACCTGGGGCCTCTCATATAGAAATCACACACACTTCTCCTGCCCACATGAAAAAGATTTAGTAAACTCACTTGGGTGTATAGAGACTAAGTTAGTGGCACTTAGTTCCCACTGAAATCAGCAGGAGTCGTAACCAACTTTTCACATTGATTTCAACAGTAACTAAGTGCAAAACCACCCTGTGAGCTTCAGATGAAGGGCAGTATAGAAATTTAATAAATAATAATTATGATACAAAGGTGGCCTCAATACAACTAACTGTGTGTGGACTATACTGCTTCAAAAACAAACATTAATAGGGAACCAGAAAAAATGCAAAAGATAAGCAGTAATAATGGAAGACATGTTTGTAATGTCATAATGGTGCACAGGCCAGGCAGTTCTTGAGATTTGTAAGGAAACGTAGGAATTCTTTCACAGAGAACACTGAAAGTGGCTGCTAACTACAACCTCTTCTCCCAACCTTTTCAAATACTGGCCTAACAATCCTCATCAGCCCCATGTATGTCAAGAGCACTGATATATATGCCTTTGTCCAACTTGCCACTATAGAGCTGTGGCTCTACCACTCCCTCCCTCCAGTTGGATTGGAATGAATGTCTCTATTTACAACCACTTTTTGATGAGGCTGGTGCTAACTTGTGCTTTGACCTAACCACTAAAGTAAAATATAATGCAGAAAAGCAGCTTCAAATATGCAAAGCAGGCACAAAGGAGACTTAGTTCTTGAAAAAGAGTATGTACGGTAGTAAATCTGTTTCTGGGGTGTACTATTTGACCAACTAGACATGATGAATGGTCCATGTGTTTTAACACGGAACTGCTCTTGTTATGTTTGAAAAGGTGTACATGTTGAGTTTAACCGCAAAAGTGGTCAATGGGTAAGAAGTGCAGAACCCTCCCCTGACTGTGGTTTATCTCCCTGAACACTTGGCAATCCTAACCCATTCACTCCTTTTGCTGTTGAAATCATGTGCTTCTCACATTTTACTGGGCAGCTTCATGTTTGTACACGGCACTGTCATCATATGTAGCATCCAGATTACATGACTGCTATTCCACGCTAACATTCCCTGCACACAGAAAACTTGACATGACAGGAAGAAGGGTAGGCATTCTCAGAAACTAGTTCTCAAAGCACAGGGAATTGTATTTGGATGAACATTTAGTCACATGAGCACCTGCCTGCACCAGTCTGAAGCAGTACAATCCATACATAAGTTTAGCACATCTGCTGTATGTGAAGTCTAGCTACTGTAAACTGATTGGGTTCAAAATTCAGGGTATCATGGTAGGGGACTGTTTTCACAATTAGAAGCATTTTCTGTGTGTGTTCAAAAACCAAAGTTCCAGCTCTGAGTTTTGCGGCATCTGCAACTCTTTACCTGTGCTGGCCTCAAATTACCAACATTGTTTTAAGTGTTATGAAATGGAAAAGGTGAGGAAGGGCCAACAGTAAGTTGGAGTTGAGGTTGGTCCTGGGAAAGGTAGAAGCCCAAGGAAAGTAGAAAGTACGGGTACTGCAAGTGTTCCCATTGAAAGGGTTCTCCAAATGGCTGCTCTGCTGGCTGGGAAGATATGGTGTTCTAGCTATGCTGGTTCAAAGAAGTAAAAATTGTGCAAGCTGCACAGGTGTTCATAGGAAAATTAAAATGCGATGGGAACAAACTAATTTTTAACCCATTTGAAGAATGATTTTTAGCTACTGCTGCCCATGAACCTAAGCCATGTAAGGTACTAAGCAAACCCCTTGGGTCTCTGTAAATTAATGGTTACCTTTGCCAAACATGTAATCTTGTCAAAATAATCAGTCAGGTTTGTCTAACAAGACCTTATTTTATATAAAAAGCATGCTGAACTGTATTAGTCATTTCTGTTCTTCCGTTGCAGGGGCTACCCTATTAATTGCTTTCCCACTACTTTTAACTTGGGTTTTCTGTCAGCTTAAGGCAGAACATATTTATCTCTAGGGCCGATTTCACTTGCCCTTGAGGGGCTTAATATTGGTTCAACATCTTACTCCCACTATTCCCTATTTTTTCCTTGATTTGGAGGAGGTTATTCCGGATAAAAGGCTTTCCTCAACCAACTCCTTTAAAAGCAATGACTACTTGCTTAAGCTTGCAGATATATGCATGTGGGCATATATCTCACTGAAGTTAATAGAACTGAGGAAGGAGGGTTAGCTTGTTTGTGTATTTACACCAGTGCGTGCTTAATGAGGTCCTTCATTCACCCCCATGCTCCCTCCCCACAAGGGTCCTTTTCACCATGCTGCCATTTACCCTTTAGCCTGCCCTAGCTGGAGCCTCCCCCCACCCATACCCTGATAAGGGGAGGGAAACAATGCCAGGCTGAAACAGCCCCCTCCCCCATCTGCTTTCCTGTCCTTATAAGTATTTGGCTTGTGTGCTCCTGTTCCCACTCTCTCTGAGGCCTACACAGGAGGTGGATAAAAACCTGACCTGTAGTTGCTAGGCAACCAGAATGTTCCTGTTCCTACCCACTTTCCCTGAACTGACCTGAGTGGCTAAACAGTGAGAGGCCCATCTAGCAGGCCTCACGCCTGAGACCAATATTCCAGGCGTGCCTATCTGCAAATGCAGCCTGACAGAGCCTGGCTCTTCCTCTCCTTGTCCGTGCCCATAGACCTTGCTATTTCCTCTATGGTTTGGTGGTGGAGAGAGGCTAGCATTTTGCCCTTCCCTGTCTCCTGGCATCACCACAATCCAACAAATCAGGCGATGCCACTGGGCACCTGCCCTCGCCACAAAATGGCTCACAGTGCCAGGATCTCAACTCTTAACAGCCAGCTGTACATCCGTAAAAGCTTCTAATCTAGACAGTACTTTCCTCTGCCATGGCACTGCTGTATAGATAGGGACAGGCTCTGCCAAGCTGGCCATGCCAACCCTGTATCCCCTTTCTATCATGGCATCACAGAACAAAGCTAGGCTGTGTCTAGCTAGTGGCAGGCCAGTGTGCTACTCCCCACCCACCCCTGCCAATGATACTCCATCAACCAAAAAGAGCAGACTGCGTCAGGCTTCCCGCCCACCCACCAGTGTACAGCAGAGCAGACAATACTTGTCTGTGCCAAGATGGTGCCCTGCTCTCCCCCCTCCCTGGCTCAGCAGAGCAGCATCCTGCCACCACAACACAGTGACTCTTAATCTACTTCCATTACGGCCCCTGTGTGCTTGGCTCTGCCACAGGCAGCAAATTCTTGACTATAACTGACCCCCCCCAACATCGCCCACAGAGCAGGCTGTGTCCCTCCGCAGGCCACTAGGATGCACAGGCAACTTGGGTTGTACCAGGGCAGTGCCACCCATCCTCGTGGCGCAATCCTTCTAGGGGCTTAATGGGGTAGGTTTCATCCCACACTGTTTCCTTTCCGCTGTCTCCCCCCCCCCCCCCGCGTTGAGACAGTGCC